TATCCATTTCTAGTACCTAACGGTTCCCTATCAACATCCCCGCACATCTCCAGATCGTCACGCAAGATAGCATTCGAGGGGGCTTGAGAGACAAGGATGAGAATACTTTTTATATTTCTTTATTACTCACACCCTCTTCCTGGATATTAACCCTACAGATATTTTTCCAATGCAAGCCAGTAGGGTATGAGCCCGGGTCTGGACGCGACCCTTTTCAGCCCGCACCCCCTTGCTACATGGGACTCAGCAGTTGCTACTGGCTGTACGACATCCAACACGGTGTGAGTCATGACGTGCTCACGTCTCAGCTGGAGGAATATCCAGGCTGAAAGCGCCTAATAGAAAGCCAAAGCCAAAGATAAATAAATAATAATAAAAAAAGAAAAGTGACACGCCAACTAACAACAGGGGGATCGACTCGACTTTTGCGCTCTGTTTCCAATTGCGCTGCTACCGCTGGGTTCTGTCTCCTGTTTTGCTGCCTGGAGACTGAAACCCATCCTACCGAGCGAGGCGCCACCTGTCAGCAAGACAAAGACGTAATTTACACCCGGGTGATGGTAGGCTGCGAAAGGGGGAATGGGGTAGTTTTGGATGCTTCAGAATATAACTTGTGGAGTACAGTTGTAGGTAGTATGTCCCATTGTGTCTCAAGGTGACATTTGGTAATGCTTGGCAGGTCTCGATGCGGGGGAGTAGTTTCAATAAGGAAGAATCCGGGGTAGGTTTGGCTTTGGAGCAACATTCCACAAGACTTAAAGGGAATGATGGGGTGTCCTTTCGGGTGCAATTACTTTGTACAGCGTGGGGGGGGGGATTATTAGTTTACGTAGGCTACTCCGAATGTTCCTCAAGAAGACACATATGCTTTGAAGAATTCACAGGTGCAACCCTAATCAGCTCGGGGGTTTTGCATGTGATTACGTAAGGGGTTTCCCAATCGAGGTCAACCCCATCTTTGCCTATCTTGGACTTTCTATGGACACTCACCTTTTTGCTTATTGCCAAATTTTAGCCAAGGCGAGCGATCAGCGATCCACACCTTCTGGAATAAATCCCCTCCCTGGCACCCAATAAGCGACGGAAATGGTCTCACACTGATATCACCATATGCGGGGCCGCTATTCCGGAGTCCGCGATCAGGCCATTGGTGGAATTCTTACATTTGTCCGGGAGATTACACCCTATCTTGCTATTTACAATCTATATTCTAATAGACTATCTGGAGAACATGTGATATTCTGGGGAATAGATAGCGTCAATAAAAAAAGAGAGAAAAGGGAAGCTGAGGCGGGGAAGATTGTCCATTGCCGTGTGTAGTTCTCGGTGAAGCCCCGATACCCCCCATTCCACCATAATCCCACTCGGGCACCTACATACGTAGAGGGGGAGAAAAAATTTTTTCTATCTTTTCAACTCCACTGAGCGATTTATCGTCATTTCTCTTACCCCATATTTGCCTGAGTACCATAATTCAACCCACTCGCGGAAGCCGGGATCAACTTACGGAACACAATGCCCCTGTCGCTCATGCGATCCACACCGGTCACAGTTTCTATGTAACTTAATTCTTGGAGGACGCTACAACCAGGTACCATATGCAGTAGATCACTTAGTCTGAGATGAAGCAGATCCTAGCTTTGGACTGAATTTCCAAGGGAGTGGGAGTGGGAATAAACCCATAAACCTACCTTACCTATTAGCCCACTAGAGAAACAGGGGGTAGACAAAGAAAGGGAAAAAAAAGGTACCAAGTACTCCGTACTCCGTACTAAAGCCTCCTCTCCCTCTTTCAATCACACAGTGGGATTCGTGGCTTAACCCATTTCGCCCCAAACACACCCCATAACGGGCGAATCCCCGAGAGATCGATATTGGCGTATTTTTGATTTCGCTCGCGGGCGGAGTCCGCTCCGAACCAGTTACACTATCGCTAGCACGTGTATGGGTGGCTTTCTTGATAATTGGATTATTGGATTATGGGATTATTGAATTGAACTATTGGAAACCGGCACAAAAGCATAACTGCGGGAGCTCCGGACTCTGTCTTCCCCATTAGGATACTGTGAAGCGGGGGGTCCAGATCTCCACAGGTGATGATAGCTGGCGAGTTTCACATGTTCACATATTCACATGCGGAAATCATGTGCTTATCCTGTTGGCTTCAATCAGGTCTGGAATGCGGGATGTGGAGGTTTTGATAAGAATAAACTGGAATGCGCGCATATGTGTGTGGCTGCCTCGGTTTTCCTGTGCAGCTGCATGCCTTGCATCGTGTACGATGTAAAAATGTGTAGGTACGAAGTACCTTGGGGAGGAGCGAGAAGATGGCGTCATTGAAAAGGGGGGCCATGTGTTTTCTCCAGATTTGTTGCCCACATTGATAAGAGATTCAGATACGAGACGTATTAAGCACGTCTTTCTTTACCAATTAATCCCGATATAAGCACTAATCTGACCCAAGGATGTTGTATGTGGTATGTTATATGACCATGTACATATCACGAAAGATGACGACAGAGCTCATACATAACCTAGACCATTCTTCTGCAGGTACCAGACCACGACATCAGCCCATAGGGCTAGCTGGTCAGAGAAAATCCTCGGGTGAATTCGGAGGACAACATGGTGACATTCTCGCACAAGCTTCCAAGGTTATGGCATTTTTTTCCTAGTTGCGGGGCTTAGTGCCGATATGGGAGTCTACCGAAACTCCACGATGATCAGGGGGGGCGTTTATTTTATCCTATCCAGGTCAGAAAGAGGAAGGTATGCCATGTCTTGGCTATCCATTTTAGTCTGAAGTGTACGTAGTAGTATAAACGGAGATATGTACCTTGTACGGAGTAGCTTTAGACACTATAAAGCACTACTTGATGGCAAATTCAAGAAAATAGATTTTTTTTTTTGCACGGAGCAAGCACTAAGTCAAGTAACCAAAATTCAAAAAGGGGTTCGGTGAGACTTGATAAATTTTTTTCTCTCCCCCTGTGTCAGTTCCCGTCTCTGGAGCCTCCCGATTTACGCAACTCGGGCGAAATTCTCTCGGCATTGCCGTGCCGACTCGGGTTCTCTCTCTCTGCGAGTCACCGTGCCGGTTTTTTTTTTTTTTTTGGGCGCAGGCGAGAGTTGTATTGGTTTGGTACTCTCCACACTACCCGCACCTATTATTATCATTCCGTACTGTATGAGCTGTATGAGGGGCTGGTTTTCTTTTTTGAGAAAAAAAACTCCTCACTGCCGTACCACCCCGAAATTCCTCCGAGGTTCGGAAGTTGGGAGTCTGGGGTGAGCCGTGGGATGATCTGGATGCGCGGACCTACTACCCATGCAGGCAATCCCCTAGGGTCTTCCCGTCTAATAGCGCTGCACAAAATGCTTGTCTTCCATTATTGCGTGTACTATTGCAAGCCTCGGGATGAATGGGAGAGCCTCGGGATAACGGAAGTTCCTCGGATATAGCTCTTAGGTAATCTTTGGGACATTCCTAGGTATCCTGCTTCTTCTCCGGGTTTTGTATGCCCGTCTACTCCGCATGTAGCGGTGAGGCCCTGTGGAGTTTTGCCACTCTGTACAGGCAAGTTGTGGAGATCTGATAAAGATTCGCTGTCTTCAAACCCTAGATTTGTCTCTTCGGGGACGGAAATGTTGAAATATTGAATAACAATGGCTCTAAAGGTTCAAACAGAGATGTGATTTTACTAATCATTATTGAAAACAGAATCGATGTCAAAAGAGAAAACCATCTAATTATTTCAGTCAACAATATATATTCTTGAGTCCCTCATAGTCTCCAAAATATTCGAGATTCAACTCGACCAATAAACCTACGTATAAGAGCAGTGAATATTTCTCCCTTTCACCATGAATTACAGATACTCGCTTTGACCTTAGCGAAAAGAAGCAGAGGGGTTCCGTAATTGCACAGATTCTTGAGGGCTGTTCTGAATACGAATGCGAATAAACGAACAATTTGATCTTATCTATAACCTGTCACTTCTTGGGCTATATAGCACTTAAGTGTTTCCCTCTAAGAAAACTCGCAAAAAACCTTGAGAATTATGAAAAGAGAGGCAACCCTAATTTGGCGTCGGAGGTTCTTCTTCATTCTATATCGAGATTCGGATGTTTCATGAGTCTGACAGGCCCGCTGGTACCTTTTTGTTGGAAATATTTATGCCCAACTCTTTGTCCAACTCTTGATCTTAGTAACCTTTTCTTCTGTTCTTCTCCTTGGGCGGTTAGCTGATACATGCTGGCTTGTTTTGATTTGTCTCTAGCACTGTTCGTTTTGTTATTTTCCGAAAGCTTCGCTTCTCGATCCCTCTAGATGCCGTGAAGGGGGCGTTAGGTACGCAACGACGATATTTCATGCAGTTCCTTGAAAAAGAGATTAAGGCCTCTGACCAGATGATATTTAACTCGAACTTGTATCGCCCCGGCTACGTGGTCGGCAAGATTTTCCGCCTTTACAAGGAAAGGTATACGGGATCACTATAGCATCAAAGCCTAGGTAAATGGCGCCTTATACGAATACAGTTACAGCTCCATCTCCCTCTGTCTGTGCCGATCTAATTCCATGAATAGTATAAAGAAGCATTACTACAGAGCACCCCTCCATAACCACGGATTTACCGTACAGCGATTGTGGGGTGTCTGAAGGACCTCTACACGCACTAGACGTACAGGCTTGAAGGGCACCAGCCTCCTTCCCCGAACACCGATCTAGGAGGGTGGAGCCACTATTTGTTGTCACTCACATCCCGTACCAAGTACGAGTGGAGTGGGTGCGGGTCTTTGCGATCTCGCATACCGCTCTTTATAGAGGTGGAAGATTTTTCCAACCACCCAGCCGGAGGCGACATCCGCGATGTTCACCATCCAACTAGAGGCTTTGACCTCCTCTCCAAGAAACCGTATGAAATATCGTTGAAGTGCATCCAACGCCCCCTTCACGACGTCCGGGGGTTCGAGAAACGAAGATTTGGGAACATAGCAAAATGAACAATGCCAGTGAGAAATTAAAACCAACCGTCATGTATGAGCTGAGGGCCCGAGAAGAAGAAGAAGAAGAAGAAGAAGAAGAAGAAGAAGACGAGACAAGGACTCAGGGGGATTTACATTGCGAGGCCATCATGGCTTGGGTAGGTGCGATTAGGGTAGGGATGATCTCAATGTCTGCGGTCATTGTGAGTATATGGAACTTCAAATCCGAGGTGTACCTAAATTACTTGGAGAAATTTGAGAACTGTTGCTGGTGGTTGGCCTCTCTTAAATCTATTAGTACTAAAACTGTTATGTCAATGCTTCGATGGTGGCAGTTGAGGGGACAAATGATAGAGGTTGAGCCTCGGGGGGGTGGAAAATATTATTTAGTTGAATATCTCCTTCTCTAGTACAGCAGCTGAACTTTTACCATCACCATTTAAGTGGGGATTTGTTCAAGAGGAAGAGGAAGAGGAAGAAGAAGAAGAAGCTGGTACGGTAGGAACACCACAATAGGCACTTTCAACCATCAAATCGAGCGAAGACTCAAGGTAGTTGGTCGCAAATCATGACCTGGGGGAAGTTTGCCATTACCAAAGCAGCAGACAAGATCTATGGATATTGTATTTCAAAGCAGCTGAGTCTCATGTGTCACTGGAAACAATGCTGCGAGAAGTATCAGACATACAAAGTCAGGTGCGAACCCTAGGGGGGCATCCAAAGACGATGGCATATCTATGGATATCTGCTTTCCACCTGTGGGAAGTCCCCCAGCTATCGTTCTCATCCAGCTACAACTGTTTGTCTTCCGCCGCTGCTGTATACAATCACCCATTGCGATTTAACCAATGGTGGGATTCGGCAGTGTCTGATATATTTACTATATCACTATTAGCTCGCATGCCTATCTTCCATGTCGATATCCTCTACTCTGTAACCACAAATTATAATCTAGTCCCCTTTTATGGTTGGCAACTTTTGTCTCCGTTGGGCTCAGCAGTGCAGAAACAATAGCTCGCTAGTAGCGTATACAATACTTCACGTTGCTTCGCTGCCTTTGAGTACCTGTTAAATTGTAGCTAACGATACAGTGATTACAAACAGTATGGATTGTGCGAGTACTCTGTATCACAGTGAGCTACCCAATATAATCCCAAGTCCACTACATATGCGATTTCTAGAACCAGAGGAAAAGGCCCAGAAAAGCCACAGCATTGACAAATCCCAGCAACAGGCGCAAATCCGAGTATTCAGATTTCGGTGAAATGGGAAAGTACCAATGTCAGAACAAATGACATAGGCGGCACTACTGCCTTGTGTTATCTAGTCCATACCATGGATGTCTGTGAGTATATTGTTGAGATAATTTGACGCATGGATGAAGGCGAGTCAACTTAGCAGAATGCGACAAATACCATGGGGGTACTCTGCAGCAGATATGAGTTGAGTAAGATGGAATAAAAGTAGCTCCTTTGAGCGTATGAATGTATAAAAAAGTCCTCCAGAGCTTCAGAGCATATAAGTAGGCTTTCAAGTCAACTTCAATGTATGTATCACACCTGCGGGCAGTAGTTCCCAAGTAGGAAATACTCTCCGTGATTACTCCTTATCGCTGCTTTCCAAGGTTCGCCTCAGGCACTAAACCAGAAGCAGAAATGACGTTTCTGCCACACGCGGCCGCCCGGGGAAACGAGAATCTCAAGTGTCAGGTCCAGACTAAGAGCGACATCCACCCAATCTACTTTATACAGCGAGTCTATGTATGATTTGATCCTATCAGCAACCCCTCAATCCAAATCCTAGACATTGAACAACACCCCCATTTCAATATCCCTCCAGCCTCGAGCTCCGGGACGCAATGGCACCCCCGCGCCAGCGCACCACAGCTATCGTGGATGACTCGAGGTCCGAAGCCTCGAGCGGCACGAGAGAATACCCCAAAGCCACCAAGTCTCGCAGACCAGCTGCTGCAAAAGAGAAAGCCTCGATCACCAGCGCACCCGTCGTGGACAACCAGCACGCAGAAGAACAACCCCGAGTAAGTTTCATCCTGAAAGAGATCGATCAATCGCAACTCAACGCACAACAAAGTTAAACAGACCATAAACTAATCCCATTTCCCCCTATAGCTCCCCTGGACAGACCTTCCCCTCGAAATCCTCCACTCCTACCGCCACGTCCACAAACTTCCCACGCCCTCCGCTTTTTCAAGTGACTACTCCCGCCTAATCCTCTCGCAAGGCATCGGCCTTCGCTCGCCAACCTCCCTCGCCGCCCGCCGCGCTCAATCCTCCTCATCCCAGAACCACTCCCACTCCCACCGAACAAACACCTCGTCGGACTCCCTCTCTGACTCAACGCTGCGTCGCACCGTCGGCCAGGACCGCGTGAGCAAAGATCAGTTCGCGCTTGTCGTCCGGAAACACTTCAACAGCGCTGGTCTCTCGGAGCAAGAAACTATTGCGCGGTTTCTGTACACCGTCCGTGAGGACAGGAGAGGGAGACAGTTCCGATTGCGATTTCAGCCGTAAGATGAGAGGCGAGTGCTCTACTTTGGTCTCTTGCTCTTTTATTTCCCCAACTACGAGGGGAAATGAGATTATACGAGGCTTGGGGTAGAGCTAAAGCTCTTCTCCTTCTTATCCCACCGTTCTGGTGCTGGCCTGTCCTGGTTGACGGTGCGCTCGGTTCGGTGCTGTGAACATACATGGCGTGTGTAGTTTACTGGGTTGCCTTGCTTCGGGGATCTGGCGGCTTGTTCTCTTTTGCTATATTAAGATACCCATTGGCGTTCAGTGTGTTTATCTTGGCTGTTTTATCTTTTATTTCTTGGGTTGCAAGTTGCGGACTCTCCCTCCCTGTCTCTCTCTCTCTTTTCTACTATGTACACTTTGCATACCATAATCGAATACTCACACAATATAAACCATATATGTACACAGGTACCCAGACAGGTTACAATCAAAGATTATACATAAAAACGTCTCTTGAATATGCTTTTTTAACCGCCTTCGTACACACCTAAAAAGAGCACCCAAAAGACCAACGAAAAGACCAACGAAAAGACATGACGAGGCTGCATAAGCGGCCGACTATTCTTGTCATACGTCATTTAATATCGGGAAGATGCAGAGCATCGCGTTGAAGAAACCTTAATTCGAGAATGCAGGAGCATACTTGCTAGTTTATTTCATTTTGTCATTTACATAAGAGCGTGCATGTTCCCTCCAGTAATCAGAGAGGACAGAAAAGACAGATATCCAAACCGAACGTGAGAACAGGGACAAAAGCCCCCCAAACGAAGCAGTTCAGACTACATAATAAAAACCCGCGAAATAACAAATAATCAATCGAGGGCGACCTCATAGCAACAGGTGTAAAAGTCCACAAACGCCGAGATATATGGCTCCCTTCCAACCGCCCCCTTCGGTACATGTTCCATGTGCCATTTTGCCAACTAGGTCCAACAAAATCTAGCTCATTCCATTCCGCACTGTAGCCAGTATTATCAATCGCCCAGATACAAGGAAGTCAACCTTATTTCCAGGCGTTGAGACCAGCCCATGGATCGGCGGAGGAACTGGGCTGTGACTGCGGCTGCGACTGCGAGGGGTTCTTGTGGTGCCCGTACTGTCTTGTCTGCGCATAGCCACCAGGACCAGATGGGTATATACCACCTGCTGAGGGAGGGTATGTTGTCTGCTGGGGGCGTGGTGGAGGTGGAGGCGGGATGTAGCCCTGGGGAGCCATATAGTGTGAGGGCTGAGGCCCAGCGCCAGGAGCCGGTGTGCCGGAGTTTGAGTAGCCGCCGTACGGGGCCGGGGTTTGAGAGAAAAATTGCTGGTTCGGGGGTGGGGACACGGGGGTCTGGTAAGGATATGCCATGGGGTTGTAGCCCTCCGATAGGGGAGCTGCGGCACCTTGTTGGAAATGCTGGGCTTGGTAAGTTCCCGGACCACCCCCTATGTATTGCCCGTAGGGAGCTGGAGAGTGCGAGAGGGGCACGCCTGGCATGGTGGGCGGGTAGCGGGGTGATGGCTTTGGAGATGGACCGGTGGTTCCATATGCCGGCGTCTGAACGGGCGGGGGTGGTGACTTGACCTTTGAGGGCGGTTTTGCGGAGCCTGTGGAGGGTAAATTTGAGGAGTTCTTTGGTTCCGTCGATAGTCGCTCCATTAGCTGGCGCAGCTTCTCTCGCTCGCGATCTTCTTGCTCTGAGACGCCGCTGGAATTGTCGCGGCTGGTGAAGGAATCGGGATTCCTGCGGAGACCGTCGACATTTTCGCCCATGGCCTTGTCGCGCTCGATCTGGCTGAGAAGCTGGGCACCTTCTGATCGGCGGTTGTTGATGAAGGTTTCGACATTCTTGCGGAGACTGTCGACGTTTTCACCCATGTCCTTGTAGAAAGTCCGTGCTTGCTTGATACCCGACGAGAGACCATGGAATGCTTCGTAAACCTTCTTGTACCGAGTTATCACGGAATTGCGTTGTCTCTTTATAGACTCATACTTCGACTTCTCGGATTGAACTCTTTTGTCTTGAAGAAGGCTATCGTGTATCTTTGTGAGTTCGTTCATCAAAGCCGATTGTTTGTGATTTGCCTGCACAAGTATGTTCTGATATGGCAGGAACTTTTCCAATTCTGTCTTGAAGAATTCCTTTTCTCGGCCGACGAAGGACTTTTTGTTAAGAATCAAGCGCTCCGTGATGTCATCTTTGTGAGTCTAAAGCACATATAGTTAGAAACTTGTCTTAAACAGATAGGCTAGGACACTCACCTCCACTTTGAGATCTGCGAGTAGTTGGGACTTCTCTCGCTCCACGAGGTTCAGTTTCTTTAACAAACTCTCTACCTTGGCAACCTGCTCTGCAATAGATGCGCCACCCTCATCATACACATCGTCTAGCAGAGTACCTTCTGCCGGACTGGTGACACCGTCCTTGCTCTTGCTATGCTTTGAACGGGCTTTGATTAAGGCTCGCTGGAAAAGAACATCGGCTTCATCTGTTTCGCCAGCAGACCGCATCTCATCAAAATCGCTTTCATACTGCCGAAGTGTGGAAGACAGCTGAGAATCACTCGCGCTGGCCTCATTGATAGTATCTCGATACGATCGGACATCCCCTCGAAGCGTGGTATTGAGCCGAGAGCTGGGCTGCTGGCTCCAGTCTGCTCCATACTTTGAGCGCATCTTCTCACACACGCTCTCTTCCAGATCTAGCTGTTTTGAGCACTGGTCTAATTGGGATAGCACTTCTGCTTTGCGGTCCTGCAACTCGTCGAATGCCTTGCGGAAGGGACTGTGGCCAGCAAGTTCTGAACACCAGCGACGGAAGTCCTCGTCCACTGACATCTGGTTCATGCTTCCCTTCAAAACTTCGAGAGTATCTGGCAGTTCAAGTGAGCCCAATTTAGCGGCTATATCACGATTGGCACTCTCAGCCTTTCCAGTCTCAACTCGACGTAACTCGGCCATTTCTTCCTCATAACAACTGGCGGCCTCAGTGACCCACATAGGCCTCAGTTTTTTGAATAAGTCTGGCCCAATGATTTGACTAATATCTTGTCCTTGGTACAGTTCGCTAACCGGAATCGCTTTGGCAGCAGTAACCCTGGCAACCGGCGAAAGACCAGCCTCGTTAGGGACTGGTTGGTGGTAGATGAAATCATTGTCTTTGACCATAGTGGCAAGTAAAGCTTGGACATTTGTTTGATTATGCTTGATGAGGTCCGAGAGGTTGGAGCCTGACTCTGCCGTCAGGCCGGTGTCCACGGGAGGCGACGAAGGGAACGTCTTTGCCCAGCTTAGAGCAGTGGCAGACTGCTTATCAGCCATCTGTAAACGAGCAATAGCAATTCCATGAGATCCGCTTTCACTATCCGCAACCGCTTGATAATACGATGCTACTGATCCCATATGTGCTGCCTTGGCCTGCACAACAATCGTCCAGACCTTGTCAAACACATTCTTGTCGACGAAGTTTTGCATTATCTCCGCAGCCTGTGAGTAGAGGTACGCTGCCTGTCCAGCCAGCTTAGCCAAGAGCGCAGCCTTCCTCTGATCTGCCACTTGTTTCTCAAAAAAAAACCTCTTGGGCTTGAGCTAGTGTGACATTTATCAGTGTCTTGATGGTGTCGTCTTTCAGGTCGGTTGATGGCGGATATAAGAAGTTCTGATTAATATATGTAAACATCCCAGCGGATGCCTGGAAAGAGTGATAAGCTGTCTTGAGGCCGGTATCGTCAGCCCGGCTCTGGCTGGCAGCATGGCAAGATAGGATGGCGGAGATGTTAAAGATAACGGATGCCTTTTCGAAGGCCAGGGAGAATTGCGAGGTAGACGCATGAGTGAAAGCATCGTACCTAGAGGACAAGTATATAAGCACAAGCAGAACATACACGAGAAAAGTACCCCTACCATGTGAAAGGGATCTTGACGTGGTTGTCATCGATAGGGAACCTGAGGTCCAGCAGCTCCAGCTGACCGTAGTATCGATACAATAGATCACGACCGATAGCGCTGTCTTTCCCTACACCCCTCATATCCTGGCGAAGCCGGTTGAGAGTTGCGCATTCTTGACTGTATTGTTCGGGGTCTTCGCCATGGCCCTGTCGAATGTAATCCTTGAGAGGCTGGATCCAATCAATCTCGTTGGTCTGCTTCAAAGGACACGAAAGCATCGGCGACTGAGCCATTGTCGGGTGGTTGCCAGGAGCGATATGCTCCCATCTAACAGTACAAAAACTGTGCGAGAGAAAAAAAAAAAGCGCGGGGCAGGGATGGTCAGAAGCTCCGTGTCTGAGGGGATCGGAGTCGAGGCTGTGGGGTAAGGGAGGCGGAACGTCAGCGCCTGGTGGCCCTTAGTGTGTCAATGACGTCGGTCGATCAGGTTATTCTTCGATGCAAGTAGGTTAGAAGATGGGAAGATAATACGAGAATTTTGGAGAAAAGAATAGGGTTGCCTAGAGTGTTGAACTGTTGAAGTGTTGAAGTGTTGGAGGAGGGAGATGTGGGATGTGATTGTCCGTGGCCGTGCCTCTAAGCCGTGCCTCTAGGCGCCAAACCCCAAAACAACCAAATAAGTAGAAACACATACAGAACAGACATTCGATAAAATATTTGAATTTTGAGTAACATAAAATAATTAATAGGTGGGAATGATCATAGTACAGTCAGAAGTGGAGAGCTTCTTAGACATCTATCACTCGATAATAGTAATACAATATTCTGCCCCCCAAGCCCTGGGCAGAACAGGTCCCCAATATCGCCGGCGCTATGACATGGGTGAGAGGTAAATACAAACGGATATAGAGTACATGATGATTTACATTTTTTTAACTCGACTTCTTCGAGCTATCCTTGCTGGCATCGTTGCCAGCATCCTTGTTTTCCGTATCCTTGGAGTCTTTGGAGTCTTTCTTGTCAGCTTGAGATGGCTTGGAGGAATCACCATGCTTCTCCATGAGTCGATGCCAGACAGACTTCAGGAAACCTTCGTTTTTGGCAGCGTCACCGGCACTATCAGAAGCAGGGGGGCTATCAGGGTAGTTAAGTCAGCACAAGAGCCAATATTCACCACGAACTGTGCATCTTACCTATCCTTGCTGAAGTTCATTGTCCGCTTCGCTGTCTTATCGTTCATCTCGTCGGCGAGGACCTCCAAAATGGTGCGCTGGTTGCCTGTCAAATACTTGGGCATGGCAACCTTAAATTCGACCTTAAGATCACCATTGGGAGTGAAACCGCGAGTACGGCCATTAAGCTTCTTCATGCCCATTCCTGACAAAGTGATCCGGTCACCGGTGCCCGTACCAGTGGCCACCTTGACCTTCACTTGATTGTCGAGAGTTGGGATGGTCACCTCACCACCAAGGATGGCAGTGGTGAGGGGAATTGAGGCTGTGTAGAGAATGTCGGACCCGGAGCGGCTGAAGCGATGGTCTGGAGCGACTCGAATGGAGACGTAAAGATCACCAGGTTGGGTACGGGCACCAGGCGGAACAGCTGTTCCAGTTGGTGGGGAGTCACCTTCGCCGGTCACACGTAGACGCATGCCATCTTCGACACCACCGGGGATGTCTACCTTGATAGTCTTACGCTCTCGGATCACACCATTTCCATTGCAGGGGCTGCACTCTGATCCTCGGGGAACAGACATACCGGCACCTCCACAAGCGTCACACGTGGCGGCGACTTGGAAGCCTCCCTGCATGAGATGAACGCGGGTACCTGTGCCGTTGCACTGACGACATTGGGACCGCTTGGCACCAGACTTCAATCCATCACCTTTGCAGGTTCCGCACTTCGTCAAAGGCGTGATGACGATTTCCTGGGACGTGCCCTTCGCAGCTTCCATGAACGAGATGTTTGTTTGCACCTCAATGTCTTCACCGACCAAAATCTGTTCCTGGAAAGGGTTGCGCCCACCCCGGGGTCCACGGCGCGCTCCTCCGGTAAAGGCTCCAAAAAGATCCTCGAAGTTGATGTCGCCGGAAAAGCCCCCACCAAAGCCACCTCCACCGCCAAAGCCATGGAATCCCCCCGCACCAGAGAATGGGCTGCCGCCAGCGTTTGGATTGAACCCGCCATTCTGATCGAAAGCCGCCGAACCATACCGGTCGTAGTTCTCTCGCTTCTGGGCGTCGGATAACAATTCGTAGGCTGTCTGGGCTTCGGCAAACTTGTCTTTGGCCTGGGCGTCCTTGTTGGTATCAGGGTGGTACTTCTTGGCTAAGCCGTAGTAGGCCTTCTTTATGTCGCTGGCGGATGCTTTTTTATCCACGCCTAGGACCTTGTAAGGGTCGGAAATAGCCGAAAGAGGCGAGGTAGTGTGGAAGGCCTGTAAATTGGAGAAAAAGCATGTTATTTAGCAACCTGAACCTTGACAGCCCATAGAGACGACATACCCTAGCCGATATCACCAAAGATTCCTTTCTCTTGCAAACGCCCTCCCGGAGGCGCCTAGCCGGAGAAGCAGAGACAGTTGCATGGTAGTTTCTTGTTTGGTTGGATGAGTGAACGCTATTGCCGGAAGTCTGCTTAGAATATTGTCGCTGGGTCCGCAACAGACGCGCGGGGAGAGCCGCGGCCTTGGGAAATGCCGTGGATGGATTCATGGATAGTAATAGCCGAACAACGGTTGGACGGCGGCAATGGTAGTTGCTAGGATGAAGAGGGATAGATATGCGCGGGGAAATGATCAAGAAAAAAAAAGAATGGCAATTTGAAAGAGAGAAATGATGGTTTCAAGAACACCAATGACGTTCCAAACCAAGTTAAGCTACTCTCTGGATCACAGAAGCTTCGAGTTCTTTGGCTGAGAGAAGTTTCTCGGAAAAACGTGTGGCCGGACGATGATGAAAGAGTTGCTTACCGAAGCAATACTGGAGTGCTCCGACTACGGAATCTCAGCTTCCACTCTACCCATTTGTATCTAATACTTATTGCTGTCCTTTTGGAGCTGTGCCACGGGCTGTCACAGTTCTTCACTATATCCCCTTTTATTTCCTTCACTCCATTGCCCGGGCATCCACCTCATACTCAAGGAGCATGCTCCGCGGCCAAACCCTCCCCTGGAGAGCTGTACTCCACCAAACACCACGACCTCTCCTCCGACGGCCGTTTCTTGCTTCACCGAGATATAATGCAACCTTTCGATCAACACTAAGTTCGGCCCGCCTTCGTGACTCTCTTCCCTCGTCTTCCCGCGCCTTCTCCGCGAGCTCCATTCGGCGGAGGGAGAAACCCCTCCAGAGGACTCTAAAGACGGATCGGAAGAGAAAGAAGAGAACGAAACTAGTCAGAATGATAAGGAAACAGAACGAGCTCCTGAATCGCGGCGGAAGGGAGCAGACGCAGGAAAAAATGCCCCCTCCGCAGATCAAGTAGCTCCCGCGCGGAAAAAAGACCGGTCATCCGATAAAGAGCGCGGGGTTGCAGAGGAAGTAAAGAAAGAAGCCAACGCGTCAGACGGCAAGGGGAACTCGAATGACACACCTTCGCCCATCCCACCAAGTGATGGCCCGGCCGACTCCAAACCTAGCGGTGCAAGCAGCGGTGGTAATAGCGGCAATGACGACAGTGGGAAGAAGGGCAAGAAGGCCTCTGGGGAAAAGGCTTTGCAAAAGCCGGCAGTTCCGGACGTTTACCCACAGGTAATGGCAATTCCCATCGCGAAACGCCCTTTGTTCCCCGGTTTTTACAAAGCGATTACTATTCGCGATCCGAATGTTGCCGTTGCGATCCAGGATATGATGAAACGGGGTCAGCCATATGTCGGAGCGTTTTTGTTCAAGGATGACAACGCCGATGGTGACGTGATTGAGAAATTGGACGATGTTTACGACACTGGAGTTTTCGCTCAAATTACTGCCGCATACCCTCTTCGTGGAGAGGCTAGCGGTGTGACAGCGGTTCTCTATCCCCACCGACGTATCAAGATTTCGTCACTACTTCCCCCTGGAGAAAACACCAAGGCCGCTACACCTCCACCCGCACCTACGCCAGAAGATAAGATGTCTGAAAAGCGAGGTGATGTAGTAGCCAGCTTTGAAGAAAGCGCACCCGAGCCAGCTCCCAAAGACCATTATGAACCGACATCCTTCCTGAAGAAGCACCCTGTCAGCCTTGTCAACGTGGAAAACTTAGCTGAAGAGCCGTTTGATAAGAAAAACCCAGTTATCCGCGCGGTAACCAGTGAAATTGTTAATGTGTGCAAGGAGATCGCCACCTTAAACCCTTTGTTCCGCGATCAAATCTCGGCATTTTACACTGATCAATTCCCGGGAAACCTCAGTGACGAACCAGCCAAATTGGCTGATTTCGCTGCCGCTGTATCTGCCGGTGAGCTCCACGAGATGCAAGAAGTTCTTGAGACAATGAACATCGAGGAGCGTCTCCCTAAGGCTCTTGTCGTTCTGAAGAAGGAATTGATGAACGCCCAACTGCAATCCAAGATCACCAAAGATGTCGAGGCCAAGATCCAGAAACGCCAGCGCGAGTACTGGCTGATGGAGCAAATGAAGGGCATCAAGAGAGAACTTGGCATCGAGTCTGACGGGAAAGACAAGCTTGTCGAGAAGTTCAAGGAGAAGGCTGAAAAACTTGCCATGCCCGAGGTTGTCAAGAAGGTCTTCGATGAGGAGATCAACAAGCTAGCACACCTCGAGCCTGCTGCATCCGAGTTCAATGTCACTCGTAACTACCTAGACTGGCTAACCCAAATCCCCTGGGGCCAGAAGAGCGTGGAAAACTTTGGCGTCAAGAATGCAGTCAGTGTCCTCGATGAGGATCATTACGGGCTGAAGGATGTCAAGGATCGTATTCTTGAGTTCATCGCTGTGGGCAAGCTTCGTGGAACCGTTGAAGGAAAGATTCTTTGTCTTGTTGGCCCACCCGGTGTTGGAAAGACTAGTATCGGCAAATCGATTGCTCGCGCTCTGAATAGACAATACTACCGGTTCTCTGTTGGTGGTTTGACCGACGTGGCAGAGATCAAGGGCCACCGACGAACCTACGTTGGTGCTCTCCCGGGACGCATCATCCAAGCTCTCAAGAAGTGTCAAACCGAAAACCCTCTAATCTTAATTGACGAGGTTGACAAAATTGGACGTGGCCATCAGGGCGATCCGTCCTCTGCTTTGCTCGAACTCCTCGATCCTGAGCAAAACAGCTCGTTCTTAGACCACTATATGGATGTTCCTGTGGATCTTTCCAAGGTCCTTTTCGTCTGTACCGCCAACGTGACCGATACTATCCCTCGGCCATTGCTGGATCGTATGGAACTCATAGAATTGTCCGGCTACGTGGCAGATGAGAAGATGGCAATTGCTGAGAGATACCTCGCCCCCGCCGCTCGGGAGCTGACTGGCCTGAAGGATGTGGATGTGAACCTTGAACGGGATGCCATCGAGGAGCTGATCAAGTCGTACTGCCGTGAGAGCGGTGTCCGTAACTTGAAGAAGCAAATCGAAAAGGTCTACCGGAAGGCAGCATTCAAGATTGTCCAAGACCTAGGCGAGGATGTGATGTCCGAAGAGGCGGCTCTGACCGAAGCGGGCAAGGCTGCTCAGGAAGAGTCCAAGGGGCATGAGCCAGCGGATCCTGCGCAAGTTCCGATTGAGCCAGAGAAGTCAACCACAGAGGTTCCTCGACTGGCCCTCAAGGTCCCCGACAGTGTGCATCTCAGCATCGGCAAGGGAACCTTGAAGGATTACGTTGGACCTCCTGTTTTCACCGCCGACCGCCTGTACGACCAGTTCCCTCCTGGTGTCACCATGGGTCTTGCATGGACCAGCATGGGTGGAGCTGCTCTGTACGTTGAATGTATTCTGGAGAATGCATTGAATCACAACTCGCGCCCAGGGCTCGAAATCACCGGCAACCTGCAAAATGTCATGAAGGAGTCCACTCACATTGCGTATTCATTCGCCAAGTCTGTTATGGCGCGGCAATTCCCGGAGAACCAATTCTTCGAAAAAGCGAAGGTTCACTTGCACTGCCCCGAAGGCGCTGTTCCAAAGGATGGTATGTGAAACTTAAATGCGTTGGTTAATATTATAACAAGTCGGCGGCTAACCATTCCAACAGGACCCTCTGCCGGTATCACTATGGCTAGCGCCTTGTTATCTTTGGCTCTCAACCACTCTCTTGACCCAACCGTTGCCATGACCGGAGAGTTGACTGTAACTGGTAAGGTTCTACGCATTGGAGGCTTGAGAGAGAAGACTGTGGCTGCTCGTCGGGCTGGTGCCACAAAGATCCTTTTCCCTGCAGATAACACATCTGACTGGCTTGAGCTACCTGAGGTGAGTCATAAATCTATCCATATCTAGTGGTTATCTTAGCTGACTGTTTATTTAGAACATCAAGGAGGGTATCGAAGGCCACCCGGTGAACTGGTACTCCGAAGTGTTTGACCTTCTTTTCCCCAATCTTGACCAGGAGGCTGCCCGCACCGTCTGGCAAAAGGCACTGGCCAAGCCCAAGAAGGGTACTGAGGAGGCTAATGAAGAGTAGCGCGCTGATACCTTTTTTCGGTTTGGGGGTCCATTTTGGGTCATGTCGTATATACCTGTTGTGTTTTTACGTTGTATAGCTTTTTGTGTGATTTACTGTATACATGGCGTCTTTGTCTTCCGACACGGAATGCATGGTTGGAGTTGAAGGACTGTTAGTAGACCTTTTTGTTCCCATGTGAGATGTATGGACTAGAGCGAGAGCCAAAAAAAGATTACTCCACTCAAAACAGGAGGCGTTCTATAGTAAAGTACATTTGTATAGTTTATACGGAGTAGTGATATTGCGAATAATGCAAAGATAATGCAAAGACTCACATGGATTTCGTATATCGAGTAATATTCATCAAAATTTAGGGCCGCTGTCGTGTCATATAAATTGACGCCAAAATAAACAGGGCGTGAACGGAGCCCCCAATCAGGCATAAGGGTCAGGCCGCAACGCATCCTCGAATTTTGATCTGTGCGCCGTTCGATGAATCATATCTTTATTCTAATTTTTTTCTCCCTCACCCTTGTGTCCCTTAGAAGGGCTTTTGATTGATCTCCTGCAAGGTCCTTTTGCCTCCAGACATTCGAAGCCTTGCAGCGGAAGCATCTCATCACCACTATCAAACGGCTGCAGGCGATTCCTTAGAAAAAAAATTTAGAGGGAAAAAAAAAAAAAAAAAAAACCACTTATACATAAGAAATTTCATCTTGACCGACATCTCTCTTCCCCTTTTGCACCTGCCCTTTTTTATGAGCTTGTGCTGGGCCGGTCTCCCAGCCTCGTCCATTGCAGCCCGACGTTGTGCGACACTTGGACGTTGGATCTCGACGTGAACCTTCCAACTCTTCAACCTCGAAAGGAAAAACACTACTTGGAACTAGTGGGACGAAAACCGTGTTAGTGTGTCAGTGCGACGCCAAACTTCCCTGCCTCCTTGACCCTGTTTCAATTCTTATGGACATCGGAGATTCGGCCAGCGGGGTGTTCGAGTCGTTCCTTACACGACAGAGCGGCTTGCCGTATGGCCATCTCTGTTCCCAACTCCTGTAGCCCGACGCGGCTGGCTTTTCTGGACGACAAAGGCGGAAATCCGCCAAAGCAGAGCATGTGGCACCGGTTGGGTTTGCGAAAATTATGGCAGGGCCGCGACGATCATCGAGACACGTCTGCCGGGGAGAGTCAAGATGAGATTTCTCCCCGTCCTTCTTCTGACAACTCCCGCAAACAAGACAACTTGACACGTCGACTCTCGCGAAAAGTAGGCGTTCTACCACGAACCACTCCCTTTAAGCGACAGAGCTCCGATCTCGAGCGACTGGCTCCTCGGGAGCCCGATCACCGCCGTGCCCTCTCCGCCGACCGTCGCCCCTTAAGTTCCCAGAGAAGCAGGTCTCCACCACCAACCGTGGGCCCCAGACAGTCCGCGCCCGAGGTTCAGTGGCTCGGCCCGGCGCCCACAACCACGGTCGATGACTCCCCCGAACCAGAATCCGAGACGACCGATGCCCATGAGATTAACGGTATCTCCGAATATTCGAACCCCTACCCCGAAATAACGACGGATAATTTCGACGTACCAGAGGAGGAAGAGGATGACCACACAATCGATCTGGATATGGAACTGGAACAACGGTGGATTTTGAATCTGAGCATGCACTTCCGAGATGGGTCAGAGCGGGAGAAATTCTTTGTGACGTACGCAGAGACACCGAACCGATGGCGCCGAGTGACGATTTCCTGCGATTACCACGATGCACCACCATATTCACTGGAACGGGAACTGAAGGAACTACGGTATCAGCGCGACAAATGTGCACGGATATACGAATCCATTCGCGAGTCCCTTCTTGCGATCCAATTCTATGAAGGTGTCACGAATCTCCGGCTCGAAACGAGCGACGGCCGTTTACACGTTCATGTGACGGAGGACGTGAACGAAACAATCCCATACCCTCCCATTTCCAGTATCAGGCATTTGGTCAACGCTCCTTTCATCCCCGAAGACTCGTTGCACTTCGAATCTCATTTATCCGGCTTTGTTTACAAGATAAACCTGGACGGACGTTTCTATATCAAGAAGGAAATACCTGGTCCCGACACCGTGGACGAGTTCCTCTACGAGATTAATGCTTTGCATGCGCTGAAAGACCGCCCAAGCGTGATCCAGGTGGAAGGAATTGTGATCGATGATTGGCGAGGCGTCGTCAAGGGCTTGCTAATTAGCTATGCAGAAAAGGGCGCACTGGTTGACATTCTGTACGAGCAACGCGGGAGAACGAGCTTTGCACGACGCGAGCGATGGGCAAAGCAGATTGTCCAGGGCCTCTGTGAGATCCATGAATCGGGCTACGTGCAGGGCGACTTCACACTCGCGAACATTGTGGTGGATGCGGATGACAACGCCAAAATCATTGACATCAACCGTAGAGGATGCCCAGTTGGGTGGGAGCCCCCGGAAATTGCCGCTAAGATCGAGAGCAACCAGCGCATCTCCATGTATATTGGCGTCAAAACTGATCTCTTCCAACTGGGTATGACACTGTGGGCATTGGCGATGGAGGAGGACGAGCCTGAACGACAACCGCGACCTCTTCGACTAAGCGACGACGCGAAGATTCCAAACTATTACCGACGGATAGTGGATATTTGTTTAAGCCCAACTCCGCGACATAGGCTCTCTGCGAAGGATCTTCTTTCAATGTTCCCCCCACTGCCGGAAGCACGTGTATCGACACCTGTTCAGTCACTGGAGACCATTGCCAATGATTCTCGGCATTTGCCAATTAGCAATTGGGCTCAGCCTCAGCCTGCTAGGCTTGGACTGACATCGCCAGGGGGCATGATACGGCAAGATGATCATTATTATCCCCAAAAGGAGTTCTCGGGAAATTCTTATGGTGAACTGCAACACCCCATATTCTCTGAAAACCATGACCTCGTCAAGCGATCAACAATAACTCTCGCAGAATCCAATGAAGACACGGGATTCTCATCTAAGCCATCTTCTTCCTCTACATTGAATCACCACGAACCTCACAACCCCAACGAGTACATGGACTTTTCCAGTCATTTCAATGATGACTCTTCACCCTACCTACCTTCTGACGGCCAGAAACCGGAAGCCACCCCGGTTTCTCGGACAAGGTCAATGAGCAATGGCTTCCACGACCACCCAGTGGAGCTACCAGCCCTCCCAAATGAGCCTGCCTGTCTTGAAACTGCCCCCACGAATAATCAGCAAGAGACACCTGATGACTCGATCTATAATAATTCCCGAGCTTTGCTTGGCTCTACGGTCACCCCACCTCCACCCCCGCCACCAGTCAGCACATCTCTTGTTGAGTCGCAGAAACAGGAGGCTCTGAATCGATCAAGCCCTAAGGCAGTCAATGACGAGGGTGACCTTGAAACCTCAGCTTTGCCCATAAACCCTACTTTGCGTGACTCCGGTACATCAAGTGGCCCTCAGGCCATCCCATCTTCAAATAGACATACTAAGCAGGACGGTGTGGATCAGTCATGTGCAAAGGCCACCAATGACAAGGATGATCTTGAATCCTCATCTTTGCCCCTCAGCCCTACTTTCCGTGGTTCTGAGAGTTTTATTGGCCTTCAAAATGCCCCTCGATCGGTAAAAGCTGCTCCTATCGAACCGCCAACGCAGAAATGCGCAAATATCGAACCCAACCCTAAAGTTACTGAGCCATCGCCCTCATCCTCATGTCTGTCTCTATCGGAACTACCTATAAGCCCTACTTTCCGTTCTTCTGGAACCTCCGTCGACGCTCTTGGTACCACTCCATCGCCGAACCCTTTGCCTGTTAAACTGTCAAGGCAGGATAACGTGGATCAACCACGTGCAAAGGCTACCACCTATAACAAGCCCATGCCCACAACACCATCAAACGCAACATCCTCCCGACCTCTCCCGACATCACCTCTCAATTCTACTCTAGCTCGCTCTGGGCCTTCGCTCGAACTTCCGAGCGCCCCGCAATCAGTGAAATCATCTCCTATACAGCCGCCAAAGCAGACTGATCCGACTTCGCCATTCACAAACACCGATATTAAACCCAAGGGTACTGAGCCGTCGCCCTCAACATCAAGTCTAGCCCGTTCGGAATTGCCTATCAGCCCAACTTTCCGTTCTTCGGAGACTTCCATCAACACTCTAAGTGCCCCTTCATCGCAGGGTCCTTCCCCAACTGAACCGCCAAAGTCGGAGCGTGCGATTATGCCACGCGATGACGATATTACACCCACCTCTCCGTCAACACCGTCTCGATTCTCTTCAATACACATTTCGGGCCTTCGTCACACCGGGGCTTCCATTGGCTCTCTGGGTACGCCATTCGCAACAAGTCCATCTGTCGTTGGAATTGGACTGTTAAGACGACCTTGGGAAAAACCATCTGCAAATAACTCAGATGTCAAATCCGCATCGACAATGTCATCGGGATCAGCCTCATCCCTCGGAAACTCTCAGACTTCAAGGAAGCTAGAGAGCCCCGTTTCACCGATCAAAACATACCCCCTCGAAACCCAGAAGAATGAAATTTTAAGCCAATCCAAACCAAAGACAGCCGATATCAAACCTGCACAAACAAACCCACTGAGCCCCTGCTCAAATTTGCTGGGTTCGAAGTTGCCCATCAGCCCTGCTCATCCAAATTCAAAGCCCAGTTCTACTTATGCCGAGGTTGAGATGACACGAGCTATTCAGGGCCCATCTTCAAGTCCGGCCAACCCGAGCATTTCGAGCCAGACACGTTTTCTCTCGAATTGAATCTAGTCACCAGTCTATCTATCCCCCACGGACAACTTCGTGAAGCCCTCATGGCAAATTCACACCTCGAACCAACGCAAGGTCACTAATATTTTTACCAAAACAATCTTGCTACGTTGGCCGCCACCCACGACGCCACGACCCATTTCTCCGAACGAGCCCCATATTCGGGGCCGAGCACTCGATACCCTTTTGATTTGCTCTGCTTGTACAGTTTATGCCTCGTCGTTTGCCTCGTATTATTCAGCTTTTGGAAGCATTTATACCGATGGCGGGCGAAACCCTGGAGTCCTAAAAAGTCCTTTTTTTTCTTTAACTTTTTTTTCTTTGCATTTTGGCGGATTTTAATTGGTTTTTGTTCTGGTAGCTTTTCTTTTGTTTTTCCCTATCTCTTTTGTGATGTCCTTTTCTTGTTCCCTTGCTGTTTATTCTATGATTTATTTATTTTCTCTCAGCGGAGGCCCTCGTTCTGCGTTCTGGTGTTCTCACCCGGAAGTCGATGTATATTGATGGGATCTTTTTATACCTCTTCTTGTCTGACAGGGCTGTATTATTTTTCTTTTTTTTTTCCGTTATTTGGCAATGCAATTCTTGGCTAGCACTGGCTTTCTCATTCTAACCGTAAATAGGCCCTGGTGTCTCCTTTCAAGGAGAAATGACTTCTTTATGCTTGATCATAGACAATGAATTAATTCTTCTCATTTGGTAACCAAACAAGATTCAAAGCTCTCCTGCCAAGGTTCTACACTTGACCCTAGTCCTCGTCCAATCAGCACAATCTTGCACTGGAGTGGTTTAGACTTATCCTCGATGTCTATGGGCTCCGCATCTCGAATCTCGAATACATCCCGCACGGCTTGAATGATCCTGCATGTCCCGTTATTCAGGATCAGTATGCCCTTTAACCGATGAACCTCGAAGTCCACGGGGTGTGGCTCGGATGAGACCGATTTCGTAGGCGCAGGGAATGTTGTATCCCACAAAACAGAGCGCAGCCAGGCATCCACGCAGCTGACCTTATCTGCCGGAATTGGAGGAGTAACGATGGCGGTGGTAGAGATTGCCTGGTAATAGTTAGAATCACGAGAGCATGTCCGTCTTTGTTTGGAACAAGCAGAAAACAGAAGATAATATAAACATACCGGATCCATATGGCTATGTCCCTTCTTACTAAAGTCCAAATCCGCCAAGTGATCGTAAGCATGCAAATCCAGCACGACACCCTCAATCTGCGGCGTCCGACTATGATCCGTCACATGAATTTTAGCCACACTGTTGATAGAGGCAACACGATCTCGCACAGCCTCCAGCTCTTGCTCCGTAACCAGATCCGTTTTGTTGAGGATCACCACATCTGCATGCGAGATCTGCATATGCGCCATAGATAGAACAGGGCCAGAACCGTGGTCGTGGTTCACGTCATGCGACTCGGCCTTCTCTTCAGGGGCCGGTTCGTCCAGCAATCGCGTGATGTTCTTTGCGTCGACAAGCGTGACAATTCCGTCTAGGTAGATAGAGCTACCGAGCCCTTCGTCCATCCAGAAGATCGGGGCGATGTTGCCTGGGTCGGCTAGACCGGTTGTCTCTAGAAGGATATAGTCGAAGGTGCCGCGGCGTTCCATTAATGACTCAATGGCCATCACGCCTGAGTCTTTCACGGAGCAGCAGATGCAGCCATTCCCGACTTCCATCCATTCGGTCACTTCTTGGCCGCCTTGATTTACTGTCATTGGTTTTTCAATGTCCATTGCTTTGTGATATAATGTTAGAATGTAAGTTTTTGGTCCATTTAGTTGGACACCTTACAGTCACCAAATTCTGCAATTCTATTAGCAATGTGTATCATATCACACAGTCAGGTGTAATAGACGAACCGTTCATGATCACGGCAATTTTCTTGCCGTGTTTTTCTGTCAGGATATAGTTCAACAGGGTCGTTTTCCCCGCTCCCAGGTACCCTAATCAGTGTATCAGTCTCATATTATGACATAGCTCAATATGCCCTCTATTTAATCATACCAGTAACCAGCGTTATGGGCACTCGCGCAGTTGGTTCTTCATCTACCGATGTTTGGTCTGCTGGCATTGCAGACACATCGATAAGCTCCGGAGGAGCATCCTCATCTTCAAAATTGGCAGACATACTGTCCTGTTATTTGAATGTTGTGTAAATATTAGAGAAGAACACAGAATCCGAAGAAACAGAAAGCTCGTAGATGCCGCGGATGACGTTGTTTCCCGAAATAGACTTTAGGGCACAGGGCTCGGGCGGTCAGCCGTTGTTATGTTGATGGTTGTTATCTTCAGCGTCGATGCTTGCTCCCAACACTCGACCTTTGCTTTCATTAACACGGTTTAACAAGGCGTTTAGGGGCTATTCACTCTTTTACTTGTTTCTCGGTTTTCTCGGTTTTCTCGTTTCAACCAGCGCCCTCGTTACGTTACCGTCATGACTGCTGCGGGAGTCTCTCCGTCAAGCTCCCCGCGGCTTCCCAGTCCTCCTCCATTTACTGAAGTTCAGATTGGGCCTCAGTCACCATCGGTTGGCGAATCTTTTGGCAATGATGCAGATCTGCTTGGTGGTGCGATAGGAGAAAACGATGGCTCGACGCGCAGAATCCGGCCAGGGACCAAATCTGCCAACATGGGCCTGCCGGCGATTCCCCTAGAGCAGGTTAGTTGCTCCCCGCTACATATTTTAGACATTACTGACAGATTCAGATAAACTCCCCATTTCAGCTCCAGGAACACCTCAAAGCCCAGTACCATAAGCTTGCGCCCCGGTACACTGAACTTATGGAGAAGTACGATCTGCTTATGGAGAAGTACGACGTGCTTATGATGGAGTACAATGAGCGGAAGCGCAAATCATCTGACAAGGCGGACCCGAAGTACGATGTGCTTATGGAGGAGTACAATGTGCTTTTAGAGGAGTACAATAAGCAGAACCCCAACGAATTCGACACGGTGGACCAGACAAGCGAGATTGCTGAAGAGCCGACAGAACCCTCAGAGATCAAAGTTGCTAAAGAGCCGAGAAAACCTGCCAGCGAGGTTGCGAATGAGCTGACCAAACCCCCGAATGGGTTCGAGGAAATTGGTTGGAAATACGAACTGTGCCGCTTCTTCACTCTAGAAGTTAATCGCCTGGTCGAGGGCTTTTTTTCTGAGAGCCCGCCATGCTCGTCACAAACTTGTCCCGAGATGCGAGTCAACGATTGGCAGTATATTTGCGCGGGCGCGGGGCACGATAGAGCCAAATATTGCTGCGCTATTGACTACTGCTGCCATACTCTGGATTGGGCCATGAACATTCTCGCCTCGGAAACTTTCGACAAACGACTTGTATTGCCAAGTCATGACAAAATCAGGAAACCTTTGGAAGATATCTTCCGCCGCCTCTACCGCTTCTTCGCACACGCATGGTTTCGGCACCCTAATGTGTTTTCGAAGGTAGAAAGGAATGGCGGTCTGTACGTCTTTTTCAAAACCGTTTGCGTTCACTACAACCTTGTCGCGGACTACACGATCCCTCTTAGGGCTGGAGGACCCGACGAAGTCGCAGCAGCCAAGAAAAGGAAGGAGGAAGCCGAGGGAAAAGCACCCAAGGAAAAACCTGTCAACAGCAGCAACCGCTTCACTATTCTACGCAAGGAAGGTGAAAATACATTCGGTACCGCTGCGGAGAGTCAGGACCCGGCGCTCGTCACTAGCGCGACCACCCGTCGCCACAAACACAGTCCTTCAACGGGATCGCGCGTTACACCTATCGCGGAGGATGCGGAGGATTTGGAAGAGATTACGCCATCGCCATTGCGTGAGCCCCTGGGAGAATCGCCCGAACCGCGGCCTGTTTCCGTTTTGGAAATACGGACTAGAGAGGAACCTACTGTCGCGGATGAGCCACCTTCCGATGTAGGAAACCCCTCCGAGGAGCCAGTTGAGGAATCCCAGGAACAGCTACCGCAAGAACCTCATGAGCAACTACCCGAAACTCCTGAAGACCAGGAAAAGATTGAGCAAGTTGAGCAGACTGAGGAGACTAAGGAACCCTCCTCCGAGGAGTCAGCTACAGACTCAGAATCACCCATCAAGGAGCATGCTACGGAAGGCGATGAAAATACAACTTCCTACGAAGAGGCAACTCCTGCTGAAAAGCCCGAGGAAGAGACTGAGGTGTTACAAGAGCCTTCCGTTGCCCCTGAAACCAAGAACGAGCCAGAGAAAGAGGAGTCTTGATATCAACACCCTCTTGAACCTTTCACGCCAATCTCACACTGATGATAATTGCCCGTTTGTATGTATTCTCCATATTTCCCCTTTTTTGGTTACCCTTGCGAGCAGCGATGAGTCGCATTTTTTTAGCTACCCGGTATTTTTTGTAATATAGTTCAGGATATTGTTTATGGCCAATGTCAATGATACCCATTCTCCTGTGCTTTCTCGATATATTCATGCTTAAAATAAAGAACGTAGTTCGTAAATACTACCTAGGTAGCCTCGATATGTCCGCAAGCACCTAGTTAGTATGTACATAGTCCACAGGTGGAGGACCTCGGGAGATGATCAAGGTTAATATCCATCTGATAAGCGCTTATCGCCCGACATCACCGGAAAACTACCAGGACAACCTTCAAACTCACCCGAATATCCCATATCCAACAACGAAATGTCAGCTCTTAAAGGCGCCACAACGCCAATCTACTTTGGCTCCTTCATTGTCACACCACAGGTAAATCTCTTATAATCCAAAAAAACCCCCAGTCTCCTCAACCAACACCAACCAGTGGTCATTATAGTGCAGAACCAGCCATAAACACAAGCACAGCCATTAACACGACTAACCCTAGCACACCAACATAGCTAACAACTTACTTCCGAACTTCAGGTCTTCCACACAACCCCCCTAACCTTCGCCTTGGTAAACCTGAAACCAATCCTCCCGGGCCATGTCCTAGTCTCCCCACGTCGCGTCGTCCCACGCGTCACAGACCTCACCCCGGCCGAAACAAGCGACCTCTTCCTAACGGTGCGGCGTGTGGGCCGCATGGTCGAGCGCGTATACGGTGCCGCGAGCTTGAACATCGCCATTCAGGACGGCGTGCACGCCGGCCAGAGCGTGCCTCATGTCCATGCGCATATCATTCCGCGCAAGGCGGCGGATCTGGATCATGCCGGTGGCACGGATGCGGTTTATGACTTGCTTGATGGGGATGAGGGGGATTTGGGGAGGGTGTTTAAGAATGCTGTTCCTACGGAAGAGGGTAATCAGTCGACTGATGTTGGGGATGTGAATTCGGGAAGGAGGTCTAGGTTCCCGGTTGTGGATAATGATGCACGCAAGCCTCGTGGTGAAGAGGATATGAGGGCCGAGGCTGAGATGTTGGCGCGGGAGATGGAGAATGAGCCTCTTGATTAATTGGGTCTGTGTCTTGGATATGAAGCTCCAGGGTAATTGTATATATATGATTCTAATAGAGAACAGATATGAAAGTTCGCTAATAAGTGAGACGGTTGAAGAAGTCCTGGGCGGTCCCGCTGCTCAGGTCATCGGTGACCTGTTATAAATCAGGAAGGGGGTATTGTCCTACTCCACGATATCGTGCATATCTGCGAAGGCGCTTCCAAGATCCATCCACAACTTTGATGGTCTTATTCTCGAGTACTAGCTGACCGTTCCTCATTCTCATTTTAAATAAAGTCAGAAAAGCCGAGAACTTGAAGTTGCCGAGGCTGAGCGACACTTAGTTACCAGATATCAAGTATAGTGAAAATGAAGGTTATACAACGTCTATAGCTTTGGTTTGAAATCATGTGTTCTCGTAACTCGTCCTCTATGGTATATAAAGTACCCGTGGGAAAAATGCAAAGATGAAAATGAAGAAACAAACGCCAAAAACGCAATGGGTCTCAGTGCATGCATGACCCATCACCCATTCCCTGCAATTACGCGCAAAGCGCATGCATATCTATGCCTTCTTCGGTCTCCCCTGAATGACCTTCTCAGCCCATTCTTTCATCGGTTCCAACTGAATTTTTCCCATGACGTGGGTGAACTCGGTGAGATCAACACCACTCGAACGCTCATACTCAACCATCTGCAACAGCAGCTCCAGCTTGTCGATATCATGCACGAATATGGCCTCGTCAGTCGTGTTCGCCTCGTATTCCTCAAAGATTTCCTTGATTTCCTTGCCCGAAACGACGCCTCCGGGGATCTTGGCGAGGAGGGTAGTGGTAAGGTAATCCATAACGGAGGCCTCGCGACGAGCCTTCTCGGGCTTAGTGACGGGGTCGACTGGAGTGATATCGCCGACAAGCGCCTCAGCCATGTCATGGATCAGGGCCATCTTTATGCAGCGCGGGATGTTGATCTTCTCTGCCACGGACGGCGGGGCCATCATCGTCATGATCGACATGCGGTACATATGGTCAGAGATTGACTCGCCATTTTCGATGCCGAAGCGGCACCAGCCCGCGCGCTTGGTAGTCTTAAGGCGCTCGATCAAGTGGAAGAAGGGGATAGGTGACGTGGGGTTCTCCTCTGGACGGTAAGGGAGGGTAGAGAGCACTGCAGATATCAGCTTTGCGGGGTCTAAGAAGAGGAGTTTGAAGCCTACCAGTCTCGGGGGTCCATGTAGAGTTGTCGGAGGCCATATCTGATGCCTTTGGAGGGAGAGAACGACCGAGAGAACGACCGAGAGAACGGAAGGAACACAACCAAAGAGGGTAATTAGGGAGCAAAAAAAAAACAAACTACATGTAACCAGCGCGGGACTGATATAAGCTGCAAACAGTGCAAACTTTCGTTATCTATGTTTACTCTCCGCCGCCTGTTTACTAAAGCCCCCTTGGACACAGGATGGCGGCGACAAGGCCTGTTCGGCCGAAACCCCTGGACTGGCCGGGTTCCTCACATTTAGATGTGTTTATTCGCAACTTGAAGCTGTTACATCTGGATCAGCATGAGGATTGGCCCGGTATATCCCTCCGCGCCTTGACCCCGACGTCACAGAATCAACGACACCGAACCCGACTGATAGAATGGGCCCTGTACCACCTCTACGCCATTTGGGATCCGGAGACCGCCCAAAATGTACAGTCACTCAATTACTAGCTTCGAAGTTTCTGGGCTTTACTGACATCCCCTGCAGAAACTCCGGCCCTTCTTCCCCCGTTAGAGCCTCTACAGTCTGTTAATCTCCGCGCGGCCTTGTTTCGATGTCTGGGCGAATTGAAGAAGAATGGCGATCTGGGAAGGGAGATTATTCTTCGCAAAACCATGCTGGATGATTGTAAGGGCGATAAATTCGAGGAGTTGCTCGCTGGCTTCTCCGCCGCCGTTCTCCGTAAAGTTGTGGTGGTGTCCGCGGACGAGATGCTTTTGAATCCCGCCATGAAACTCTCGACTACGACAGCAATGACCCTAACCGACTATCAGAATCTCCTCCCGCTCATTCTTGCGCACCAAGTATCTCTCGGTTCTGCGGGAGAACGCCATGCCCGAGTTAGAGAGGCGTATGATCGGTTCTCACGGCTGCTAGACGATAAAAAGGTCGAGCTGACCGAACGTGCGAATCAAGGATCAAGTGGCTTCTTGGATTATATGCAGGGCGAGCCGGAGAGCTTGGTGCGTGAGTTACAAACAAACTGGCTGGGCAGCGAAGAATGGGCCACTGCACTGCTCAAAGGTGGATCACAAAGCAGCACTGATGCCTTTCTGGAACTCCCTTTTTCTGCTGCATGGATGCGAGCAAGGGACTCGAATGTAGACAGTCTCAGTGGTGGGTTGAAGCAGGACCTGGTCCTTGATTTGGAGGCTCGGGTTCTTCTCCAACGAAGTCGACTACGCAAGTGGCATGAATACAACAAGTCCCTCTCAAAGGAAAGGGGCCCCAACGAAATGAGCACAGCCTCGCCTAAAGAACCACGTGTGTTATTCCGGGATCACCAGTCTCTCACAGTTGCTAGTATATCCAAGTCTGTTCGCCAACCCGGGGATCGCGGGCGGACGTTGAAAGGCCCGGAGAAATACATTCTATCCTCTGTAAATGAGGCCCTATCCCGTATTAACGGCAAATCTCGCGTCAAGCCTTCAGTTTTCACGCCGGAGGTTAAAACGAGCAGCAAACTACATTTCAGAAGCTCCTCGGAGATTGTCAGCTCACCATCAACTGTGGCTGAAGATCACCACTCCGCAGGTCATCCAAAAGAATTGGATATCCAAGAGCTCCATCAAGAGTCTGAGCCCAAGCCCAAGCCATATTCAGAACCAGAGTACACTCAACCCTCTCCCCCAATCGTCCGCCTCCCCCCAGACCTCCCCTCATCAGGCGACGAACCAGCCCCAGAACCAATCAAACGCACCCACACCTTAGTCGAGCGCACGCGCAGATCAATGTCCCTCCTTCCACCGGTGGCCCACGAAGCGCCACGCCCACGCCGCAGACCCCGCCCGTCATTCCCGGTCAACCAGTTCGTGACGCCGCGGAAGACCTCCGCGCACTCAACCCGTTCGAGGGATGAGATCTCACGTGCCTCGACGCCACAGGATCAGCTCTTTGAGGAAGATGCCGAGTATGCGAGTGTCTTTAAGTCGCGACCACGTGTGGCGCTCAGTCCTATCTCGTCGCCGGCTGTGCATGTCAGTTCATCTTTTGAGGAAGACAGTTTTGAATTAGACTATGATGATGGGGATGAGAGCGAAGGTGGTGAGTGGGGGGATATTGATTCGCCTTTGGCTGCTCCGCGATTGAGGGGCTAGGCTTTCAAAGCGTACATATGCACATATATGTACCGACAGGTTGGGGGGTGCTTCTCTGTTTGTCCTGCTGCTTTTAAAAATGGTCAGACTCAGACTCAATCCCTTCCATTCGCCGGTGGACAGACGGTGTATTACGTGCGAATCTTAGAGATGTAATTATCCATACCTGTGGACAATTCATTCATACATATAATAATATAATATAGGTGTTGACAGTATCTAGAAGGGTACCCATATGCATGTAACTTATCGATCACTTCTTGATTTTTCCCCCTCGCTTTATATGTAGGCTTATTTCCATCGGATTGTTTTCTCGGTTGAGTTCGATTGTGATACAGAACCTGATGGTCATCCTTTCGTAATGATTATCAGTCGCAATCCAGGTTCCAACCTCCGCAATATAAAATACAAGTCAAACAGTCTAGATGAAGTTACTATGCAAGTGGACGGAAGACAGGAAGAAGAAAGAAAAAGAAGAATGGAGTAAGATACGTGTATCCACTCCTGAAACTCAGCTCGAGTGAGGCTCTTCTAGTCTAAAATACTTATTTTAGACTAGCCAATAGCTCGGCTGAACCAGGGGAACTTCGGAATTTGTGTAAGCACAGTTCAATAGACATGTCATACTTGCATATTTGTTTTTCCGGTCGATTGGTCGACACTTCGGATGTTTACGAAAGGAAAAGTTCATGGTTTACAAAAATAGCACGGGGCGTAAGTCTCGTCCGAGCTGAGCGGCAGGTATTAAGGCAAACCCCATTTCATCCGAATACTTAGTGCCTTCTATAAAACAGGCTCTACAGAGTACTCCTTGTGTATATCCCATCCTCCAATCTCGAGTCTTTGCACTACAAATTACCTAAGAAGCTTCCATCATGTCATTCGTCCACCTTGTACTCAGCGTCAGCTTGGGTCGCACTATCAACGATCTCAAAAAGGCAGAGAGCATGAGTGGCCATGCAGATATCGGAAACGCCCCCGCTATTTTTCGCGAAACAGTCAAACGCATCCCATCCCTCCTGGCATACTTCGAAAATTGCAAGCAATATCTCGATACAACTACGGTGATGACGGTGGAAGAAGAGCTCCCCCCATTCACCATTTCCTTCTTGGAAATTTGCGAGCACAATGCTTCCCGGGTAAATGAGATCTTCTCAGCCGTGGTTGGAAGTCCAAATCCAGCGGCACAGTACCGGAAAGTTGCACGAGGAGCCCGATTGGAAGATCTAATGAAGAAAATTCTGACGAATGCGATTGAAATGTCGAATACCACACAAATTTCAGTCATAAGCAGTGTCACGGAAGTCGGAAAGCTCCATAGAGATTTGCGCTCGTTTATGGAGATGCCTGTGTCGTTGCCGGAAAAGGAAAACTAGGCAGCGTATTCTTTCAACAACTTCGGAGATGGGTACCAGAATATCAACGTTTGAATACCAGTGGGGGACACCAATACAACAACACTGGGCCCAGTGATATGTTTACTGGCATGATTCGGGGCCTTCAGACGTCCAAATGATATGTAAGAAGCAACACTGTTGTTCCAGTAAACCCTGTATATAATCTATGAGGACGCAGTATAGTTATCTCGATCAATTCACTAAGCTCATAACGATTCTATTTTCGTATAATTTGAAACTTGACATATCTCCATATAAAATTCCCTACAGGGATGTTTCCAACGGTTACTCTGAACTTTGAAGTCTGCACAAGGTTTAACCTAAAGTTTGTTTTGGATCTTTAATGGATCTTTAATATACATAAGGTACATGAGGGAGCGATGAGACAATAAATGGGAGGCTAGAAATTGTCACCTTTGACGCCATTTCAAGCCTCCCACTTCACCGTCGACGGCAATGGCGTCACAATATCGACCGTGCGTCGCCCAACCTAATGTCACTATTCTTGTTCGTGATGCGTGCTGGTTAGTCTCTAGTTCCTAAAATCCCACTTTTTTCTCTGGAAGGCCCAAATAGGCCTCAGCAGCAAGGCGTTCTTGTGAGTGGATATTCGTTCAATGGCGCTCCTTAATGACTATAAGCCGAAGGATCCAGTAGACAAGAAATAACATATGCCGCAGCGGGCACTAGCAGACTCTAGTTGGATACTCTAAATTTCAATCTATTCAATATGCCGAGTAGAGGTATTAATTATCCAATTTGAATTTATTACTAACGAGCGAGTCATCTAAATAGCGATGACTCGCTCGTATCGCACGGATCGAGTGGGGGCCGAGAATGATGCACATGTGTGGATGTTTTATCCAAACATGAAACGCGTATGTTAGAGATAAATTGGGAACGTCAGTGTCGAGACCTGCAATGTTAAATCCTTGCAAATAGTGCCCATGTACCCGTACACTAGTTGAATAACTAACTATTTAGCATCACATGCAGATACAGCGAAATTCAAAATATAGAAAAAAAAAATATCCTAGGAAAAGGAATCCGCAACGGCCATAATCAAGATCAAGATCCTACAAATTGTGCCACGTTTTATCAGTGTGACAGAGATCGACTCTACACGAGGCCCTTGCTCGGAATCAGGCGATCTTACTCGTTGTAGTGCGTAAATGCTGTAATGGGCATTGGTCTCGAGATAATTGCCCCCGCCCTCGTGCGCTACTTGGGCCCCAATATTTTCATGTCCGAGTGTACGGAGTACATATTTTGCGGATGTTGTCCAAGAAAATTAAAAAAAAAAACGTCCTTCCTTCCCAGGAAGTTCTCTGGCGTCAACTTCTCCCTCATGGCGCCTCCCTCAGACACACTCGTTCACACCCTTGGTCATAATACCTTGGGAAAGATAGATATCGCTGTTCAGTCGGTCCTTTTGGCTATTGTTTTTGTTTCCGTCGGTCTGCGGTTATGGTCACGACGATTGCAGTGGAATTCACTGCAATTGAATGATTTGTTGATTATAGTTACCACGGTAGGTTTATCTATTTCATTGCTTCTTCTCAATATGTGGCGCCGTCGGTTCCCCACAATATCCCGACGAGGCTGACGACAAGTGTATAGCTCTTTATGGTCGGTCGCTATGTGGTGGAAATCGTCATGGTCGTGCTGTGTGGAATGGGGCTGCATTCCACCGAAGTAACCCAGGTTGGGGGGTCTGAGGTTCTTGTCCAATTCAACCAGGTAGGTCACAATGAGTGGCATCTATCTGAATTAGGTCGATTTATGTTTCTCAGGCTAACCCTACCATCAGCTTACATATGCGGGTGATCTTCTTTGGGTCACGGTAATCGCCTTGATCCAGCTGTCAGTTCTCAGCTATTATGTGCAAACATTCGGTCAACGCACTATTACCTTGCTATCATATATCCTTGTGGGTTTATGTTCAGCTCTCTGGGTTGCAGGCTTCTTTGCAACTGCGTTTTTCTGTACTCCACCGAAAAGAATATGGCTTGCCGACACTCCAGGTCATTGCGGTGATCGCAAGATGTTGCATACCGGCGTCAATGCGAGTGAGACAATTCTCAGCTTCTTTATTGTCACTCTTCCTATCCCCTTGATATGGCGCATGCCCTTGTCAAAGACTAGAAAGACTTCACTGGCGTGTATCCAGGCGCTAGGGCTGGGGTGAGTAATCTGTGATCGTGTGCAACGAATATAAATTACACCTAATGACTAACAAATGACCCAGCATCGTTGCCATCATTGCTATCCGCATGAAAATCGAGTTCGACCTCGACCCCAAAGACCCAACCTATGGCTCTGCCAGGAAGTCAATACTTTCATGTGTCGTCCCTCTTCTGGAAATAATCGTTGCCTGTCTCCCAACTCTGGAGCCAGCCATTCAAAGGATTTTCAGGATATCGGCGCTTCCCTCTCCAGCACATACATCTATATATGATCCGACGTTTGCGAGGTATTGGAAGACGACGGTTCTTTCGGGTAGAGGGATGGAGGAACCAGAGATGCCTCTAGTCAGTCTTACGCAGCCTTTCATGGCAAAGATGGGTTATCTTGCTCCTGGGGGTATTCAGGTCACTTCCCATTGGGAGATTCATTCGTCGCGGGGTTCGGCGAGATTTGATAGATCACCCGTACGGCAGGCCTGATGGGGCTTATATCGAGAAATGTGTGGCTTATATGGATTGAATTATAGAATTTGGGTCTGGTACCCGAAATATAAATATATTAAGTTTATGTCTTTTTTTTTCTATTCCATAGAAGTACGGTGGGTGGGTAATAAATGCCCTTGGTATCGACCACCCGAGATATAGTTCGCGCTTCCCATTATTCCAGTAAATCCAGTGGCTGGCCCTCTTTTATTACTTTCGTTGTGGATGCTGGGCATGTCAAATACATGAAATATGAAAGAAAAAGAAACGAGTAAAAAAAGGTTGGAGCTAAAGACTTACACATCCCAGGAAGTATATATCTCAAACATGAAGACATTTCCGTGCATATATACGGATTTATTTGCCTCCTTTCCCCCTTGAATTCTTTAGTATTACAGTATATACCAATCTCAGGAGAGAAACATGATTGTCTTGTTTTTGTTAATGTACCGAACAAGCCTAGAACAGTGCAAACCACCTGTGCACTTAATCAGCGCATACTCTCAATCTGGAAATGAGATGTATGCTTTATATACGCCGTCCACTGACATCTTTCATCCCAACTCATTGTGGTTGGCCAATTGGCCTAGTGGTAAGGCATCCGTTTCCGGTGCGGGAGATCGTAGGTTCGAATCCTGCATTGGTCGTTAACTTTTTGCTTTTGTCATGTAGACATGAGGGATTCATTTTTGCGGTTTGTCACTGCATGGATCGATTGTTCCTATGTTACCCAACTGACTGACTTGATTGATGGCGAGGGGGTGGGGAAGGGGGTAGAGTTACAGGTGGCTAGTTAGGGCTTGCAAGCCAAGTAAGTCAGTCACCACCTATTATATATATAGAGAGAGAGATGACAGACATACAACACATATGGAGTACATGTATGGGAGCTAGTTAGGCAGAGAGCAAGCACACCATCAAATTAGTCTGGATTTAACGCACCTCTATCTATGGCTGTATACAAAATACGGAGTAGAACAAGCTGCTTTTAGTATATAACAGATAGATAGATACATCCAACCATCCAACATGCATATATATATATGATGAGCAAGAAAGAGGTCCCACCCAGACAAGGGAAAAAACGGAATAATAACAAGCCCAGCCGACAAAAAAACTGTAGTTATGTATATATATATTTGTCGTAGAGTAACAAAAAGCAAAAAGATAACGACCAATGCAGGATTCGAACCTACGATCTCCCGCACCGGAAACGGATGCCTTACCACTAGGCCAATTGGCCGCCTTGTGTATTAAGTCTTTCAGAAAAAGGATACACGAGAAAGGCAGATTCAGGGCTAGCTGTAACCCTAAGACGGACAGCTACCAACAAATAAGTGTATGCATGGATATTGTCGTCTGCAGGTACTGACCAAGACTTTAGGTGGGAGTTGCATTTTTATTTGCGCTCAGAGCGACCACTATGAGGGACAGTAAACAAATACATTAAACCCCAAGAGAACCCCATGATGGACGATGTCTTTCAGGAAGAAGCAAACAAACCCTTGAGCAGGGTGTATTGCCAACCACCAATTTCCCGGGAAAAAAAGCCTGCGGGATTAAAGACCCAGGGCAGAAGGATCATGGGTGCAAGTCCTAGACCCTACATTATCTCCCACGATGAACGATTATCCCTTGCATAGCAGGGAGGTGAAACCATGATCGACGGGGAAATTTGTCGAGATCAAGCATTGGTGCATTCCGGTAGAAGGAGAAAAGAATTTAGCCACCCTGTCAGAGGAGCGAAAGAAGCAACCAGATTGGCTGTGAAGGGTGTTAATATCGCGCGGCACGGGGAGTCGAGGAGCAGGACGCGACGACGCCCCCTCATATCCCAGTTATGGCAGAATGTCACCAAGACGATCCGTTCTGAAAAGATTAAAGAACGTCTAGAATCCCTCCTGGTGACTCGCATTCTTGCAGACGCTCATTAATACCCCTTCTTGTTTTTTTTTTAGTCTACCTCATCCCGCTTCGTCGCTCGCCGATACTTCCTTTCCTTTAGTTAGATACTTGCGATAAAGGTCTATATAGCCGAAACAATGGTTAAAACCACATACGCCCTTACGCTTTTTGCAGCCGTCAGCTTGGCGGCTCCCGTTGCTCAGCTGAATGGTCGTGCCCAGGAGCAGGGTTCAGTTGAGCACAAGAACCTCATTGAGGAAATTCCCATCATTGGACCTATGCTTGCAGGGGTATGTGATTTTTAGTTTGATTAGGAGCCGAGGTACCAGAAGGGAAAAAGATCAACACTAACGAACCAACAGAAGCAGGAGACGAAGCGCAACGAGGCTCAGCTTCAGCACCGCGGCCTCATCGACGAGGTTCCGGTCATTGGAGAGTTACTTGGCGGCGTAAGTTTGGGCCGTGGTTTTGAATACAACTATAGGAGTACTAACCGAAGCCTCCGAATAGAGCAAGGGGAGTCAGCGCCGAGATGTCGGGAGAGATGGTATCACCGGTTTGCCACTCGTCGGAAAGCTGTTTGGAACGGTATATATCTCAAACAACAGTCATTCTAGGGTCGGGATATTAACGTGGTCTAGCACACACACAGTGGTGGTGAGAATGGTATGAACAAGCGCCACAACTTCGGTCAAAACAATGGCCAAAACGCTGGTCAAAATGAAGGTCAAAACTATGGCCAGAACGCTGGCCAGAACGCTGGTCAGAACGCTGGTCAGAACGCTGGCCAGAATGCTGGTCAAAACCACGGTCAAAACCACGGTCAAAATGCCGGCCAGAATGGCGGCAAAAACTGGCAGCGTGACCTCGAAAGCAGCCTCAGCAGCCTTCCTATCGTCGGAGAGCTTCTCGGAAAGGTACGAAAAACAGTCCTAGCCATTGGAACAGCCACTAGAATCAGAGGACGAAGTCTGACACCACACAGAACCATGATAAACTCTCTCACCAGCAGACCGAAACTCCTGCCAAGCACCTCGAGAACCGCGATGCGGGCCATTCCAAGGGCGTCTTCGGTATCCTGCAGTCTTTGACCAGCGGCAGTGTAAGTTCTTCTCAGACCAGATGATTTATGCAAGTGTTAATAATCATCATAGCCCGTCTCCAAGAGCCACAAGCGCGATGAGTCCGCTGCTCCCAAGGAGAGCCAGAGCTCTGGTGGCCTGCTCGACGGATTAATGGGCCCGAATGGTCTCGGTGGCCTTAAGGGCAACTCCGAACATGGCCTCGGCCTTATCCCAGTACGTGCTACCCACCAAGACAGAGACACGCCACCAGGCTAACTTTCATCTAGATGCGCCGTGATGCCAAGGAGATTGAGGCCCGACAAGCCCCCATCCAGGGCTCCACACTGACTGGTGTTCTTCTTGAGGGTGGTGCTTTGGGCAAGGTTACCAATTTCCTTTCTGGAGGTGCTTTGTCCAAGCCCGGTGCCAGCTCCCCCACTGACATGAGCGACGGTTCTACTTCGGGTCCCCCCAACCCTGCGTCTGGTGCTGGTCCTCACTCTGGTCCTGGTCTTGCTGCTGAGCAGGAGCAACAGGGGTCTGGTGCTGCTTCCGAGTAAGCGATACGCAGGACAATTGCTCATGTTTTATTTTCTATCAATCGAACAGATTGGCTCACGGATTTTCATGAAATTAGTTGGACTAGCCAGCCAAGATTGGGGATGCGCAATTGGTTATGCTAGGTTGTTGAGTTGTTGTTATTTATTCTGCCAAACAATGTCAAATGTTTTCATTGATTCAATAATAAACAGTGTGTAGAACACAGGCAATTTTGAAGTTTGGACACAGAAACCCGCAGGAAAACCCTGCTATGTAATGAGACAGGCAGACGAAGCTGCAAGGAGCGCACGCAAAGAAAGCAAAACATTGAAATCGTTAATCGTAGTCAAATCAAAACCGGCTTTTCCGGTCCGGACCACCCAGTTAAAGAGCGCCCTTGGGGGGTATCAGGTCGTTACGCGCGATGAAATCAAATACAGCCGTTCAAGATGGAACAAAATGCTCCGAGAGGCAAAGACGAGCCTAATCAGAGTCATCATACATGTCCACATCGTCTACCACCACCGTCGTCCCCAACGCCTCCTTCCCTTCTCGGATCATAGCCTGCAGTTGCTTATTCAGTCGCTGGATACTGGCATCTTCTTCTCGTTCCTTGCGGCGCATCTTAGCAGCCTGTCGCTGTATATCAGCAGACACAGGAGTATCCCTCAACCGAGGGGATGGCAGTCCCCCTGTCCCTTAGTAGGCGAGTGGGGTCCGGTAGAAGCGTAAGAGACTCGTTTAGCAAGCCGGGGCATCACGGCAGATTTGCGACGAGGACTAGATGCCTGGAAAGTGCGTCGTGTGCGGAGTGACGGACTAGCAAGCTCGCTGCTACCCACGAATGGATCTGAGCTCTCGGGTACCACAACCCAGCTTCGGTCGACCTCGTCATCTGGATATTGGCCGGGTACGGGTGTCGAGCAGTATGTGTCCGGGCTGTACATATCTTTCTCAGTGGATGGGCTTGTTGAGGGCAGCCAGCTGGATTCAAGGGTTGTTGCTGGGCTGGATGACATGTCGTAGCCCTGTCCTCCTCCAGCATAGAATCCTCGGAATGCGCCAGCCCAGCACATATCGAGGACTTTGCTCACGGCTTTGATCACGGTCTGGCCCCAGCCTGTGGGTGTTGGGGTGTTGGGGCCATCGGGGCTTGCGGATATGATGTCAGAGTCGCGGCGGCTACGCTTGCGACTGCCGTTGTAGTCTGCTAGGTCTGTTGAATCGTCGTAGGAATCGAAGGAGGGCGGGAGGAAGGATTCGCGGTATCGGTTTGGACGGTAATCAAGCTCGGCCGAGGCGTGGAAATCGTTGGCTCCGGTTACGCTTACTGAGCGGTAGCTAGGGTGGATCATCGGGGACCCAGTGAAATTGCACTCAAAATGCGACGAAAGTTTCTCTGTGTTACGACGGGGTCGCTTGCGACTGAGTGAGAGAGAATAGAGCGAGGTGGAAGCCGTGGAGGCTGGGACTTGGAATAGCTGAGAGGGTGCATTGGAGAGATCAAGTTTAGGTTGTGAAGCAGAGTTGAAGATAGCGTGCATGTCGGGCATTTTGGAAGGAAGTAAGAGAGTAAGACAAAAAAAAAAAGATCGATCAAAAGATCAAAATCGGAGAAAAAAAAAAGAAAAGTGTCTCTCAAAAAAGAGAGAGAAAAAGCGAGAGGTTGGATATCCGTGTCAGGATTAGTGTTCCTTACAAGTCACTTCTCTTTGTCTCACACTATTTAAACCCCCCTACATGACATTCTCAGATAACAATATATCCCATATATCCCATATATTCCATATTCCACATATTGAAATTACAATCGCTGGCTGGTCCATTGGACTCCGGCTGCCTCTAATCCCTCATCACCATCAACTAACACACACCATCCCTCGCCGCCCTGTCCCCCATCTCCCGCAATCACTGCCTCAAAGTGGCTGTGAGCGTATTCCAACACTTGATCGTTAAAGGTACCAGGTTGTAACCAAACTGCAGGGATCCCCACCGAGTGCGCTTCCTCCAGCACTTGGAGGGTCACAGCTGGAGGGGTCACGACTGAGAGGGAAGTCTGTGCCGGCGATGGCAAACTGGCCGGTGAGGGGACTGTATCATAAGCACGCGAGGGGAGAGTGATCTGCGCTGCTCGGGGATTGAGTGGTGTCACCGGTAGGGAGTGTTGATGATACCAGGCGAGGACTGTAATGATTTAGTTCTCTATACAACTGCCAACAAAGAGTATGTTCTCTTACTCTTGTATCCGAACTTATGAGTGTCATTGCTGGCCCCCGCCACTGCAAAGCGGGGGAAGAGAAGAATCGCTTGACTGCTGCCATGGTAATTTGAATAATTTGAATGAAATAAATTGGTTTATGTTTTCAAAGAACGAAGTAGTCTTTGAACGTTATTAGAACTGGTAGCCAAGTAGGTAATAGCAAACAGTTGTAAAGTTGCAAAAGAAAGGAAAATAAAGCGCGCAACCTCGGCTGATGACGACTTTATCTCCCTTCATCACCCATCTCCGACATTCGGCGAACTTACTTGTTACTTCACGTCTTTCACATTCATTCGCATGCCACCCTTTCTCCCTCGCAAGCGCGTATCCTCCGAGGACCCGCCCCCGGCCAAACGCCAGGCCCGGCCCGATAATGCTCAAGCTCCTCCCCAAGCTCCGTTCCACCTCTCCGACTCCGACTCCGATTCCAACTCATCTTTGAGCGACGCACCCGATGGTCTCCTCAACAAGGACAATGCCCCTCATGAATCTGAGGAATCCGAAGATGAAGAAGAGGATATTGATTGGGAGGACGCGATAGACAACACTAGCGCCAATACACCTACTGTCGCAGCCCCGGAGCTACAGGACCTGGAATTGACCCTAGATCAAAATGAGACACACGTGGCCGATCTCCTGGATGGTAAGAAGGGACCTAGTAAGATCGAACGCCAAATCCGGATCCAGACACACTGTATGCATGTCCAATGCTTGCTTTTCCACAACGCTATCCGCAATGCCTGGAGCAACGACCCCAAAGTTCACGAGATACTGCGCAAAAAGCTACCGGAAGGGATCCACAAGGAAGTCAAGAAATGGCGCATAGCATCGGGCCTAGAACTACCAGAGCCAAAACCTGAACCGCCCAAGAGTAAGAAGAAAGGCAAAAAGACCCAGAAGAATAAAGACTGGAGTGAAGAGTCCGAGCGCCTGGAACCAGGCCAGCCGGATATGAGCCGTGGTGATCCAATCATTATCTTGATCAAGGTGCTGGTCGCATACTGGAGGAAGCAGTTTCGCATCACAGCGCCAGGACTGCGAAAGTATGGATACCGACCAGTATCTGCTCTTGAGACTGCAATCACCGACTTTCGCGAAGAAGAACATGACCCAGAGCGGCATGGTGAGCGTATCGCCAACCTCGACGAATTTCGCGCGATCGCCGAGCGTATGCAGGGCTCGCGGGATGTTGGCGCGCAGCTGTTCACGGCTCTCGTCCGTGCTCTAGGCATTGAGGCCAGACTCGTGGCTAGTCTACAGCCACTGGGTTTTGGTTGGACCAAGGGAGAAACCTACACCCCTCTCACACCTTCCAAGGCAGATAAGGACCCCGATAATGAAGGGCAGTCGGAAGCATCCGAGCCTGAGACTGACGCAGCTGAAAATAAACTACCAGCGAAGAACAAGCGCAAACAGTTTGACGAGGATCTACCATTTCCTATTTACTGGACCGAAGTTGCCTCACCCATCACGAATGAGATCATATCTGTCGATCCGCTTGTACTTTCCAACCCCGTGGCACCATTTGCAGATACAGACCTACAAGCAAACTTCGAGCCACGCGGTGCAAAAGCAGACCGGGCCAAACAAGTCATATGCTACGTTGTCGCCCACTCGTCGGATGGCACTGCCAAAGAGGTCACAACAAGATACCTTCGACGGCGGACCTGGCCGGGGAAAACGAAGGGCTTCCGAATGCCTTTGGAAAAAGTACCCGTAGGTCCACGCGGACACTACATCGCCTTCGACTGGTTCGGGATGGTAATGCGCGGGTACCAACGAGCCCGAAAGAGCAAAACAGCAGTCGACAAACTCGAAGAATCTCGAGATCTACAACCTAACCAACCCGAAAAGAAGAAAACAACGCAAACCGCCGATACTCTGCAAAGCCTCCGAACTTCCACCGAGTTCGTCCTAGAACGCTTTCTCCGCCGTGAAGAAGCCCTCCGCCCCGGCGCGGAACCAGTCAGAACCTTCATCGCCGGAAAAGGCGCCCGCGCCAAAGAAGAACCCGTCTTCCGACGAGCTGACGTGCTAAAATGCCTTTCCGCGGAAAGTTGGCACAAAGAAGGCCGCCAGACAAAACCAGGCGCGGTAGCTCTCAAGCGTGTGCCCATCCGCGCTGTGACGCTCATACGCAAACGCGAAGTCGACGAACTGCACCGCCAGACCGGCGAGAAGCCCCTGCAGGGTCTATACGCGCGCGACCAGACAGAGTACATCATCCCGCCACCTATTCAGGACGGCCGCATCCCCAAGAACGAATATGGTAATATCGACTGTTTCGTGCCGAGTATGGTTCCCGCAGGTGCGGCACATGTCCCCTTGCCTGGTACCGTGCGGGTATGTAAGAAGCTCGGCATTGACTATGCGGAGGCGGTGACGGGATTCGAGTTTGGATCGAAGATGGCTGTGCCGGTTATCCAGGGTGTTGTTGTTGCAGCCGAGAATGAGGATTTACTTCGGGATGCTTGGAAGGTTGAGGCCGCGGAGAAGAGGAAGAAGGAAGAGCTTAAGGCCGAGAAGAAGATTTTGCAGACGTGGAGGAAGTTTTTGTTTGGATTACGGATTATGGAGCGGGTCAGGGATGAGTATGGAGGTGGAGATCCAGATGCTGATCGGGAGCGCGATTCGCATAACCCCTTCGCTGCACAGAAGAAGAAACAAGAGGAATCCGATGATGGTGGTGCTGATGAAGAAATGCCTGATCGGGAGTCGTCATATAACGCGATTGATCATGGCGGTGGCTTTCTTCTTCCTGGTCATGAAGATGATGCGGACGATGGGTTGATTGTGGAGCACCATCAGCAGCAACGGACTCACGCAGGTCCGTCTCATACTGATGTCGATGATCCTGATGACAATGAGCCATTCGAATCTGGATCTCCTGCTGCAAACTCCCCGCCTGTGTCTATCTCTTCGGATTCAGATAACGAAGTGGATAATGGCAAGAGTGAAGACTCAGAACCTGAATACGCACCTCGCCCGACACGCCGAACGCGAGGCCGAGGCCGTTAATGGAATGAATGTATCATCCACATGACTGGAACTGGAAGAGGGCTATGGATTTTGTTATGTACTATGTACCAGTACCAGCAGTCTCTTGCACTAAGTAGAATTGTTTGCAAATCCCGATCTGGGAAAACTTCTTCGAATGATAGTGATTAAAAAATCCAAGAGATTGTCTCACGTCGTGTAATGTAACTAACATTCTTCAATTGGTCCATATTAGGATACAAGATAGGACAAATGATTTTTTTCTAGCATGCAAATGCGAAGCCTTTCTCGATTCTGGTTATATGTCTAGGCTCTGCGAATTGGTTCGTTCTGTAGGATGCTGTATCCTAGGAGTATAAAGAAAAGGGGAACGAACTATGCTAAGCCTATATATTGTCATGCTAATCAAAAAATAAAAAATAAACCATCAACGTGGTTCCTATTTAGATATTGCCCGATACATAATGCCACAGATTAGCCAAGATGTTCTCCGTTCCACTTGCACGAAGCGAAGCGGAACTTTTCGCTACGGATTGGTTTCCTGAGACAAAGCGTCGTCGTCTGATCAACATTTTGCTAGGCGATGATGGCCCATTTGCACATACTAGGTGAGAACTATACTCTGACGGCATGACCGATATATCTATAGGTGTAACTGACAACTCCACCGAGCAGCAAAGGACCTTCATTCTATTTCAACGGTCGGTCTCTTCACCGACCAGAATATACCGCATTTCATCGCAGTAAAGTACCCATCGATCATATCAACGATCGACTGCCTTCATTGTTAGGATATGTGCACTACACAAAGGTCAATTGAGTCCGCGAGAGGCTGTTTTATCCTTGTCCGGGTCCAAGGGGAGCTACAAACAAGGTTTGTTGGTGCATTCGTCGGAAGCGATTAGCTCAAACTACCCCGGGAGGTATGGACCGAAGATCCATATTTCGTGTGTCACTTGTTGGCTCTTGCGCAGTTTCAAGAGCGCTACCTCAATCTATCAAGATCAAAACCTATCACTTACATCGTATGTTATTAGCCTCTTTGTATTTTTCCTGGTCTATCGCGCCCCAGCTAAGTCGCTCTTAGTCACGTCTTCTCGTGACCAACTCATTACAACGGGAATACATTCTACCCTATGAAGCCAAAATAACCCCCGAGCTTCTGAGTGGGCTCAGGGATTCGATAGACGCGACAATCCCCGCCCAATGGCCTACAATTCAGCGGAAAAATATCCCATATAAGCCCTATGATACGCTTGCTAGCCGACTCAAAACCGAGATAGGGGAAACCAGCCCTTTACCTTCTCACAGCTTTTCAAATACATCAGATGATGTGGACGGTGTTGATGAGCACAGTGGAAAACGATCATATGAACCAGAAGATAGCGGCTCATCCAAAATGATGAGGATTTGAAAAAGAAGAGCGGGTCTATAGGGGGACCTGGGAGTAGGGAATTTATCGGCATGTTAGCGATCCTTTTTTGAATGGTCAATTTTAAGGGGTGTTTCGGGGGCATTGTATCAATATTTTGCATGTTCCAAGGATGAGTGACGACTATGTAGTATTCTTTTTAAATAGCTTAACCATATTCCTTTTCGATCCATGACTGTTGTTCGTCAAGTTTTTATTATATATATATATATTTATACTCCTCGGGCCAAACTCGGGCCCGGCCATCAGCTTTTCTGTTCTTACGAATTTGTTCTAACTCGATCACGCCTAGTAAATTGCTTAAGAAAGAGTTAGAGCACTTAGTCTTGAATCAATCACTAACTACGTACTACTAGACCCTCGATTAAACCGGTCTCTTGTGAATTGTTACACCGAAACAGATCATTCTAGACAATCAAGGGGCAAGCCCATAATTGTGAAGAACGAAAGCGGATGGCGATTTATTTATAGTGATGTGATCTTGTTCTAAAAAATCCCCCACAAAACTATTGAAAACTATTGAATACAAGCTTGGTACGAAGAGCAAAGCAAACAAAAGACTTGTGAGAAAATATCTTTTTTAACTATTGTGACAGTGAAGACAAAAAAACCCAGTTGAGGACACGGAATCATACATCTGTGTGATCTACTCAATCTATTGCAGTTGAGAGACAAGTGCAAATAACCTCATTTAGAAGGCTGTGGCCGAGGCAGATGGGGAGCACCGCTGGAAGCGCCGGGGGGAGCACCACCACCACTACCACCCATACCAGAGCTCTCATTCTCAACACCACCCTGCTCAGTGTAATAGGCTGCGGGGGAGACACTGGAGTCGACGGTAGGGTCCATACCAACGGAGATCCAAGCGAAGATTCCATCGGTGATATCATCGCCCAGGAAGACGTATTCCATGAATGGGTCAATGGTATCGAGCTCCTCGGCGAGAATGCTGTCGTCAGAGTTGAGGGTCACCTCCTGAGTGTTGTTCGAGTACGGGTAAACCTCATCAGCGGCGGTGATAAGATCCTGGTCGAAGAAAATCTGTCCGACGTGCGACGAGTGCGAGGAGTACAGACCGGAAAGGGTTCCGTTGGCAAGGACCTGGGTCTCGTTGGCTGGGTGGGTGAGGACTATTGATGAAGTTAGTAAATATTGGAATCGATTTCAATTGGTAGCGTTTGGCAAAGGTCATCCATGCAAACAGAAAGACAGTAACCATGAAGGGAGAAACAATTTCGTATCTGGGTATCATACCGTGGATGTGAGTTGCGCGGCCGGTGTAGTGACCTGGGAAGGTGGTTTGCATCTGGATAACACCCTCCCTGTTACTCTTCTGAATACCTCGGTTGAAGGTGTTGTTGAGGTTAGTCTGATCATCAGAGTTGCCGTTTCCACTGGCGACGACTCCAGAATAGACACCCTATGGCGATTGATGTGAGCGGAACTGTTTGTACTGCAATACAGCGGGGAAATTAGAGTGAAGGGTTTACTTACGGTGGAGTTGCAGTGCCACAAGTCCATGTAGATCTCCGGAATGGGATCGCAGGTGTTGGTGTCGATCAGCTGGATGTCCATGTAGAGAGGAATACCCTCCTGGGACTCCGCCATGTTGTCACGAATCAGTTCACCCGTGACATCTAAACTGCGTTAGTAACATTCAATAATAAAACAGAAATGGGAAGCTAACAGTAAGGTCCCTGGGTGACATCGGGTGCCAGAATGCAGGTAGCATCACCGCCAAACAAGACATTGGGGTCGGTAGAAGGATTCACTCCGGTGAGGTTGGAGTGGTGAGAAGTCTCCAGGGCACTATCGGAGCGCGCCTTGTTCAAGTGGCTGGCTATTGGGTTGTTAGAATATGACAGTGTTTGTTGACTTGGCTTTAAAACATACTAGGCTGAAGACCAAGGCGGCGGCGAAGGTTCTTCACGGCCAGGTGGCGACGGACCACATTTCGGTCTTCCTGGCCACGACGGCGAAGGTGAGAAGAACATTGCGCAAGGCTGCGCGAGTGAACAGGGGCACTCTTGAAGAATTCAGCCCGCTCAGCAGCTTCGGCCTTAACATCATGTCCCGGGTGAGCGGACACGATGCCGGTCAGAGCAGTCAGGCCAATGGCAACAGCAGATGCGAGATGAACCATGATTGAGGTATTGAAGCAGTCAAAAGTGAATGTAAATGTGAATGAGGAACTTGAGGATACCACAGGCGGGTGTCTTGGGGTGTTTTATATCTTCACGATGCCTTGTTATCTAGAAATACCAAGGCGGAGCATGGCTAGATTCAGGATAGACCCGCCTGAGATAAAGGATATTTTTATGAAGCTGACGAAGTATACGGGGTAGTCCTGCGCCTGCATTGGCAAATGAAACGCGTAACATTTCTCATCAAGGAAGGAATTTAGGTGACTGTAGGCCCCTGGAGTGGAGCTTCAACTATCCATTGATATCCTCGTCATAGTGCCAAGGGTAGCAATTGCTTGCAGCTGATAGGACAACGGTAGGTTGTGCAAGAGCCAGAGGCTTGGTACAGGAGCAACTCTAACCAACTCTGATGAATCCACCGTCGATCATCCTGGGACTATTGTCCTGCCAAGAACAAATTAGCCATTGAGGGTTTCGAAATTTGCCATGCGGGGAATTAAGGACGCGGCCCAAGGATGATATCCATAGAATAAGTCTTTCTCTGAGTACCACTAGACTGGCACTAGACCAAGTGATCGACCATGATGACGAGGCCCCACTCATCCAATCCAGAACCCGACTCATCTAGAGTGTGTAGATGTGGATGGAGTTTTCAAACGTAGATGCGTAAACGCCAGTTGACAAGCGAGCACTCATCCGCCACCCAAGGATGAGGCTAGGTAGCATATGCGTTCAAGACTCATCACGGATGGGTTCAATGGTAGATGGTGGATAGGTCCCCTATACTCAGCCAGTAAATTTCCAAACAAGCCAGGTCCATCGAAACCGCAATGTAACGGCTAGACGGGGCGCATGGAGTCTTTGCCCTAACGTGCGTGGTAGTGTATACGTATTCGGTCTTGGCGGTCCCCGTCCCGAGGTCCCCTGCGAGATCAGTCAGCGGAGAATGGAGCCCCGAAGGCTTTCAAGGTTTGGCTGAATATTTATGTCAACAATCAACAATATATACAACAATGCCACACTCCGAGATTGTTTACCAGGAAACATCCAAGCAATGAAAGACAAGGCACATGTGAAAGTCTTTTTCCTTGTTAAGAGTGTATTTTCCCATTCAATCTGTGAGTTTCCAAGGTTTGCCAAGATACTGACATAAGCCGAGGAAAAGGCCCCGGGGCTTGGCAATTGCTTGCCCCCCGGAGATCCCAGGGCTGAGTTGGTGAATGTGGATTTCAACCCTATGGGGAGAGAATGCGAGTACACAAAAAAGCGGGATCCATTGTAATGTGGCTGTACGGAGTAATGTCTCATCAGTTACGCCTCTGGGGCTGTTTGCGTGGCAGACACGCCCCCTAATGATTTCACTATGTCCTTCATGATGAATGTGCAATTTGTTTCCGACTTTGCTATAAGCTATTTTTGGTCTATTATACCGCCGGTAGAATTCCTGTTCTTGTATTGGCTCCTGACTATCACCCAGTTAACCTTATTCTACTTAACTGGCACTTTCTACAGAGTACCTGGCCCGCACTTATATTTTTTATTTTGGACAAAAATTATCAACCCGCCTACGGAGGGTGCGCCACCGCCACGCCACCCATATGCAACTAATCGTATCCTTTACTACGGAGTAGGCGGACCATACTCCGTACACAAAGGGGACATATAGAAATGCTGGTTTTAAGTACGATAAAAGTCATTAAAATTTTATTACAATCTAGGATATATAATAATCTGCTCTATTTAAATGTCATATTCGAGTTTGAGCCTAGGTTTTAGGGAGCCTTTTTATAGTGTTGCGATTGGAAATTTAAATCTACTATGGCCTCTAATATAAGAAATTCAACCATAAAAGCGTTCTGGAAACTTGTCCCTGAAATTATATAAAGGTATCAGGATTGTATTTGTTACAACCTGCCCCTGGACTAGCGAGTTACACACTAGGCCAAAAAGACCACTATATTTGAGAATTACACTCAGATGGTTCAGGCTCCGATACATATAGTGCGTGTCATGACAGTACTAGGGTATTCGTAGTCACTTGAAAAGGTCTTTATATAATTCAGTTGAGAAAAACTAACATTTATATATGTACCTTTTGTATGGTCCGCCTAGTAAAAGATACAATTACATATGGGTTGTGGACCCTCCTGACGGAGGGTCTATCATTTTTCTACCGAGGATAACAATTGTCAATATAATCGAGACCATGACCTAAATGTACGTGGGAATTCTTGGTATCAAGCATCGTGAGAGTTAGCTAAATGGTTGCCTGCAAGAATTGAAAAGAAAATAGTATTAAAAGCCATCTGAATTAAATGTATTATGTTACATGCATATTCGTGGATATCGGGGGCAATGTCGCATGAAACCGTTAACTCATGATAGAGGCAATAATAGAAGCAAAGCCTGCTGAGAGTGGGCTAGCACTACGTAAAAGATAGAAAACAATAGAACCACCATGTCAAAACCAGTCCGATGGATTAGACTTCCTGCTGGGTCACGCTGGGTGCATGGGCAGCCTTCTCGTCCAATCCAATTTCGGCAGCAAAGGTGCTGTGAGGCTGCCACTTAGAGGAAGTGCGAGGAGTGGTCTCTTCCATCATCTTGTCAACCTGCTCCAGGGTTAGACCCTTGGTCTCGGGAATGAGGAAGTAGGTGTAGATAAAGGCGCAGGTGCACAGAGAACCCCAAATAAAGAACACCTTAGCGCCAAGGTTACCCTTGTCGGCATCCGTCATGTAGGGAGTGATGACTGCGATGATGCAGTTCCAGAGCCAGTTGGAGGCAGTGGAGAGGGCCACGCCGCGGGACCGGATGGGCAGAGGGAAGATTTCACCGATAACGACCCAAGCACCGGGGCCCCAGGTGCTGGCAAAGAAGAAGATGTAGATGCAAATGAAAGCGATCATTGCACTGACGGCCTTGGGGTTGCTGCCATCGGTGACACCAATAATGGCCACAATGAACTGGCACACAATCATACCCAGGGCACCCCAAAGGAGCAAAGGACGACGTCCGTATCTCTCAATGGCGTAGAAGGAGAGTGGAGTGGAGAACACATTGACAATTGTGGTGATCATGCTGATCAGGAAGGGGTCGTCAATTGTGCCAAGCTGCGTGAAGAAGGTGGTACCGAAGTAGAAAATGAAGTTGACACCAGTCCACCTACAGCCGGTTAGTTTACATTCAATAGCAGGGAGAGGAGAGTAAGACATACTGTTGCATCATCTGGAGGGAGGTACCCAGGATAGTACGACGAAGGTTGCTGTTAGGGTGCCAGAGGCTTCCGTTGAAGCAGCTGAGCCAAGTGCTGAAGTATCCACCCTGGGGGATTGCCATTTGTTCATACTGGTTGTTGGCGTCAATCTCATTCAGCTCCATCTCGACAAAGTCTGAATTCTCGGGCTGTCCACGGATACGGGCCAGCACAGTACGAGCCTTATCCTTCTGGCCCTTGCGGATGAAGAACCGAGGGGACTCGGGCAGCATGAACAATCCAAGGGCTAGAATGAGAGCCCAGAGCATTTGGAGGGCAATGGGGATCCGGTACGACCCACTGTCTGTACGGTCCTGGGTACCATAGTTCACGCACGAGGCAAGCATCAAACCAACGGTGATACAAAACTGGTAACCCGAGACGAGGGCACCACGGACCTTGCGGGGTGCAATCTCAGACATGTAGAGAATGATGATGGCGGAGACAAATCCGATACCGAAACCGGCAATGAGACGACCGGCAACGAGGAGTCCAATGCTGGTAGCGGCGGTCTGCAAAACGACACCAACGATGAATATGGCACAGCCAGCAATGATTGTAATCCGACGACCGAACCAATCAGCCAGATCACCGGCGATGAGGGAACCAAAGAAGGTTCCAGCGGAGAGAATGGAAACGATGAGTGACTTTCGGGAGGACGGGATGACGAATAGCTTCGGGTCGGTAGTGGCAGGATCCTGGGGGTGGTTAGTGAGATCCTAGGAACTTGTGGGTAGACATTGACACTCACAAGATCTTCGAAGTGCTGGATGAAGTACTTCATGCCGAGAACACCGCTGATGTAACCAGAGTCATAACCGAAGAAGATACCACCAAAGGCAGCAAAGGCACACATCAAGTAGGCCTTGAATGTGACCGGGGCCTCGACACGCGTGGTGTCGACCGGCCCAGAGATGACCGCTCCACCAGGCATGGTAGCTAGTCGATGAGGGTAGATGTGTGTAAGAAATCCAGAAAGAGACAAGTGAGATGTCTCAAAAGGAAGATAATGTGAGGTGAGAAGTGGATGGAAGAGGAGGAGAGGAAGGGACTAGGGAGGGGGAGAGGATTTATATTTTATATGTCAGGTCATCCCCAGACTTTCCCCCCATATCCCTGGAAAAAAAAAAAGCAAAACTACCGAAAAAAAATAAATCTCATCTAATCCATGTTTGGCTTGGTCACTGTCGGCCTAAGATACAGGAAACTTAGAAATCGGCTAGAATGACTGTGTAGCCAAGTCGGCTCTAGAAATTTGACCACGCGATAGAAACGGCAAGTATAGAAAACCGGGGAAGTGCTGCACGGCCCAAGCCGTAAAACTGTGAGACAAGGTGATCTGATTGGGTAGAATCCCCCAAATTGATCCGCTGATCCTGGTCTCATTACAAGAGGGTCAAAGTGAAAAAGAAAAAAACCCAAAATCCCCCTAAGAATCCCCCCTAAACTCCATCCATATGCAGTTTGTAGGTTGGGAACATCTAGAACCAAACAGAGTCTCGGGTTGACAAACCGGAGATGCCCACTTTAGGATAGAGGGTCCGCGGGGAAATCACCTCTAATTGGTTAGTTGTCTATGGGACTGTGCACGTGAATACTTTTTTTTTTTTTTGGGACTGTGACTCCTCCACAACCCCCCATATCTTCTTCCCCAGGTTATTTTTATTCCACTAGTACCTCCAGGGGGATGTTATATATAACACCGAGTATATTTAGCTTATTTGCAAATGAAAAAAAGGCATCTCAGGTATGAGTCTGATGACCTGAAGGGAACTACAGCTCACAGTTTAACACTTCCAGCCTAAAAACTACTACTCCGTATATTCACATCAATGTCACATTGAGGGCAAGCTGTACAAAGCACAGACCTTGACGACGCCACTAAATCCCACTCCCCCTTTACTTTAATGGAAAAAAACCTAGTCTTGGCGTAAGGCAAGCTGACTATTTAGTTAGTACGGACAGGGTATACAGTAAGAATAATCATAATAAACTAGTTTCATGAGTGCTACCGCTTTACGGAGTTTATGCTGCTAGCCATGTATAGTTAAAAAAAAAAAACAAGCAATAAAAAGACGATCAAGACGATCAAGACGATCAGGACTGTCAAGATGTGAATATGGCTCGCAGCTCGGGGATTGCCGAGCTAACTAGTGGGTCTCTCAGACACACAAGAGTTCTGATGGCAGAAGTGGGCTTTTCGAGAGTTTATCCGATTTTCTCCCACGGAAAAACCGGCCAGTTACACGGGGGGCCCTAACCTGCCTCAGCCTTTCATGTCCGCATTCTGTCTTGGCTATCACGTGAAGTCGAGTTTTTACAGTCTGTCCCGTGCCAGACATCGCCACGAAACGAACGAGCGGGCTATTGTCGGGAGAATTTCGTGTTTGTTGTCTTGGCTACTTTGCATCGCGACAGCGCGCTTGAGCGTGGCATGCTATTCGATGTCAGAAAATGTGACTCTACTAAACTTCTGAACCTTTCCCCCTTTGTTACCTATCCAACTCTGGAGTGGCCAAATACAGCAAATGCTACCCCGTGCCCCATCCACGGGTCTGCGCTCGGTTTATGGAGTACAGAGGGACCGATCCATGGGAAACTTGCCATATGGTCTCGGGTGAAATGGTGGTACTATGAGGGATCCACATTGGCCTTACTACTATGGGGATATGGGGACCGAAGTTAGAGGAGCTGAAGGAACTGGGACTCCCCGAAAAACAAACGAGAAAATGGAGCGAGCCGAGGAAATCATATCCGATCCCGGTGAACACTTTCCGTTAGAGCACAGATTTGTGATCCTTTTTGAGGGGAAGATATCCATCATACGTGGGGACTCGGTAGTTCCCGAGTACGATGTACTTTTGCACTACTCCATACTCATTCGGCATTGAGAACATGGAGAAGTCTCCGGACCCCCCGGATTTAGGTTAGTTTTTCTGGGGAATACTACCCCAGGACTTGTCTTCAACGATGGATCTTGTCACCGGTGTAGACTAAGGACTTATTATATTATTCCCTGCGTTAATCAATTTCCTCTTTTGGATTTCAATACATGCCGTTCACTATGATTCGTGGCATCTCGTTTTTTTATATTATTTCTCCGGTTTAGCTGACACATTCATTTTGACACAACTTTTGAGTACCATGGATTGGATCTGTACATATTGTCCTACGTCGTACTCCGTGTAGGGGCCTCGAGTCCAGGGCCAGGGTGTTCGGTTGCACCTGCATCAAAATTTGCTCCATGGCTCCTTCCTATAGCAATAGGTACCAGGTAAAGTTTTTATTTCCAATAAAGCAATAACATCAATAACATTGAATATTGAAACCAACAAGTCTTCATATCAAACTGTGTGAACTTGATCCCCAAAACCTACGCGTCATGTCGAGACTGAATGTCAAGTCCACTCAACTCACCTGTCTTGCGCCAATCCTCTATCTCCTTCACATAACTCTTAATCCCCTCTCCCCAGATACTGAAGTGTGCTGCCAGAAACGCTTCACGGTCATCAAATTGGAGTCCCTCCCGATTGAAGTACCCCGGAGTACAATCCAAAACACCTCCCAGTGCTCGCGCTCTCATCAAAACCTTGGAAGTCCATTCTCCTTCCGAGCGAGAGCTAGGCTCAATAGTAAACGCGGAAAGGGTGACATTTGGGTTTCGCTCCGAGGTTAACTTGCCGGCCTCCGAGATGATGTGGGCGACATGAACGGCAAGCTGATCGAGAACATAGACCTGGTTTGCTGACGCTCCTGTTTGATACGGGCCCGGAAAGAATAGGTTAGGAAATCCATTCGTCATTACTCCATGGAGTGAATTCAGCCCCTTCTGCCATTTTTCCTGGAGGAGTTGGTTGCCACGTCCGGTTACAGTCAGATCCCCACGATCGGCACTACCCCCAAGATTGTAGCCAGTCCCAAAAATGATGGCATCCAAATCATATTCTTGGTCGTCTGCCAAGATCCCTCGATCTGTCATACTCCGGATTCCATTTCCATTAGTGTCCACGAGGGAAACATTAGGTCGATTGAATGTGGTGAGAAAGTTGTCACTGAAGCACGGCCGTTTGCACCACCCAGGATACCAGGGCTTCAAAACTCGAGCAGTCGACTGATCGGTCACTGTCGCTTCTACCCGACGGCGGATTGCCTCTTGGCGACGTAAATCCAATTGATGCATCCGCATCAGATGGTCCGGATCAAGACCAGAGGGACTCCCGATGAGTACACTGAAAGACTGCATTTTGGTCCAACCATCGTCGACAAGGTCTATATCTGGGAGAGGATTCTCATTCGAGGGGAAAGCATTGAAATTCTCCATGCGCTCTCGTTGCCACCCAGGGCCGGCTTCTTGAACCATTTTCGCCCACCAGGCGCGATCAGTGGAGTGATTGTGACGCCAATCAACAGCAGACGGTGTGCGTTGAAAAACGATCACTTTCTTTGCCCACTGGGCAAGGTGTGGGATTGCTTGGATGGCAGATGCACCCGTGCCGACAAATCCAATCGTCTTGTCTTGCAGTCTATCCATGGTTGGACTGCTTGGACTTCCTCCAGTATAATCATAGTCCCAGCGCGAAGTGTGGAAAACCTTCCCCTTGTAGGTCTCAAACCCATCCAACTTTGGGATTTTCGGGGAATTCAGCAACCCAGTAGCCAAGATAACAAAATCAGATTGTATTGCGGTGGGTGACTGGCCATGTGGTGTGATATGGATGGTCCATTGACAATCCTGGTCATTCCAAGCCAACTTGTTGACCGCAGTCTGGAACAAAGCCCGGTCAATGAGATTCCATTGACTGGCAATACGATTCGCGTGTTCTCTCAATTCAGGTCCGGTGACATACTTTTGCGACGGCATGTACTTGGTTTCCTCTAACAACGGCATGTAAGTATAACTTTCGACATCACACGCTAGGCCGGGATATTTGTTCCACCACCACGTTCCCCCAAAGCCACCTGCTGTATCCACAAAGAGGATCTCAGTTGCACGAAGAAACCCCGACTGGAGGAGTCGCACTGCGAACAGCAGCCCTCCGAACCCAGCGCCGACAATGAGCACTCGAACCTTTCTCTGCTCGAGCAGATGATTGTTGACATTTCCATTCGAAAGGAGGCTGTTCGTAGATTCATCGGTCAAGGCCACATATTGGGTTGGCCCATCAGGGTGCAGGCGTTTCTTGCGTTCCACATCATACCGGTGTTGGGTTTTCTGCAGGTCGTGCTCGCTCGTCTTGGCTATATTGGTGGTAGGTTGGTCAAGACTAGGAGCCTCTAGGCCTGCAACATAATTGTCTGGCATCATGGCGAAGTGAGAAATAATTCTTGCATTCTAAAGAGTAAGCTGAATAGGAGTTTATAAATGCCATCGTGAGTTGTGTTAGCTGTTCAATGAAATGCAAGGTGTTAGCAAATCGTTTGTGCTCTATGTGATATTTCCTAGCAATCCAGCACAAAGAGAGAACAAACAGAGTAAACGGCAAAACCGAGCAAACAGTGAAAGAGAAGTGGTCTTGTCCAAACGGTGAGGTACATCCGACCTGCACTCCGTTGATTCCGAAAGTAAGGGACCAAAATCCTCTAAGAAGCTCCACTGGACCCTTGTGCATATTAAAATGGGGCCAACTACTTCGCTATTTATCTTCGGACTCACCGTAATAGGTTACAGGAACAGGCTGTGATTGGCCGGAGCGAGGACTACTGTAGTAGGATCCGTTTGACCTTGGCAGTCCTATTCTCGGGCTTGGCATTTCCTACTTAGTTCATAGGGGGAACATTAGACGAGAAGACGAATCTGACTCCCAAACAGGTAAAGATCTCATTATTTATGCAAAGTTCTTTAAGGAATCTGATTGGACTTGTTCGAGCCCCATGTCAGCACTAATATCCTGCGTGAACCCTGTGGCTCCAGCCTCACGGCGCCCCTATGTACCTTAAATTATAAGTAGTCTTCCAGACACACACTACGTTGGTGGAAAGGAATTGTTTATCGCGCTAAGAAACCTACTAGTATGAGTCTCTCATCCCGTGCACTGTTAGCTCTAGCAGCCCTTTCTTCTCTATCACTCGCCAAGGAAGTCGGTTATTTTGAGCCATCCTCTTGCGCTGATCCCAAAGGGTTCGAAACATGCTACGATAATGTAGATACCAACTACTCGAACTGTGTAAACAACAATTGCGGAGGGGGAGGTGAAGCCTGCTCGAAAGCATGTGGTGGAAACACATCCTGCATGAACGAGATATGCCCTGGCCTGGGAATCGACTGTATCAATGCTTGTGAATGTGAAAGGTCCGCTCTCCAGATTGATTGCGTAGGCCAGAGATGTTGGAACCGGGTAAGGCTCCCTTGGCAATTCATATAACCTCAACCTCTGACACAAATATCCCAGGTCTACTCTTGCGAGTACCAAAATACAGTCATGGACTTCCTCGGCGTCTGTCTCAACCCCAACCGGGATGGGTTACCGTATTGGCCGACTCCGAATGATGCCCCTGATTCTTGCTCTTGCAACCTCGGCAAAATTGAGAAAACAGAATACCTCATCACGGAACACATGACCACGTGCTCGGATAACAGTACAAATATCGCCGGTATGACTGATACTGATGCGATGATTGAGTACGGACAAGCGTGCCTGTGCTGTGGATACAGTGCTATTATCTCTGCGTATGATTCCATCCCCGAGCTTAAAGAAGTTCGTTTTTACCCTTCTGTTACTAATAATGTTATCTAGTATCTGGGACACCTGCCCTGACATCAAACCCTCCCTACTAGGTGCAGATGAATGGTTTGCTGGAGCTCTCATCCCCGGTCACTGGGAAGAGTGCGGACCATACCTTGAGAAGTACAATTGCGCCGGCGATTTGGGTTATGCTCGTGCCGATGCTGGTGGTAACACCAAATTCTACCATCCTAGCAGCATGCCGAGCAATGGCACGAAAACAATGTCGAATGTGGGTGGTGTTGTCTCTACCCCGGTGAGTGGTGATACTTTCACATGGACATTTGGGTCAACACTGCAGCACACTGTCACTGTGTCTTCGGTAGATGCTACTGTCACCGGAACAAAGACTACCGGTGGGAGCGGTGGGAGTGACGTTACTACAACGAGTAGTGCGACTGGTACAGGAGGGAGTGACGCAAAGCCTGGCATGGGTTCTTCTTTGACTGTTCCCTTTTGGACCATTGCTGGAAGTGTTGGTGTCTTGATACTATCGGCTTTGTGAGGATATAAGGTATTGTTTACGTATGAATAGATCTGTTGATGAAATAAACGGGCACTGGTGCGCTTTCTAATAAGCCAACAATCTTAAATTGCTGCAACTTGTATATATATGTACAGTACCCTGAAAATATGCTTCACATGACCCGCGTTAGACGATCCAATCTTCCTTGGCTTTGGTAGTTCTTATCCTTGCCTCATCAATGTTCGTTCCTCTCTGCCATAATACCTATGTAGGTACTAGGTAATCCGCAATCCCCTTACTGGATAGCAATGTCGGAACATGAGAGATAGATCTGACCAGTTTGGAAAGAGTTCCACTTCCAGGACAGCAAAGTGTGGTTCGAGACGTAGTCCGGAATCTTGATCTGCTTGGAGACAGTGTAACCGCCGGAGATTGTTGTCTCACAGGAGCCAAGCTCAGAATTGTCGACACCTTGACACTTGGTATCGTCGAAGCCGTTGCAGGTGAACCAGTCATTGCGGTAGCAAGCTTCATCCTCACTACAGTCTGCACTGTAGTCGCAGGTCTGTCCATCGACGCCGGTGCATTCAAGAAGACCTTCTTCAAAGCAGGCCTCGGCTGCCTCCTTCTCCTCGTCGGTTGGCAGGTAATCCGCATCCAGGAATTTGTCCACGATATCTTGATCTTGGCAGATACGGTAGCTGAACATGCCACCGTGATCACCGTTGTGGTCAAGACACCACACGACGTCAATTACATCGCCAGCTGAGTAAGTCTTGACCACCTCGTTACCCCAGTCGCTGCCGGGTTGGTTGTAGTCGACGCTCACACGGGCATTGTATCCGCAGGGTCCGCTGCGGGCAACTGGAGCCACGTCGAGATCGGGCCAAGAGGAAACGGGCTCGAGGATGGTGCACTCGGGACATGTGTCAATTCCAGCCTAAATATTGTCAGTCGAAGGAACCTCCTTGATGCCCAGTTTATCCAAATGTCTAACCTCAAATCCGAGCTTGGTTCGGCTGTCCGGGGTGACAAGGTAGCCATGTCCAGCGACAATGGTAGACAGTGAGCTAACGAGGACAACTGCGGCAGACTTCATGATGATAAGGGAAGATGTAGTTTGTTTGAATGAAAGTGAATGAAAGTGAATGATTGGAATCGGATACAGACCAAACCAAGTGTTGGGGAAATGTCCTTTTATATTCGCATAACTCGCTGGTTTGGACTTCACCTATGCCGGGGCTAGGTTATTGATGTACAAGATCTGATCCTACATTTCTACAGGGTTCGGACAAGAAGACCAATCATGAATGGCTATTTTATTGGATAGAGCACCCCGTGAAGAGTCTAGCTCGGCTAGGACTTTGTAAAGATGATCAGCGTTGACGATGCCAAGTGTAGCACGGGTGACCTGGGTTACCAAAGATATGATTAAATGATTGGACTACCCATCACGGTGAAATCTGATATTGCTATGCAGGGCTCAGACCTCACAACGCCCCTGAGGAAATTCCGAGCTTGGCATTCGGTTGGCTGAAGGATGCAACGCCCGATATATTTCCGCCAATTAACCACCTCCAGGCCCAGAAGATTAGATTGAAGTGCACAAATGCAATAATTATGCATGATTTTCGAAATGTCTCTATGAGTACCAATTCGTCTAGATCATACGGGATAGTCAATTTTCCCTCAAATTTTGCTACACTACAGGTTGGATTTGGAATTGACCTTCGATTCCTATAGCATACACTTCATCTAACTGAAACCCTTAGCTTGGCCCTAAGAATGGTGGCTGCGGGGTATTTCAGCCTTTTCAGCCTTTTTACGCCATGGCGCTCGGGAGAAAAGATCGCCAGTGCATCTCGGCTTTAAGGGGGTTTCCCGACTATTCACCGACGACTCGTTACTGTGTGCATTTTTGGTAATTTCGATGTTGTTTACGGTGGGCGTTATCTTAGGATTCGATTCTAATGATGGGGGCAACTAGCTAGTAGCAATATAATAATAAGCCAGAACCTATACTAAAAAATTATATAACTAGTAGGGGTTAACCGTGCCAAGCGCCCAATTTACCCACCAGGTATTGATGCGCCCTAGCAGATGCAATACCCGGTAGTAGGCCTTGACAAGTCCTGCAGCACCTGGGAAATTCTGGTGCTGCAATATGGTGCTGCAAGATAATAAATAGATCAATTAGATACTTTTAATATATAAGGTCAATTTAGCCTCCCCGGCTGCTTTACTCGTCTATACTTCCTAACTTCAATTAATACCTTCTTCTACTTCCGCTTCATTTTTTTCTTAACTGGCCTTTGACTCAATTTATATTCCTTTCGCCTTATTTCTTTGACCAGGGCAAATTATTATAATTTACGTCGTATAACTCTAATTTATCGGTAAGAAGTTCAGGATTAGTAGGTGAATTTAAGCTTAATTATATAACCAGAAGGGGGGTTTTTTTTATCGAATTTGTCTAATTAAACATAAGAATTTATAGATGCACTCCTAATAATAGCAATTTGAAGGAGGAAGGCCTCACTCGCAACGACTAGCGACAAAAGCTGGTAACATCTTCTTTGCCTCATTGACGCCACAAATTGCTCAAAGTATATAATGGTTGTCGTCACAAGGTCTACTGGAGGCATTACTGTGAGGTTCACGGACGAAAAGCGTGGAATAGGTCCCCTTCCCGTGCAACCTATAACAATATGAAGGACCGACGTCGCTCACACAAGAGCACACTCAAGACGGTTACATAAGATCCAGCCACCGATTATCAAAACGGCGAGCCACAAACCCTATGTCCAAGTTCCTAATCCGAATGAAGTGTGGAGTATGCCGTTAGTAAATATTGGAATGCCTTAAAAATATGACCTAGAGAGCATGGAGATAGCCTTGCAAATTTGTAGATGCTTAGCCTGTAGAGTTTCAAAACACGGCACATATGCAACAGGTTTATATTCCGTATATGTTAAATGTTTAAAACAACTTAGCAGAAGTTGAAATCGTGGAGTTCTACTGATACACTACCATATAAATCCATATGTCACAAATGTGTCATAGACTCAGGATGTAATGTGCACCAATATGATTATTTTAAGGTACTAGTCCTGGTATCTCGTCGGTTAATCTAGCATTTACAAATGTATCACAACAGATATTGACTTACCACAAATTACAAGTAACGTCCCGATGTGACACTATCCAGCTAACACCTAATAGAGAAATACGCGAATTACCTAAGGGCTAGCTGACACAGCTTGACATGAGATATATAAAAGGAACCCTAGTCTAGCGTTTGGCGAAGGAATTCCGAATAGCACAGATTCAACTCATCAAGTCAACTATCTTTAGACACCCTCTTGTAACATGCTACTCAGACAAACTATCTTGAATCTTCTGTCTATCAGTTCTATATATGTCGCAGCCCTTCCTCAGACAGAGCCTGGCAATGCTCAAGGTAGGCATTATTCCAACAAAAGGAATACAAAAGCGAGAGAGTTCTGACAGAGCCCATATTAAATCTTGTAGCATGTCGGGGAGCTTTTGAAGCCGCCCTATCTCCGGATTTGTCGATTGAGGAACGTCCCATTCCCGATATACAGGAGAGACAAACGGAAGATAAACCTGATGGAATACTAGGAACCAACCGTGTATATCAAGGCGTAATTTCACCATTTCTTTCTAATCGTCCTGAGACTAGAAAACAAAGAAGCGCTAATTATAAGCAGTACTGTTCGGCAGATACTACTCAACTATGCAATTTCTGCGTCAACGGAAGACTTTATTGGAGAAGATGCGCGAACAACCACCGAGTGAGTTAATTGTCCCTATGGTTGAGATATGGCTTAACAAATACATCACAGTGCACTCGGACTGGGCATTGGTGTAGCTGGTCTGGTTCTAGTAACATTGCTGTGTGTAGCTAGATGGGGGTCTTATCTGCTGATCTGTTTGGCTATAGAGAGCATCAAATCCATGTTTAGTTTTTTATACCCTATCTCAGACTTTAGCTTTAGCTAAGATGAAACAATTAGTAGTAACCTTACTACCTACCTACACGTCGAAGGGAAAGACCCACCCAAAATCAATATACCTGCATGTAGGTATGTTTTTACGCGAATCTAATTTTAAAACCTAACCCAGACTAGGTTAGGTCTGGGTTGGGTCTGGGGTTTACTGGATCGGAAGACTAGTCCCGCCTTACCTCCTTATGTAGTTACCCGGCGTCAGGTACCTACCTACTTAGGTAGTTAGGAATATTATCCTTTTTCCATCTTCCTTACCTAACACCTACCCAAAAGAGGTAGTGGGACCTCCAACCTTAAATGAGCGCATTCTGACGCATCCATGGTTGAGTCCCAAGTCCCACCTGCCTTGTGTAACTGAAGTCTACATGAGGCTGTTGCCTAGATCAAGACATATAAGTTCACAACTCCAAGGCTTGGTCTCAGAGTTGTCTTTGATCATCCAATCCTCTATCATGGCAGAGGAACAACCTCGATTCGTTCTAACCCTCGAGGGACTGTGGATACTTGATGATACCGGGAAAAATCTCAAATTCCTATCCGAAGAAGAGCTCAACCAAAATACTATCGAAACCACTGATGATACGATACCCAGGGAGCCACCAGCAGAGGTCATCACCCAATACCTTTCCACCCTGACTCCCCTTCAGAAGAAGATGCACGACGGGCTCCGCGACTTGGGCTGGAATGACGCTGCCATTCACAACTTGCTCACTATCCTTGAAGATGCACAGCGGTACAACTGCGCAAAACTACGCCAGAAAGGATACGCCGAAACTGAAATCCAAAGGCTCGATGCGCTCGGCAATCAAGATGTGATGGATTTCTCGCATCTCAAACGTGGGGTTGCTAGCACAGCGGATGAAGATTATCAACTGCAGCTGTACCTGCTGGATGAGGTAAAACGAAGACGTTTGATTATACTTGGAGAAGAATAAGCATAGCTAGAAGGGCACATGGTCAACGTTGAGGAGAATGATAAGCAAGAATATGTGGGCTGCAATGGACGTCTGTTTCAAGTACAATTTTTACAATATCAAATTTAGTGAACAGCTTCAACACTATATTTATCCCACGGTCACTTACCGTCTAAGCCACATTGTTATCTTGACCCAACACCGGAGATGGGGGTTGAAACTGAATTAATATTCGCTATAAAAGATTGCATGTGTATCCGTGGGGAAAAATACGTATCCGCGGCCAAGTAGCAGATTATATAGTGTATTGTTGGGCTCGGGATTTTAGCTATAGGAAATGAGAGACGGCTATAGGAAATAGGAGACGAACTGTGTAAGCGCTGAAAGCTAAGGGGAAGATAAGATGATGTATTAATGTAGATATCACCTCTCCTAATGAGGGGTGGTGAGGTCGACATCTGCCGCTCCATTGCGTTGAGTGCTTTAGCGAGAATCACCCTTTGCCATTCATCCCTTTCGTGCAAACGTTACGTCATCTTAGAGACCATGTCATCGTATTGTTGGTGATAGTCTACGATGTCGTTGTTCATTTGTAAGATACGTTTGGCTTCAGGTGTATCAAGTGTAGCGTCCATGTCGTTAATCGCGGTGAGTCTTTCCGCGATTGCGTCAATCTCGTCATAGTTATTCATAAGCTGCGTGCTAAACACGCCAAACGCGCCGAACATTCGGCGAATGTCAGATGTAGTGGTTTCTCCCTGTGTACGTGTCTCTGTTAACGACGCAACGGAGGGGCTTTGTTGCGGGGGTTCATCAATGCCGCCTGTAGAAGGGCTGTCTGAGAGTGAGTCCCGTATATTGATAGCTATGTGTGATGTCGGGTAGTTGGGTGTTGGATGGGTTGTTGGATGGGTTGTTGGATGGGTTGTTGGATGGGTTGTTGGATGGGTTGTTGGATGGGTTGTTGGATGGGTTGTTGGTTTGGAATATAGTAGATCTCTTCCGACATTTTCCGATCCTATCCGCCTATCTGTATACGAAGCAGCATCACTTGAACAACAAATCCGACTGCGCAGCCTTATCCTAAGTCCTAGCGCGAAACTATGATCGTAGGAGGGGCTATGGCGAGCACTTTGGGACTCAGGTCCGCGAGGGATAGGAGGGCGCTGTGGGCGTGCAGTTAGCGGGCGGCGATATCCATACTGCATAGCCCGGTTACGGTGTACAGTATAAACGTTGCATTTACTGGTATAGATAAAAAAATGGATACTAAAACTCAATCCTAATTGGAAAGAATTTGGTGGAAGTTTTCTTTTTGACGCCCCAGAATGGGGCACTCGTGATGTCGACCGAGGCCCGCATTTTGCAATTCACACTCTACTGCTCCTGTGCCAAAATCCGTTAAGATAATGCTTCCTAATCCAGTAATCTGGATGGAATTCAGACATCCAACATATCCGGTTGTAGAAAATGGTGAAGATTAGGCACAACAGATGAGGCTCTGTAGCAACGTTCCACTTTTCCAGTGCTGAGGCCGTTCGCCCGGGTAAAATGGGGCGATACAATACAAGATGGCTGTAATTATTGAATTTGATTGGTTCATGCAATGAACGCGTTTATCATGCATAGCCTTGGGCTAATCAATCTTATTTATAACCCAATGTGGGCGAGGCTAACTTATACGGGGGCCGTATTCGCGATAAACTACCCAGTGGTACTCTATTTAAACACCTAGAAGCCCCGCGACTAATATCCATTCCAGTCATTTTCCAGCCTCATCAAAGAATCTGTGAGTAAGTGAGACTGTGATTCATCGTCTGCCTTGGAACCTCGACCTGACCATGAACCATGCAGTAGGAACCAGGTGAAAACCACAATTTCTCAATTACAAATCTTACGCAAATACTCAATAACCCAACGGTACCTCATCCTAATCCCACCTTTCTGTTACCTAAAATGCTGACAGCCCATAATACTAGACCCATTATGGAGCGCGAGGCCCAAAGAAGAGAGGAGTGGCGCAGAAAGAAGGCCGCCGAATCTGCTGCTGCGTCCGCTGCTGCATCCTCTGCTGCATATGTTGCCGCAGCTTCGAATTCGTATGATACCGGATCAAGCTCGTGCAATTCTGGATCGAGCTCGTATGATACTGGATCGAGCTCGTCCGGTGGGTCAAGCTCATGTGATAGTGGAAGTTGTTGATTTTAAGGCTAGACATACGTGGTTAGCTTAGAAAAATACGAAGCTGGGCAACATCCATGCAATAAGAAACCGACGTTATATCCCTGTGCAACCCCAGAACCATGGGACTGTCATATCGGCAATTGCCTCTATTATAATTAGGAAAGTAGGAACGCTCACTACTGTTGTACACAATGAGAGTCCCGCCCGGCTTCACAAATGCTTTTGCCAAGTTCTAAGCGCCAAGACAACTTGTATCGGCCGCCTAACCCTTGTGTTATAGAGTGACATGTATATTATACCAACCGAATAGTGTAACCTCGGAAAAATCCACCGTGATGGCTAACATCCTATCCCATAGGCGAGTAGTTGATAGTGACAGTGAAGGGCCATCATTGTACCCCCTATCGCGCTATCTAGCCTCGACCAGCAAGTTCCTTTTCATGCATACTAGAATCGAGCTCCTCTCTCGTGGGCACAGTATCCAGTGCGTCGATAGTGATGTCAACACGAGGACCTGTGAAATTCTTTCTTCCATCCACAAACCACTGGAACACTGAGATGATGATAATAACAGCAAATGCTGCAATGCAGTAATCTAGACAAGTACGTTAGTGAACAAACTGTGATAGATAACTCCACAGGTAAACTCACTCATACTGCTTCCCGTGACAGTGCTCGAGGGAGGGAAGACGAATAGGACGGTAGTCAAAGCGATATATGATAAAGCAACCTAGTCATGGTTAAAGATGTCCCAATTTATTCAAATCTACCCATGATCCCAACATACCAAATCGACAAACCATCCAAGTGCATTGGGCAATTTCCATCTTCTTTCGGGGAGCGATCTGCGTCCCTGAAGACAGTTGATGGCAATGGGTATTCCATAGGACAGGTCAAGAGCCACAACCGAAGCAGAGATAATTGCGTTGAAAGCACTAAATTCTGTTAATCACCATTTGTGCTATTGCCCATAGAAAGTGATTATTACCTTGAAGAGCCTAGGAAGATACATCCAAATGCGATCACCACAACAACAGTGAGAATGAGTGCGTTGAGGGGCAATTTGAGTGTTGGGTGAACTTTTGCAAAGAACCGGGAAGCAGGAAGGCCCCCATCTCTGTGAAGAATGAGTATACGTGTTATATGCCAGAAAGAATATGCCAGAAAGAAGATCAAATACCTTGCAAAAGCAAAAATCATTCGGCTACTGGTGGTCATGACGCTAATTATAGCAAAGACCAAGCAGACCAGAGGTAACCTAGAAGCTGGCGTTAGAGTGGAAGTACTATGGGGGAAAAGCTCACCACGTACATCAAAAGGCAGATACCTCCCGCGTTGCTCTTAGTTGCATCGACCAGGATCTGCAGAAGTGGACCGGCTGCGGAGGTTGTGACAGCTTCCATATTTCCTGCAACGAATAGGAGGACTATCAAAAAGATAGAACCGGTAAACACACCGATGCCCACGCAGGTAACCATGATTTTCGGTCCCTCGATGTCAGCGTTGGGTACCTCTAAAAACGTGACGTGTCAATTCCTTTATCTATTTTCGTAGACTTAGGGTAATCCTTTACCTTCGATCATGTGTGCCACCGCATCCTAGATAAAGTCAGTTGGTTTGGTTTTGGTAATGCAATGACGATGATGACTTACAAAGGCAGTAACGCCAAGCCCTCCTTGAAGCAACTAGAATATCTGTCAGTATCATTGCAGCATTATAATGAATGAAATAGACCTACACCCAGAAGCCATGCAACTCCATCGGGCCCTAAGTTGAATTAGTAAAATCATCATAATGGAGTTATCGGGGAGCCGTACAGCCGGTTGTATTGACAAAGTCACAGAACACAAAGTTGTGGATGTCAGTTCTCTGCCATAGCTTTATACTGCTAGAGGAGGTCATACTAAGCGGAGTTATAGTTGGGCGCAGCGCATGCGAGACACGTAATTGACACAATCACAAAACCCCCAATCGACCACATAACTGGATATGGTTAGAGATGGACTAAGCCAAAGTGGACGAGGGTAACGCACATGCACCGCGGTAAATGGCCGGCAAGATGGAGTTCATGAAAGCGTTGATGATGAAGGAGCCAATGGTCAATCCGATGTAGATGAGAAATTGATGCCAGCGTTGCGGGACATAGCTCTGCATATCACGTTAGTACTGTGGTAGAGCACGGGTGGGATATCTAACCTCGTGAAGGACGGAAATGACGCCAACAATAAGCTGACTAGAAAGAAGGGAGTTCGTTGCGACGAGGGCAACCTAGTCGTGTGTGTTAGTCTGAGCGCCACCTTGAATGATTGCTTTGCCTACCCAGCCTGCCACATTGATCCAGCCTGTAATCCATGATAGAATTGGTACTGTGCTTGGCCACGAGACTTTCGATTCGTTAGTATAAACTATCACCTAGTGTCAGAGAGCAACGTACTAGCTGGCATCAAAGTTAGCGTTGACCTAAATCGTATAGATTCTGTAGGTACGGAGAGACTTGCCTGCAACCCAATGATACTGTCCACCGGCTCTGTGAAAAAGAAAAAAGAAGTCAGTCTAGTGTATATATCGAAAGGACATATGCCAGAGCTTACGTCGGATATGCGGAGAGAAATTCAGCCAGCGAACATGCGATACAAAGATTACAGAATCCTGCAGTGACCAGTCCTAGAATTCGCGGGTTAACACTGTCGCAGAAAGCAAGTATTTCGAGATAAACCCACCCCAAATTACACTTGTGCTTCCACCAGATGTAAGACTGATCGACAAACTGGCCGAAAGCGCAGTCCACGACTAACCTAGTTAGCTAAATAGTTCGGTCGCAACCCATGCCTAACGTACATTAAGAACCGCAAAGGCCAAACCAAGCATTGACCTAGAGATATCCGTCAGTAGCAAGTCTTGCATATGCTGTCACATCTCTCTCTTACCATGTCGAATGACTACGTTGGAGCTCTGGCCGATGGCCCATGGCCGCCAACCGGGCATCATCGCCTTGGAGTGGACTGTCCTTCATAGTGGATCAGGATTCAAGGACGTAGAGAATATGTACAAATCCAAGAGTTGGGGAGATCATCAATCTAAGTATCTCCCCTATCCAAACGCATCAGGAAGGCATTGCCAGACGAGTTCTCTTTGTGGTTAAGCTCCAATAGAGTATTGTATGCGGGGAAGCTCAGGAATACCTTATCTCAGAGGCTTGAGACGCTTATCACAAGTGTTTATGCGCTAAGGTGCTACCTACCCGGCTGGTCGCATGGACTTGCCCAACATCGTATAGTCTTACCAATACCAACTAAATAAACGGGAAAAAAGGGCCTTTTAATTAAATATGATATTCAATAGAGCGATGCTGATGAATCATATTGCAGAATGCAATTTCTAGATGTCAACGTTAAGTTGCTCCCTATCTTGCATTTCATCTCCACTGCTAAATGGCCTTAACAGATATCTAATACTCCATGATAACGGAGTATTAGGTTATATTTATACGGAGTACGTAGTACAGAGTAGGTATATATATCACCTAGATATTTACTCTGCATCTCCCACTCCTTTCCATAGCGAGAGGATGGAGTGTTCAACCGAGGGTCGGCAAAGCCCTACAACGATACGTTGTGCTTGGAAAGATGCGGCAATATATGCTTTGAAAACAATGGGAATGATGATGTTGTTTCAATTTGAAACTGGTAAAATGTACTGACCATGCCGATACAGTAATAACTCCCCAAGAAATGCCTATTCTTAGGGCATATGGTCCCGGAATCCACTAAATCTCGAATCCCTCAAACTCCACCCAAACGCGAATCGCAAATCGAACAAAAAAAATAAAAAATCCATCCTTTACCTCAAGATTACCAGCATCTTGAAATACGGATCCGATGTTCATTGGTTGTAGGTGTCGAGTGCCTGCTGGACATCATGCAGACTGTTCTTGTCGCCGTACGCGTCCATCAACTGTTGGTTTCGCGCCATGCGTTCTTTTTCCTCCAGCATAGACTTTTCTTGCCGCGACTTGGCTGCGGTGTAGTAGTTGTATGCGCCGAAACCTGGATGTGCCAGAGTCAGTATGATCCCTCCTAGGACATACAGCAAAGGAAGAATACGTGGCGAGTAAACATACCGAGACCAATTGTAGCCATTAGAGGAAGAAGTCTAAATCAAACAGAGTTAGTTGAATCGACCAAAAAAAGGGGGGCGGCACAACTTACAGCCGCCCATGCCGAGGCTTGAGGCTGGGGGTTGGGGGGTTTCCGTATGACTTGTTCGCACCGGGAAGAGCAAATTGAGACATGATATATGTATTTTGTGTGTTGTAGAGTGTGCCTGGATGTGGATATTTGGGAGATTTGAAGTGAAGAAGCAAATAAGAGAAGAAGTAAAGTAGATTTCAAGGGTTAAACGGAAGAAGCGGAATGCGGGGATTTCATGACGTGAAAGGTCCGAGGATCGCTGCCGAGGATCGCTCCCGAGGTCATATACCTGAGGTGATCAGACCACATCCGTTTGGCCTCATCATACAATCGTGTGCATATGTGGTGTGGTTCTAATTTTTAGTATGTTACATTGAAATCATAATTGAATCATCGTGTCGTGTGTCTGTGGGCCGCATTAGGAAAAAATCACACCCGCTTCTTAATATTCTCTATAATTTATATCGTTAACTTCAAAAATTGCATCAATTTCCTAGAAGTATCATATGAGACCTGAGACCTGAGACCTGGGACCTGAACATGATCATGCAAGCGCTTTAGTTGCCGTTGTTCTGGGGCGCAGGGGTTGCCGGACCCTCCGGGGTCACATAAGCCTGATATAATTGGTCAGCGCAATTCTGGGGTAATTACCGTTCAGGGCAACACGTCACACTTACCTTAGTCATTCCACCATCGACAACAAAGTCCGTTCCATTCACGAAGCTGCTCTCATCGCTGGCCAGGAAAACTACAGCATGAGCCTGCTCAATGGGTTCACCAAACCGACCAGTGGGGAAGTGCACCTCCCGACGGAACCGCTTGGCCTGGTCATCACCGAGCCAGTCTTGCAGAAGAGGCGTGCTAAATCGTCGTGAGCTACTATGAAGAAAAACCCAGTCGGAAAAACTTACTTCAGCGGGGCGGGGCACAGAGCGTTGAAACGGAATCCCTCACGGGCATGAACGATAGCCAACTCCCGAGTCATCGCCAGCACCGCACCCTTGCTCGCCGTGTACGCAAGCTGGGGAGTGGCAGCACCGACCAAGGCGACAACACTAGCTGTGTTGATGATACTGCCACGGGTCTTCTTGTGACGACGCAGACTGAGGACAGCATGCTTGCTGCCGAACCAGACACCCTTGACATTAATGTTGTGTGTGAGGTCCCAGATCTTCTCGGGAGTATCGATGGCATCTGCGTCGTTGGCGTGCATAATTCCGGCATTGTTGAAGATCACGTCGGTGCCTCCCCAGCTATCCTGTGACTCAACCATTGCCTGCACATCAGACTCCTTGGACACATCGCATCGGATGGACTCAACTCGAGGGGCGGAAGGAACTACTTCCTTAACTTTGGCCAATGCCTTTGCGAGAGCGGGCTCAGAAACATCGGCCATCAGGACATTAGCGCCCTCACGGGCGAAGAGGATACTGGTTTCGAGACCGATGCCACTACCCAAGTCCGAAATCGGTTAGGACTTTTGTGACAATGTCGTATGTTTTTCAGGGATTCAAATCATTGACATACCCGCCTGCACCTGTGATGATGGCATTCTTGCCTTGGAGACGTCCTTGGGGAGTAGTGGCAGCCATTGTGACCTTATCTTGGAGCTCTGTTTGTATAAATGGGATCTAGGTTAGCAATGACTCACCGCCAAGGCTACAGTAGCGTAATATATGAATAAAAAAACGCTAGGGGGGAGGTTACTTACATGAACTGAGAATAATCGAATTAATATGAGAGTTGTCAGTATCACCGAGTGTGTTGCACCGAAGGTATACGCGGGGCAGCGCTGAAGCGTGGATCCCGTTAGGTAAGCGGTGACGATGCTGGCCTGAAGGGGTAAAGCGTCACCGCTATCTCGCTGATAAGCTTCCAAGCTGCCCTCCTGGGCAGCTGCGCTGGTCAGAATCCCTCAACTTGATTGACCTGGTTTATCCGATTCGTCTGGCTTGAAACGTGACTCTTATCATTCTGTTTCCTCTTTTATCTCCCCCCTCCCTCGCTCTCTACAATATTTTGGATCCCTATACTCCTAATCTCACCCTTTGGCACCGATCATTATGTCAAACCCCGCAGACCCCGAGGTCACAGCCGAGAATGTGGCCGAGATCCTCAAGAATGATACAAAAGTGAAGGTGGCAGGAGTGGACGTGGATGGCATTCTGCGCGGCAAGCTCATGAAGAAAGACAAGTTCTTATCTATCATCACTGAGGGCTTCGGCTTCTGCTCTGTCATCTTCGGCTGGGATCAACATGATGCGACGTATTATAAGGAGCTAGCCATCAGCAACAAGGAGAATGGATACCGCGACCTTGTCGCAATTCCAGATTTACGCAGTTTCCGTCGCATTCCTTGGGAGAACAATGTGCCCTTTTTCCTCATTAGCTTCTTGGATCCAGACACACGGGAGCCGGTGTGCGCCTGCCCGCGAGGACTGATCAAGACTGCGGCCGCTAAAGCCGAGGCGGCGGGGTATCGGGCAATGGCAGGAGGTATGTCGACCGCAGATCAGGGTGTGTGCGATCCAATGGCTGATCAGGCTGGTTTTACCCAGCGGAGTATGAATTCTACCAGTTTCGCACGCCGGGCAACCACGCTAGCCCCGAACAAGGCGCATCTGCAACAGCCGCCTTCCTCCAGTCGAATCCAGTCGATGCGTTGCCGTCTGTGACAGAAGGAATGTTTGGTTATTCGATCACTCGGCCCCTCCACAACCAAGATTACTACTATGGTATCTTCGAAGCCTGCGAGCAGTTCCGATGCGATATTGAAGGGTGGCATACTGAAAGTGGACCTGGAGTCTATGAAGCTGTTAGTGACATGAGAAAGTGAATGAGTCGGTCGCATTGGGACTAAACATCGTCATAGGCATTACAATTTGGCGAAGCGAAGGAGATGGCTGATAAGGCGGGGTTGTTCAAGTAGGATTGTTCCTTTGCCAGCAGCGTGGATTGCTCTTTCGCCATGGGCCATTGCTAACCAGGATGTGTGCATAGATACGTCGTCAAGGCATTTGGAATTAAGCACGGCATTACCCCATGCTTCATGGCCAAACCCCGACAAGGCCTTCCAGGGAACAGCGGACATATGCACATCTCCCTCGTTACAGCCGACGGAAAGAATGCATTCATTCGCGATACCCCCGATCCATCCCCCTCTACCCTGATATCGCTCATCTGTCCGACTTGGGGCGACACTTCCTAGCTGGCCTCCTCGTTGGCCTGCCGGACATCATGCCAATCTTAGCCCCGACGATCAATTCCTACAAACGCTTGGTGGAGAACTTCTGGGCGCCTGTCACGGTCTCTTGGGGACTGGAGCACCGGGCCGCGTCAATCCGTCTGATCACCCCACCGACCGCCAGTCCGAAAGCGACCCGGTTCGAGGTGCGCGTACCAGGTGCGGACACCAATGCGCACCTTGTGCTGGCGGCGATCCTGGCATTGGGATGGCGTGGAGTCGAAAAGAAGCTCGAGATTCCCGTGCCGCCTCTTGCCCGTGGCGAGGATATGGGCGGTGCCAGTGATAAAGGTGTGCGTTTGGCGAAGTCCCTGAAGGAGGCGGTGGTTACATTTACACGGCCGGAGAGTGTCGCACGGGAAGTCTTTGGCGATTCATTCGTCGACCACTTTGCTGGAACTCGGGAACACGAGGTGCGCTTGTGGGAGGAGGCGGTGACTGATTGGTACGTGATATCATCTACTGCGATGTCCGTTCGGACGCTGACTGACTTGACATGTTCACAGGGAGATGAAGCGGTACATCGAGACTGTGTAGATCTTGCGTTTTGCTTCCATATTGATTTTCCGACTTACAGACGTGGGATCTGGAAGGTATCGGGTGAAGAATTGTACATAGTCGCATTGGCCTAGAGATTGGTGCGTAAGGGCGCGTAAGGGCAGGACAGTAGCAAGGTTACTACCCCAGATATATACCAAATGACTTTAAACATTGAATCGGAGGTTGTCGATTTGCCATAAAGCTCGTATGTTGTATGTTGAGTCTAGACATGCTCTCCCGAGCAACATCACATGCGGTCACATGCCGATGCACCACAGGGCGACACAGAAAACCGCCGGGACAACTCGGTTCGGATATGACTCTTGAGAGCTCTGCGATATATGGATGATCAGAGACAGCCGCGGCTGATTGGAGTTTCCGATGCATACGGAGAGTATTCTACCGCCACTTTCGGGTGAAGCAGGGGTGAAGGGTAGGGGTGAGAGTTCAATGTTTTGGCACTATTATTAGATTCGCGAATTGGTCATTATCATTGAATAAAAGCAAAACTATATAACTCGCAGATTTTCCTGAATATGACCAGAAATCAATAGAAATCAACAGTCTGATAAGACTCGGTGTGCGGCGTATGCCGTTCTAACAGAGGAATTGAGGGCGGTGCCGAATCCAACAAATAAGCTTAAAAGGACGGAGAGACGGGGAATGTCGGCCGAGAGGAAGAGTTTCCCGTGGGAAAGTCGTTAGCTTGGGAGGAATTTCAGTGCAGAAGAACAAACAGAGACGGTCAAATGGGGGTTCGGCTTATCATTTGCGGGTCCAGAACAACCGCGGCAACTTTGGTGGCTCTGACGTATTTGATACCCTCGGGCAGATGGGCTATAGAAACAATATTATACTCTAACTTCCCCATGATTCATTCTTGAATTCTTGAATTGGATTCTCCTTGTGGATAGTATATTATCTATTCCATATATTTGCATATTTTATACACATCATGTCTCACGTCGATACACAACTCAAGGATGTCGCTATCCTGGGCGCCATCAGTAACGATGCTCGCAAGATCCTAACCAAGGAGGCATGCGCCTTTTTGGCTCTGTTGCACCGCACCTTCAACCCTACTCGTAAAGCTCTCCTCCAGCGCCGCATCGATCGCCAAGCCGAGATCGATAAGGGAAATCTTCTTGACTTCCTCCCCCAGACCAAGCACATCCGTGAGAATGACGCCTGGAAGGGTGCTCCTCCCGCTCCAGGTCTCGTGGATCGCCGTGTTGAGATTACTGGCCCAACCGACCGGAAGATGGTGGTGAACGCGCTGAACTCTGATGTCTGGACTTATATGGCTGATTTCGAGGATTCGAGCGCCCCAACTTGGGACAACATGGTGAACGGTCAGGTCAACCTGTACGATGCTATCCGCCGACAGGTCGACTTCAAGCAGGGTGATAAGGAGTACAAGCTGCGAACTGACCGCGCCCTGCCCACTCTGATTGCCCGTGCCCGTGGCTGGCACCTGGACGAGAAGCACTTCACCGTGAACGGCGAGCCCATCTCTGGTGGTCTGTTCGATTTCGGTCTGTACTTCTTCCACAACGCTAAGGAGCTGGTCGCCCGCGGTGCCGGTCCTTACTTCTACCTCCCCAAGATGGAGTCACACTTGGAGGCTCGTCTCTGGAACGACGTCTTCAACCTGTCCCAGGACTACATTGGTCTGCCCCGCGGAACCATCCGTGGAACTGTCCTCATTGAGACTATCACTGCCGCATTCGAGATGGACGAGATCATCTACGAGCTCCGCGATCACAGCTCCGGTCTCAACTGCGGCCGCTGGGATTACATCTTCTCCTTCATCAAGAAGTTCCGCAACCACCCCAACTTCGTCCTCCCCGATCGCTCTGACGTCACCATGACCGTGCCTTTCATGGAGTCTTACGTGAAGCTCCTCATCAAGACCTGCCACCGTCGTGGCGTTCACGCCATGGGTGGTATGGCCGCACAGATCCCCATCAAGAACGACCCTGCCGCCAACGACAAGGCCATGGAGAGTGTTCGCGCCGATAAGCTGCGCGAGGTGCGCGCCGGCCACGACGGCACCTGGGTTGCACACCCCGCACTGGCTTCGATCGCCTCTGAAGTCTTCAACGCACACATGCCCACTCCCAACCAGCTGTTCGTCCGTCGCGAGGAAGTGAACATCACCGCCAACGACCTCCTTAACACCAACGTCCCCGGCAAGATCACCGAGGAAGGCATCCGCAAGAACCTGAACATCGGCCTCAGCTACATGGAAGGCTGGCTCCGTGGCGTCGGCTGCGTGCCCATCAACTTCCTCATGGAGGACGCCGCCACAGCCGAGGTTTCTCGCAGTCAGCTGTGGCAGTGGACCCGACACAACGTCACCACGGCCGAGGGCAAGCGCGTGGATAAGGCGTTTGCACTGCGTCTTCTGCAGGAGCAGGCTGATAGCCTGGCGGCTAAGGCTGGCAAGGGAAACAAGTACCAGCTTGCTGCTCGCTACTTTGCTGGCCAGGTTACTGGTGAGGATTACGCTGATTTCTTGACCAGCTTGCTGTACAATGAGATCTCCTCTGCTGGTAGTGCTGCTAAGCTTTGAGTGCGGCTGTGATTTTTATGATGATGAATACCCTTTGTTTCTTTCGCCTGGTCTTTGACTTCCATATGACCTGATTTACCATCTGCAGTTAGCATAGTTGTATAAAATTTATTTTATTTGGATTACCTTTTTACCGGTGTAGCATCCATGGATGTAGATGGATTATCTTCCAAGGCGATAGTAAGAATTGCCCGAATTGTGTTCACATCGCTTTTGTAGCGCCTTCTTTCAAAATTCCCAGTCCAGAGCCCCCGGGAACGTGCCCCCTTTGCATACCCCGGCCAAGGCCCACTACCCCCCGGTTGGTTACCCCAGTTCTCACAAGAAGCAGAAGAGTCCCGGCGGCAGACTAAGTCGAAATAGGAAATTTGGAGTCAAGTAGATAACTTTACATAGATAATACCTAGTTTCTTTCAAATGACACCTGTTACGTATATAAAATTCAAGAGAGAAATCAGGAGCTGATTACACTGGCGATGATGCGGGTCCCTGTCCTCGTATGATCGGGTTCTCAGATGCAGGTGGTGCTTCGCCCGCCCCAAAGATCCATCTCGACTTTTCGCTCCGTGGCGCGAGAACACATATTAGACATATCATCGCAAGTTGGCTATTGCTGCTGAACACGCCATTGAGGCCTAGAACGCGTTACTCAAGTCTGGTATCGGATGGGATGAGCTTAAGGATCACTATGCAGGTGTGAAGGAGAATGGTGTTCCCCGATTCGCCCTTTTTTCCATATAGCGTTCCTTGAGAATTGTCCGTCGGGACCCCATTGCGGTCGTTTCGTGTGCCAGTTGTCCTACATCCGATTGTATTCCTGTGGACCTTGTTCAACATAGCGGTCGTATTATTCCCTCCCATCCCCCCCAGATCATTGATCTACCCCATCTGGATAGCAACAATACTCAAGTTGCTGGGGACATAGAAAAGTTTGTATATCGAAGCCCCATTGAGACCGAAGTCCACCGGGCCTTTCATCCGAAAGACGATACCCCAAAATTGACGCAAATATTCCTGGCTACATCGGCTTCAGACATCACAACATGGGTCCTAGAAACCATCTCCTCTTTGAAGTAATGGTACGTCGCAAAACCACATAACGCAATGCCAGATGAGGTCCAACTATTCAGGCGTGTCATCTACAACTACCTCAAGGCGAAGATCTACCGCCGAACATCACGCCTCCCGCTACATACAGCAGCAGAGCGCCAAATATGCCCTGACGTCTGCCAGAATGTTATAGATAGCGCAAAGGATATGTTCAACATGCGGTCATGCATCCGTGGCACATGGTCCACATTCTCTTCGATACCGCAGTCATTTTGCTTGATGCTTGTTGGCAATATCGCTCCCAGCTTTTGTTGAGGCCAGCGGCATCTCATGTTCTGTTTGCCGTGATACCAAAATCCTTTGAGATGATAGATGAAATAGGCAGCTAGTGGAGTAGAGCTAAGCTCAGCATAAATAGCCTTCGGCCAATGCTAGAAGAGGTGAATCGGGCATATAATGACCCCCACCTCGAATCTTCATGCTCTTTTTCTGCATCTGAGGCAGCTACAACCGAAAACCTCGAAATTTTGATGTTTGCGGATCGGATACTCTATGACTTGTCGTCGGAAGATGTCTTTGGAACTTGATTCGCAATTCTTTGATGATGCGATATACCATTGGGACCTAGAAGACATGCAATGGGGCATTTATTGATGACATTGAATATATTCCATCCAAGAAGCGGATATTAAAATCATTCCTTTTCACTCCGTCCTCAAATTTATCTTCAGGCCGGGGATGAGCAAAAACACACACAGTACCGCGTAGGCTGGCTGTGCTCCTCTATTTCAATAAGCTTATCGTCTTGGCCAAGGGATTTATTTATTCACTTTAAAGTTCTCATGTAGGTATTAATATAGTGAAATTGACGATACCATGGTCTCTCATCAAAAGTCAACACGGACGGCACCATTTTGCCCAAGACAGCCAATATACATAGAATTAAGGAAAGTGTGATTTGGGCTGAATATCCAAGAAGAATATGAAATCGGCAATAGAAATATTCCACCGCATCTTTCATGTCTTTCAGGACAACATCTAACAATTGCACTATATAGTGCATATGTTAGGTTACAGGCTCAAACACTTTAGATGTACTCCCAAGCAACAGGGGTGGTAGTGTTGACAGAAACAGCCAGAGCATCGAAGCCGAGGCAGTCCTCAACCTTGCCAGAGGGAACAGTAGCGTTCTTCAGAGCAGCATAAACCTGCCACTTAGGGACGGCAGCAGCGCCCCGACGGGAACGGCGGTAGCTAGTGGTACCGTTGGTAGTGGGGCAAGCCATGAAGCCAGCTGCACCCTGGCCCTTGAAGGTCCAGTGGCCGAACGAGGTGCCGGGGGTGTAGCTGAAGGGACCATCGGAGGAACCAGAAGGCTCGTAGGCGGAGTGGGGAGAGGTGAAGCGCAGGGCACCCTTGTTATCAACGTAGATGGCCTGGCCACCGGGGACCTCGACATCCTGGATATAAGGTTAGGAAATTTGAACATTGGAAGGATGGATGTATAGGTATTACTAACCAAGAAGTGGCCATTGGCAATCACGGTCTGGTTGGTGTCGGGAACTCCGGGGATGGGAGAATAGGTGTGGGCTTTACCACCGAGCCAGAAGTAGGTACCGCCAGCATTGAGAGGCAGCAGGTGGATGGGAGAAGCCGAGCGAGCAGAGATGACGCCGAAGGCAGCATCGGAGCTATTTGCCTGCTTGGAGCCGGGGATAGCAGCCACAAGAGGGGCGAGGGCGAGAAGGGCGGAAAACTTCATTTTGAAGGAGAGAGAAAGCAATTGATATTGAGGATGAGAAATTTATCTACGGAGAAAAAAGATTCGAGGGGATCCATCAGGGTCATATATAAGATGGGCAGAAAAAGGGACCTTCTTGGGCAACTCCATAAGCGGATCGATCCATCTGAGAAATGTTGTGATCGACATTGAAGTCCGGTGGAGCCGAATTCAAGAATCAAGAGTGTCTTATCTACTCCATACACCATGAACCCATTCGGGTTATATGGAGAGGGAAACATGGAGAGCCATGAGACCCAAAATGGGAAGAAAGCCGAGTTGGGTAGTAGTGAGAATAAACAAGTCACCTATAACACCATAGAATGCTTGTATCCATTGAGGGGTTTGCATTTAGAAACATGACAGCCCTGGAGGTTCCAATTCGGTTGTGGACTTTTCACTGAAGATCGGACTAAATGGACCACACGCAATTGGTCTGTTTATGCTGTTTACGCCATTGTATTTCTCTTCACTGTGTCAGTTGACATGCAAGCAGATAAAATTAGCAGAAGACACCCCAGTTTCTCTAAAACACACACGGCAGGACACTGAAGATCCTAATAGAAGACCCTGAAGAGGTGTTTCAGGGAAGTGATGAAAGTTCAACAGTGATTAAAGATCGACAGGACTTATCGGAAGTCCGACAGATTTTGCCCGTAAGGAATAACAAGAAGAAAACGCCAACCTCTTAGCTGCGCCATATGGGGATCCACGATATCCACATTGTCTCAGGGCACAGCATGTTTGACATCATTGTTTTGTCCCGTCGATTGTTGTGATCAATTGGAGGCACGTTCTTACCTGTCATGTTGCAATTTTAATTTGGAAGGTCTCGAATGTCTTTATTTAATATAGATGATATAAATCATATACGGAGTAGGCTATACAGTCAATTTGACTCCACCAACTTTAATTATTCTTATACATCGATGTATAATAATGGGGTAATATTCTATCACGGGGTTCTATGTATAGTTGGATATAATTAGACAGAATATACTTCGTAGCCATCATCCCTCCGAGCTTTGTAGTCGCACTGCCACCATCTTCCCACACATATATGTCTCACCTTTGAGATGTGGAGTTGATGAGGAATGGAGGAATGATAACAGAATAGCCCTATCAGGATAGCCAACCATCTATGTTGTAGGGAAAGGATTATAAAATATAGGATGGCAATTTCACACTGTCCTCATACTTCCCAGGTTCCTGACAAAAAGGGGCATTTGATATGATGTCAGTGAGGTCAGGTGACCCACCATTCTCTCCCTGAGACGCGTTGGAGATAGAACAAGTACCAAATCGACGAATTTGTACTTGATTATTTTTAGAGAGTCTGCAAAATCATGGGCATCGAAGACTGAATGGCTTCCCCAAATGCCAAGGCCGGAGCTTCGCGCTCGGTCAAACCCTCCAACCCTCCCACGCGTCGCGGCTATACGTCACTTCCAAATCCAGCGGTCGAACACTCAACATCAGAGAGCAGTTGGGGGCAAAATGATGGGTTGGACACTCCTTCGAGTGGAGATGAGTCCTCTGAGAAGGCCGATATAAAACTCTTACCTTTGCAACAAGGCGGAGCTCGAGACCCACGACCCTCAAGTTCCAAAGCAAATGGCTCGAATTCCACTCCCATCGATGTCCCCGACAACGAGCGTGATGTTTCAAAGCGCATAAAGGATATCCTCGAGGCAGATCGCACCGTGTTGTCGGATTCATTCGCTACAGATTTGGAGGAAGGAGACTCGGGCAGAGACTCTCTGGCTCTCAGTGATCGATACAGTGACGACTATGGCATCCCATCTGATAAGGGCTTGCTGTTGAAAAATAAGAGCAGTGAAGATGGGAAGAAAGGCTTTGACTGGAGGTCATTGTTCCGTCTGCATTCGTGGTGGAACATTGCTGGCATGCTGACAATCGCCCTACTGGTAGTATGGCTTTCGATCAGGGGACTACCCTGGTCCTCTGCCGGAGCTGCCATTGATGAGTTTGTAGGTCTTCCTTCCTTTTCAATTGGTTGTTTCAAATCTAGAAACCAGTCTCTAATAATTACAGCAAGCGGTCCCCTGGTACCCTACTCCCCTTGGTGGAACGAGCGAACAATGGAAGGAAAGTTATGCCAAGGCGCAAGAAATGGTTAAGGAAATGACCCTCGCCGAAAAGGTGAACGTCACAACTGGAACAGGCTGGCAAATGGGACTCTGTGTTGGAAATACCGGTAGGCCCTTGCTATCTTCTCAGTTCTATGGCCATGCAAACCCTGACGCGAACTGTGTTATCTAGGACCTGCCGAACACGTCAAATTTCCTTCTCTTTGCCTACAAGACGGTCCACTTGGACTCAGATTCGCGCAAAACATTACAGCCTTCCCGGCAGGGATCACCACGGGCGCGACATGGAACCGCGAGCTTATGCAAATGCGAGGCTTTGCTCTAGGAAACGAAGCGCGGCTGAAAGGAGTGAACATCATTCTCGGTCCATCTATGGGGCCGCTTGGCATGATGCCTGCCGGTGGCCGTAATTGGGAGGCATTTGGTTCAGATCCAGTTTTGCAAGGCGTCGCCGCGGCAGAGACAATCCGGGGCATCCAACGGAACGGGGTCATGGCCACGGCGAAACATTTTATTGGAAATGAACAAGAACACTTCCGTCAGTCATTTGAATGGGGTACTCCAACTGCGCTCTCATCGAATATTGATGATCGCGCGTTGCACGAAGTATTTGCCTGGCCCTTTGCTGAGAGTGTACGTGCCGACGTGGCTAGCGTTATGTGCTCATACCAAATGGTCAATAACAGCTATGCTTGTGAGAATAGTAAACTCATTAATGGTATTTTGAAAGATGAGCTCGGCTTCCAGGGATTTGTTCAGTCGGACTGGCTGGCTCAGCGTTCAGGCGTTCACAGCGCTATTGGAGGCCTGGATATGAGCATGCCCGGCGATGGCCTTCATTGGGCTGATGGTGTTCCGCTCTGGGGAAGTGAACTGACCCGTGCCGCATTGAATACGTCTGTTCCTATGGAGCGCTTGAACGATATGGTCACTCGTATCGTGGCCGCCTGGTACCATTTGCGACAGGACTCATGGGAACCCCCTGCACCCGAGGGTGAAGGCGGGCCGAACTTCTCATCCTGGACGAAAGAGCGGGTCGGACATTTATACGAAGGCTCGCCGGATAAGGATGCAACGGGTGTGGTCAACAAATTTGTCAACGCACAGGGAACAGGCGAGCATGCCCATTCTATTGTTGCTCGCCAGATCGCCGCAGAAGGCACTGTGCTTCTGAAAAATATCAATGATACCCTCCCGCTCTTGCGCGCACAGTCCGCACCCAATGGCAAATACCGGGTCGGTGTATACGGCGAAGACGCTGGCCCTGGCCAAGGACCGAACGCTTGCGCTGACCGAGGATGTAATCAAGGAACCTTGGCCTCTGGTTGGGGTAGTGGGGCTGTAGACTTCCCATACTTGGTCAGTCCATGGGAAGCACTGCACCATGCGTGGTCGAAAGACTCTGTCGACGTTAAGGCTTACTTGACGAACAATGTTGCAGCTCAAGACCTCGCAGAGCAGGACCTCTGTTTGGTCTTTGTCAACGCGGATGGGGGCGAAGGATTTATCCGCAGTGACGGCATTGATGCAGACCGGAATGACCTCTTTCTACAAAAGAACGGCACTCAGTTGGTAGAGGGGGCAGCTAAGCACTGCGGCGGTGGCCACGGTAAAACTGTTGTTGTTGTACACTCCATCGGCCCCGTTGTGATGGAGTCTTGGATTGACCTTCCTGGTGTCCACGCTGTACTGTATGCCAATCTACCCGGGCAAGAAAGTGGGAATGCATTGATGGATGTTCTATTTGGAGATGTCGATGCCAGTGGACGGCTGCCATACACCATCGGACGAAGCCTAGAAGACTACGGCCCAGGGGCGCAAGTCCTATATGAGCATCCAGACCCCTCCGTTCCACAGGTAGACCTCAACCAGGGCCTGTATATTGATTACCGTTATTTCGATAAGTTCAACATCACCCCCCGGTTCGAGTTCGGCTTCGGCCTATCATATACAACCTTCGACTACTCCGCACTGAGCATTGAAAAACTGCAGAAGAAGTCCCAATGGCCTTCCAAACGGCCCATAAACGAAGTTGAACCTCCCGCATACGACAATAAACAGAGCAGCCCCACTAGCAGTCTATTCCCCCCAGGTTTCCGTGCACTTCGCAAATACATTTATCCCTACCTCGCCACCCTGGAGGGAACTGAACCCGGCCCATACCCGTACCCGGAAGGATATAACAAACGCCAAAACCCATCTGCCGCAGGCGGCGGACCGGGTGGAAATCCATCCCTGTATGAGCCCATGCTCGAGCTCACCATCGAAGTGACAAACACTGGTACACGCACAGGACAAGATGTGGTTCAGGTATACGTTTCCTTCCCAGAAGATGTCGCCGAGCATCGTGGAATGAGCTGGTCCCGTGAGTCAATTGAGTTCCCTGAGCGTGTCCTGCGGAACTTTTCAAAAGTTCTGCTACAACCAGGTGAGACCCAAAATGTCAAGATGACATTAACTCGGAAGGACCTCAGCTACTGGAGTGTTCGTGCGCAAAACTGGGTATTGCCTATCGAAGGTAAATTCCGTATCTGGGCTGGACGTAGTTCTAGGGATTTGCCGCTCGTGGTCGAGTTTTGATCCTTTACGGGACTTGAAACACTGTTGCTATAAAGTTGGAGGTCTGTAGATACTGTCAATAATTCGGAATTCATGATTTCCTAAATGTGTCTATGTGGTTACGGAAAGGCATGAAGTTGCTGAAACCAATGGAAAAATATATCCTAATAAGTAGGGCCATGTAGGCCTTGTAAAGTGAACCAAAATCAAATAACATATAAACTTTTGCTTTGACATGGTAGATGCACTAAGGTATCCGTCGGAAACATGTACAATACTAGCGAAAACGGCACTTAAACAAAATCTATGCCGGAAAAATAGGAGAACAAAACGCCGAAACACCGTCTATCAGATCCAATGCAGACCAAAACATTAACATGGTGCTCATGATGCGAGGATATAATCGGAATTATTCTCTCAGCGATTACGAATCATAATGTTGAAGCACGTGGAAGCACGTCTATTCGTCGTCGGAGTCCACGGGCTTGGGGGTACCCTTGGGGGAGTTCAACTAGAAAAAGGGTTAGTATATCGTTAAAAGTAGAGATATGAACACGAGAAACTCACCCATTCGATGTAGCGCAGACGACGGCGGGTCTCACGCTCCTTCTGCTGAGCACGGGTCATCTTCTTCTTCTTCTTAGCGCGGAACTTGAGGTCGCCTTCATCGCCAGAGTTCACGGCGGATGGGGCAGCACTGGTAACGGCCGAGCCAGTAGCGGGGGTACCAGGGCCAGAAGGCGAGTTGGTAGCGCTATCCTCGAAGCGGTCGAGGCTGACGGCATTGTTGGTACGGCTGACAACACGGCCATCGGCAATGTGCAGCTGCTCGGGGCAGAGGGCGCCCACGAACTCCTCGTTGTGAGAAATCATAACAACACCACCCTTGAAGTCACGGATGGCAACAGCCAGACCACCGAGCGAGTCACGATCCAAGAAGTTAGTCGGCTCGTCCAGGACCAGCAGATGGGGGTTGTTCCACATGGCACCAGCAAGCACGACCTTGACCTTCTGACCACCAGAAAGACCGGAGATCTCGTTGTGGTTGGCGATCTCGGGGTCCATACCGATGTCCTCGAAGTGCTTGGTAATGGTCTTGGGGTCAAGAACACGGAAGCCCAGACCTTCACGGGAAGCCTCGTGATCGTCGAACTCCTGAACCAGCTTGAAGAAACCGAGCTCAAGCAGGGTCTCACGCGAGATCATGGTGTTGTGCTTGGGGAGAAGACCAACCCACTTGACCTCATACTGGAAGGACTTCTTCCACTTCTGACGACCAATCAAGGTCTCGATACGACGGGCACCGCGGCCGTCACCCAGGTCAACTGGCTTCTCCAGCTGTGCCTTGTCCTCTTCAGTGAGAATACGGGTTTGCTTCAGGAACACTTCACGATCGTCACCGTTGGCGTAACGCCACTGGAGGTACTGGCTGGGAGTCTTCTCCAAGTGCATCTCCACGTGCTCCAGAGCGTGCTGTTTGATGTAACCAATACGCAAGTTGGGGTGCTTCTCCACCTTTCCTCCCTGGGGAATGGTCTCACCAGTCAGAATCTTGATGAAAGTAGATTTGCCGGCACCGTTTCCACCAATGATAGCGACACGGGAGGAGAGTGTAAGCGACAGCGAGGCATCGTGCAGCGAGGGGCGAGGGGCGCCAGGATAGGTGTATGAGACGTTGCTCATGCGCATAATGGCACGAGTCTGGGACTTGATACCAGACAAGATACCGGGGGAGGGAACTTGAACTGCACATTGGATGCGGACAGAGTGTAGTAACTCTTGCCCTCAGGCTTCTGCTTGACGAATTCGGCAAGGTTACCCTTGTAGCAGACAAGCTTCTTGCTCTCGTAGTGGTAGATATCTGTGCAGACTTCATCGAGGAAACCGGAGTCGTGACTGACGATCAGACTGGTGATCTCAGTGTGCGACCGAAGGTACTCCTGCAGCCACTTGACGTTTGCCACATCCAAGTGGTTAGTAGGTTCGTCCAGCAGGAGAACATCAGCCTTCTGGAGCATAGCACGGGCCAAAGCCAGCTTCATCTTCCAACCACCGGACAGCGAGCCCACGGGCTGGGACTGGCGGCCCTCAGGGCCATCAGTGAAGCCGAACTCGAGTAGAACCTCACGAATGTGATCCATGCCCTGAGCAACAATCTTGGGGTCCTTGGCAACATACTCAAGGATGGTCAGGTTGGCGTCTTCACCCTGGTTGTGCTCCACGAAACAAGTGCGAACCACATCCTGGGGCGGGAAGCCTTCCAGCTTCTCATTGGCGATACTGCGCATCAAGGTAGACTTGCCGGCACCGTTGCGACCGCAGAGACCGTATCGGTGACCCTTGAGGAGGCGCAGGTTGGTGTGGGACAGAAGGAGCATACCTCCGTAAGCAAGAGAGAAGTCGGCGTTGACAATCTCAACATCGTTGGGGTCCTCGGGGGCGGGCTTGCCGAACTTGATTTCATCCGCTGCAATGTAGTGGGATTGGACAGCAGTGGCAACGGCCTCTGTGTTGCCATCCGCAAGCAGACCGCGGAGGTATGGGTCAATGCGGTCGGGGATACGGTCGTGCATGCGGGAGTTGATATCCTCGCGGACCATACCAGCAATGTAGTTCTTGGCCAGATCCTGCAGCTTGGAGTCACCAAATCCACCCAGACCACCGTGCTCCTGAATCTTTGCATTCAGCACATCCAGGACCTCCTCAGGGGTGGTCTTAGAGATGGAACCCGAGGCGAGATGACTGTCTCCCATGGCAGTCTCGATAACGTCGAGAGCACGGGTGGCGAGCTCACGAACCTCGGGCAGGGAGGCGGTCTCCTTGACCGACTTCACACCAGGCTGGAGCTTGGGGAGGAAGGTACGAGCCTCGGCGGGATCGTGGACCAGCTTGGTCAAGTTCTCCACAACGACAACAGTCTGGCGAAGGGTTTCTTGGGGGTAGCAGGGGTGTTGAGGGATCGGGCGAGCAGAGGGGTGAGCATGGCCAACACGGGGGATGTGACGATGGCGACGAAGGTGGTCTGGGACAGAGCGTGAATCGCCTTCTGGAGAGTCTGAGCGGAGGGGTTCTCCATAGTCTTGATCAAAAGAGGAATACGGGGGGCAACGTCGTCGTTGGACAGAAGGGTGGTCAGGGCAGTCATGGTCTTGCAAGACTGCTTGGCCACTTCGCTCTTGAGGTCGTGCATGCCGGACTCAACAATGGGAATGAGCTCCTTCAAGGTCTTGCCCATAGATTCGCGCAGCAAGTCCTTCTGGCGCTCCTCGTCCTTGGTACCCTTGCCCAACTGCGCCTTGACCGCCATCTTTTCGATAAGCGAGTAGGCACCGACAAATCCTTGCCACTTGCCAGAGCCCTTGGACAGGTAGCGCTCGAGGGCGGGAATCAGACCGTTGACCATGGCCTCGGGGCTGAGACATCCGAAGAGCGCATCGATGGCGTACTGGGCAGCATCGCGCACAACGGCACCCTTGTCAGATAGGGCATCCAGAGCAATGTCAAAGATACCTCCGTCGTGCAAGAGGAAAACGACTTCACTGAGAGGGAACTCTCGGGGGAAGCGCTCGAACAAAGCACCGATAATGAGCATGGCACTCTCGCGCTTCGCACCATTCTTCTTATCGGAGGCAGCCTTGCGGACATTAGCGAGAACATTGTAGTTCAGTAGGCCTGCACAGCCGGCACCCTGCATGAGCAGGTTGGTCAAGGCATATGCGCCATCAAGGGACTTTTGGGAGGTGTCGGATGTGAAGATATTGTCGAGGAGGGAGGAAATCTCCTCGGAGGTGGGGGGGCACGCCCGAGGGGCCCTTTGCGACGATGGTCGGCATGGCGGGAGTCTCAGAGGGGGAGACAGTGTGTGGCATTTTCAAGAGAATCAGAAAGTCGATGATCGAGTGTCGATATCAAAAAAAAAAGATATCGGAAAAAAACGATAGGGAAATGAAGCCCTGGGAAGAGAGGGGCAATTCGACCTAACGGAAGATAAAGAAACTGTCCACAGCGCAAGTCGCGCACACAAACAGAATGAGTAGGATCGGGTTGAATCGTAGAGTATATACAAGACGATTCTCAGAAACCCAGAAGACCCGAAACACAACGACAAAAAAGAAACACAAAGAGGGGAGAGTGGTCTAAAAAGAAGTAAAAACAATCTTCGCCATCCTCAATTGCTGACCCACCGGCGACCGAATTTTTTTTTTTTTGCTTACTCATCCAATCAGCGGGCCCGGCGGTGCCATGGGACAAAAAGGCGTCTAACCCGATTTGTCTGATTGGATCAGTGACTTCGCCGCCTTGGTGCCTTGATACCTGAAATTCCTTATGCCTTATATTCAAGGCATTAACTTTCATTTGTATGTTCTGCCTGAGGTGTTTAGCTTCTACGTCACAATAGTCACCGGTCGACCAACGCTTCTGACGGGTAAATGGATGTTCTTTTCCAGCCTGGCAACCCCCGAGGCCAACTTGACAGGGAAAAAGTTCCCCTTGGGCTTATCTCCGTCAATCCGAAATGCAGGTCCCAGCCTTCACCAACTATGTTTAGATATTGTATACTAGGAATGCCAATAAATAGATATAATGATGACTACCACTACTCCGTAGGCTATAATGAATTATCAAATAACCCAGATGTTCACTGGTATTCGTCTTGTCGGTACATTTCATCCCTGTCCAGCATCCAACGGACCTGATCACAGCCGACATGGCCGCATGGCGCCGGGCCTCGGTAGACAACCCCCTGTGCCCCGCGTCCAACCGACCTGCATTCGGTCAAGTCGATCATTCAGTTTGATTATTTCTTGCTCTTCTTCCTGTATATCTACCATCTTCAGTTCCAAAAGATTCGTTCAATTGCTGTTCGTTCAGCTTGATCCTCTTTCATATCCTCATTCACCCCCGCAATTCAACTCCGCCCCCGCAAATCCACCCCCGGACTCCATCAGCACAACAACACAAAATGGCCCTTAGCTGGAGATCAACCCGTCATGTGTCTAAGCTTGCCCAGGTGAGCTTGAATAATGATCTTATTTATTATTTAACATTCTAAGTCCTCTAACTCTTTCTAGGCAGCACGACCTGTCCTCTCGGCACGTCACTATGCGACCGCCGAGCCCGACCTGAAGACCGCCTTGAAGGAGGTTATCCCGGCTAAGCGGGAGCTCCTTAAGAAGGTCAAGGCTCAGGGTGATGATGTGATTGGTGATGTGAAGGTCGGAAATGTCATTGGTGGTATGCGTGGCCTCAAGGCCATGCTCTGGGAGGGCTCCGTCCTCGACGCGGATGAGGGAATCCGCTTCCACGGCAAGACAATCAAGGACTGCCAGAAGGAACTTCCCAAGGGCACCACCGGCACAGAAATGCTACCTGAAGCCATGTTTTGGCTGTTGCTGACTGGTCAGGTGCCCTCCACGGGCCAGGTTCGTGCCTTTTCGCGCGAGTTGGCCGAGAAGTCCGAACTTCCCTCTTACATTCTGGACCTGATCAAATCTTTCCCAGCCTCAATGCACCCTATGACTCAGTTGTCAATTGCTGTCGCAGCCCTTAACACCGAGTCCAAGTTCGCCAAGGCCTACGAGAATGGCATCAACAAGGCCGACTACTGGGAGCCCACCTTTGACGACTGCATCTCCCTCCTGGCCAAGATTCCTCGCGTGGCGGCACTTGTTTTCCGTCCTAATGAAATTGATGCCGTTGGTACCCAGAAGCTCGACGCCGCTCAGGATTGGTCGCACAATTTCGCAGAGCTGCTGGGCAAGGGTGGCGCAGAGCATGCTGACTTCCACGACCTCCTTCGTCTTTACCTAGCTCTGCACGGTGACCACGAAGGTGGCAATGTATCAGCCCACACAACCCACCTCGTTGGAAGCGCTCTGAGCGATCCTTTCCTGAGCTACAGCGCCGGTCTCCTGGGCCTGGCGGGCCCACTCCACGGCCTGGCAGCCCAGGAGGTTCTCCGCTGGGTGACTGCCATGCAGGAAAAGATCGGAACTAAGTTCACTGACGAGGATGTTCGCACCTATCTCTGGGATACTCTTAAGTCGGGGCGTGTGGTTCCTGGATATGGCCACGGCGTTCTGCGCAAACCTGACCCTCGTTTCGAGGCTCTGATGGACTTTGCCGCCACCCGCCCTGAAGTTCTTGCCAACCCGGTCTTCCAGTTGGTAAAGAAGAACTCGGAGATTGCTCCTGGTGTTCTTACTGAGCACGGAAAGGTATGTCCAATAGCAACCTAACATCCCGAATTCCTTTCTCAGCTAACGCTTTATTACTTTTCTGCAGACCAAGAACCCATACCCCAACGTCGATGCCGCTAGCGGTGTCCTCTTCCATCACTTTGGCTTCCAACAGCCCCTTTACTACACCGTCGCCTTCGGTGTCAGCCGTGCTCTTGGTCCCCTAACTCAGCTGATCTGGGATCGCGTTCTTGGCATGCCCATTGAGCGCCCCAAGAGCATCAACCTTTTGGGCCTGCTCAAGAAATAAATACCAATATAGTTGCCTGGTGCGACCGAAAACTCCTTGGCCTCGATGGTTCAAATGATGAATTTGATATGAAGCGAGCTTTCCTACTTTTTGATTTTTGTCCTCTTTTTGCTTGAAGGAGCTGCTCTTACTTTTGCTCTTCTGTTTATCTCAGACAGAATCACATATCCATAGACTACTTGCTTTCGCGAAAGTCTAGTCAATTAGATTTCAATTCTGAGCCGGCCGTTTTACGTGACTTTCTGCATGGATATCAACACTTTTAGACCACCTTCAAATTTGAAATCGGGCAAGTAATACGGCTAAAACTTAGTCTCTTGGAGTATGACATCTCACACTTAACCATGAAAGCTTCTGCTGAAGGGTCCGTTATGAAATCTCTAACAGCATCCATGGATAAACAGAGAAAACGAAGCCTCACGTGTAGTAGAGGGCAGTACTCATTGACATGCCCAACAAGAAGAAGCAGATGTACTCCAGGAACGTCGGGGGTGGTCTTGGTTTTTAGTCGTGGTTAGTTCTCTCCATCTCGTGATTTTATTATTCAAATTTTCTCATTATTAGTATAGACACGTAGTATTACTATAGAGAGGGCATATTACAACATGTGCGTTGGTGGATAACAAGAGAAATACGGTGATTGTGTTGATATGCATTTTCGACAGGCACACCTGAATCAAGGTGTCCCCATGAATAGAGAAACAGCAGAATTCAACTGCCGCATGGAGATAATGTTGGGCACAATGTGTGGATTAAAGTCTCATTATAGCCATTTTTTGCACTCCGTTGGCAGGAAAAGCAATAAACCAACATGCCATTCCCAACGCGGTGTAACTAACAACCTTGGAAGGTACATCGGGCGAGCTGTCCACAAAGTGCGGGGAACAAAAAAGTCCAGACCATTGCAAGTTCCATGGTTCGACCTCAATCATACCCATGGATGTAGTTCTCAACCCTGCATCTCTACCTAATCGGGTAATTGAATTCATCTTTCTGGAAAGCGCGACGTGCCCACCCGCGACTATAAACCCCCATTCGTCCCCAATAATCGTCGACGTCAAGTGCCATTCGCGCTAGTGGTAAGAACATTGGTTGTTGCGGTATGGATTCAGCCGTTGAAGAGTTCAATCAAAGTGAGTTGATTAAGCCAATATGAATATGAACTAAAATAATAGAAAGAATATGATCAATGGAATGATAATATGTCCAAGAAATAGAATTGGCGGTCTTAACAACAGACAGCGAGGGTGAAATCCTAATCAGCACCTGTATAACAGCTAATGACACAGCTTACAACCGAGCACTCCCAGTCGACAATTGCTCCCACTCTTTCTGTCCATATGGGGAATAGCTCTCGTCACCGGGTGCAATCCACAAGAAGTGATCATCTTTACCCTCGGGAGCTTTAGTTCCAATGAGTGCAGTATCAACCCCCTCATCCCGAAGTGGCACCTTGTTTTGCTTATGGTTGTGAATATGAGTGGAATTCTGCACGATCCGAAGGAACAGCGGCACAGCATATTTTGGCAGCTTGGAGCGTACGAATCTCGCGAGTTCTGTGTAATCAAATGTCTGACGGGCATCTGGGCTAATTTGAATTGCTGCACACCCGGCTCGTCCCTCGTGATTGGGAAGACGGACACCGTAGACGTTGGCTTCGGTGATGCCAGGGAATTGGCCTAGAACCTCCGAAACCTCGGCAGTTGCTCTGTTATATTGACCCTATTGTTAGCTTTTGCGCCCAATATTCACACCCACATCTTAGGATGCTGTGCAACTTACACGTTCTCGCTCTTCCAGCGGAAAGTATCCCCAAGTCGGTCGAGGAAGTACCAACGCCCATCACCCTGCCGACGCAGAGCATCTCCAGATCGATAATAGAGATCCCCCTTCTTGAAAACATCGCGTAAGAATTTCTTATTTGTCGCCTCATTATTGCGCCAGTACCCCTGGAAAGCCTCTTTGCCGGGAACATTAACAAGGATTTCACCTCCCTGCTCATAAGGCGAGCGAACCGCAAATCCGGTCTTAGAATCCCGCAGAATATCTCCAGTCTCTGGGTCAATAGCAACAGGAACAAAGACATTATGCAATATACCGCGCATGATAAAACCATGGTGACCGACACTGCCCGACGTGAAAGGACCGCGATTGTGGTTGAAGAGACCAAAGAGACCTTCTGTACTATTAAAGAATTCCCCAACTTCAGGGACTCCAAACCGCTCACGGAACCGCTCCCAAATATCCGGCCGGAGACCGTTACCGTACATACAGCGGACCTTGTGGTTCCGATCTTGAGGCGATGGAGGCGGCGCGAGCAAATACCGAGCACTCTCTCCGACATAGACGAAAACAGTCGACTCCGAGTCGCGCACATCTGTCCAGAATCTACTGACGCTAAACTTCGGAGCGATTGCGATGCTGATACCCATTACCAGAGATGAGATCATTGCAATAGCCGCCGTGCCGTGATACAAGGGCATACAGCTGTACCAGCGATCACCGGCTGGGCCGGGCGTGTCTTCCATCATAGCAGGGCGGATGAAGAGAGTGGTATAGAGTCTGGACATTGTGAACGCACAGCCCTTGGGCATACCTGTGGTGCCAGAGGTATATAGGAGAATCGCTGGGAAGTCACCGGACATATCCTTGCTCAGCTCCTTGGGCGGGAGAGTTGTTGCGAAAGTGCTGATATGCGCCTTCAGCGAACTATCTAGGGTCATTGGCTTCATTCCCAAATTGCCTGTAATAGCGTCGTAGCTTTCTTCGACGCGGGCGCGACAGTCAGCATCTTCGTCGACGAGCAGAATGGTCGCACCGCTGATCTTCAGACAGTGTAGCAATGCGGCGCCGGTGAGGTTGTAGTTTATGGCTGCGGGTGCACAGCCAATACTCCAAAGGGCCACCCATGCAACGATATACTCATTACTGTTCTGGAGGTAAAGGGCAACGAGGTCGCCTTTCTTCACTCCGTGTGATAAGTAGAAATGGGCATATTGACAGGCTTGGTCTTGGAGTTCTCGGTAGGTGTATGATCTCTCTCGAGTCCAGAGACAGACCATGTCGGGATATTTCTTTACGGTTTGTAGTAGGACGAACCACGGATTCCCTTGGTTTTGGTTAACTAAAGGTTGGTCAGTATGTGGGTTGCAATTGCGGAAATATATTATAATCATACTGGCATTGGCATATTGTCGTTCTGCATGCTTCACCATTACCAAACTTGATATATCCTTCCGGATATGAAACTTGGCATTCAAATACCCTGCGACTGTAGCTCCCCCGACGAGAGCGGCGGCGGCGGTTCCTATCATTTGTCAGTAAGATCAATTGTGACCATCGTTTCACCACGCACCTATATCCATCTTCCCAATTTGACCTTGTTTTTGTATACAAGTAGCCAAGGGAGCTATCACTTTAACAATATAAGTATACAAATGAGGGGATCTTAGTGATTAACCGCTGACCTCGGCATAAATTGATCTCCACACTTTTGGCCATTCACCAGTTAAACCTTTTAGCCAATATTATTCCTAATTTTGTTGGTCAATTCGGCTGGGATTCCCCATAAATGAGATGCGGGGAAGGCTAATTATAATCCTGGCCTCGGTCGGCATATATCTATAATCATAAAATCGTGTACCTACCTACGTATTTTATTTCACGTTGTAGGAACTTGTTAGAGAGGAGGCAGTACGACTAAATGTAGTGGACTGGAAAATCTATTAATTGTGCGCTAGAGAGAGAGGAAAGAAACTATCTATATAGGTGAAACTAGAAGTACTGGGAGCACGCATATGGGTGGTTGTATGACCACTTCTAACACCCCCCATGACTAGTACTGTAGTAAAACCTACGTTCCAAAAACTGCAAATTCCCCCCGAAAAACCAGTTTGTAAACCGTGTAAATCAGAATTTAATGATTTTTATAGGGTATAAGCCCTATTTAATTGATAAATCGTTTGAATATCACTTTTTCTAGGGGTTTTCTCAATCTATTTGCTACTATCTTAGTAGTAGGAAGCGAAGCCCGCTGCGAGCTTTGGGAATAGGCCCGAAACCCGACCCTTTTGAGGGTCGAGTTGGGTCGGGTTTCGGGCTTTTCGAGCTTTGCGGAAGTCTATGCGGAACGAAGATCTTACTTTGCTATTAAATACCTCATCTAACAGGAGCATCTAACGCCGCCCTTCAAAGAGAAGATCTAGCGCGGGTATTTAAAGCGAGGATCTAACACGACCATCCATAAAGTTTGTTACGACGGTGATTTTAACCCCTCTACGTTACAGCTTCCATCCCGCGTCCAATATCAATACAGCATCAACAGGTCTCGAGGACAGGCTGGATACATAGATGATCTTTCGCCGTCGAAATCACTTTCGAATTCAGAATTAGTCCCCCCACATCCAACATCCCGCCACATTCCGAGCACCGTGGAAAATTCCACAAGAAACATGAAATATACCATCCTCTGCGCCAGCATCCTTGCGCTGACTTCTGCCGCATTGGCCTCAGGCAAGCGGCCATGCTACAACCAAGCCGATCCCGACGGGTGTGTTTCTCGATTTCCTTTGCAGCCCTGTGTTTTGTGCTGACGACTATCAGTGGCCTGCCGGACTAATGCTACTGTAATGATGGTACCTGCTGGGCAACGTCGAGTCATGACTGCAACCCAACCTCGAACGAGCGACTCAATCCATGTCCGGTGGGAGATCCCCTCGCGGCTAGGCAAGATTAACCAAGGAGCATGAATCTAGACGTTTTGGAGGATCTTCCGTCCCGAAGTTCGCATGTGATGATGATTAAGGAATAGGGTACGGACATGATCATGTAGCATACGGGGGAGCTGGAGTACCGTACCTAGGTAGGCACATATACTAGGTCGCACGGAAATCCACTATTATAACCTTTTTTGCTCGGTTTCTGGTGCCTTCATGAGATTTTCAATGCAATTTTCTTATGGGATGACTACAGAAGGAAATCACTATCAAAGAAAGACCGTGTAGCATTCCATAGGCACGAAGTGGACGGGGGGGGGAAGGAGAAAGAGAGAGGGATTGCGCAGACGTACTCCGTACAGCGCTCAGGGTCCAAGCCCCCCTTAGGAAGATGTTGACACCGGAATGCCCGTTTTTGAACCGCAGAAAACTTAAAGTACCAGTACAAATGCCATAATAATCAAAGTACTCTGCCCGGTTCTGCTAGCGTTGCAAGAATATAAAGCTTTTCACATCATACAAATGCATACACCTCTAGTTTTCCAGGTGGTTTATAAGCTCTCTCTCCCCATATATGAAAATGAAGCTTTTCGTCCTATATAAATCCATACATATCTTATTTTAATGTGGTTCAAATGAAGCTTTTACCAGATGGTGTTGGTGGGCTTGGCACGATTGCGATATTATTAAGACTCTAAGTTCCCTTTTCATAAGATACTTCCGCTTTTTCTCTTTAAAAAAAACTATTAATATTGAAATACTTACTCCATCAATTAATAATTTTCTCATTAAATAAAATAATCAGGCTGAGTGTTGATTTGTGGGGCCACAGTTCTTGCTGTCCATTTGTGTATTATTGCCCACCCCCTCTTTTGGAGCGCCGGCACGGCCCCTCCCGAGGTCCTCTAAGCGGCTCAACAAGCCATACATAACTAAGCTCATGCCCATGCCCAGGTGCCCAGGTGCTCAGAACTGTCCTTTACCTACTCTCGTGCTGTCATAGTATCCTTAGTTTCCTCGCGGGAAGCCCCCAAAGACCAGGACGACTTGAAACTGAAGGAAACTACCATACTACCTACGATGTCCGAACAAAATATCCTCGACCAACGCTCGGCTATGATACACTCCGAAGCGGCTCAAGGCCATGGAGACGACAGGGTTCCTCACGACTCGGACGACGAGCCCATGGTCTACGAGATTCCCATGGACTCCGCAGCTTTTTCACGCCAGGAGCGCGACCGCCTCATCGCCGAGGGCGCCGATCCTGATTCCGTCATCCTCCAAAGCGAACTACACAATCATGTTATGCGGCAAAAAGGCGAGTCCATTGACGACTATGCGAAGCGTTACTCCGATACTATGAACGCCATGATTCGTCGCGGCGTTTCTATTCTGAATGATCTGCTTATTGCTGATGTGGTGCCATCCGAATTTAGAACCGAAGATGGGAGGCTTTTCGATTTGGGCCCGGAATCGGGCGCGACGAAGAGGGAGTATCGAGAATTTAGCCAGTGGCTCTCAGCAGCGGGGGATTTGAATTATGACAGCGGGGATAGTCCATGATCACATTTCCTCCGGCTTAATATCAACCTATCATGGAGTGCCGAAGGTAGTCTGGTATACAAATGTCTATCAAGTCGCCGTATCAATGCAAACGGTTATGCAGTTCTAACCCCAGTTACTCTCCAAAATGGTCGGCTCTCCCTATTCTCTCTTCTATATCAACCCTGTAACAGTCCAAGGGCGACAGCATCAAATGCTTGAGCCTCGTAGCTTTTCTCTCCGTACCTTTCCTAGTCGTGTCCGTAGAGCCATGCTCCCGACATAGGAGGTTTCTTGATCTAGTGTTTGGTGCCAGCGCTAATCCTCGCATCGCATCGAGCCACGCCTATACCTTGAAGCAATGACACGCGATCGAAATGCAGGAGATTATGCATGCGTGTGGCATCGCCTGCCGGTCCACAATAAGATATTCATCAACATTTCCGCCTAAGCGAGAATTATTTGCAGCAGTGGACGAGCCTGGACGCGGCAGGGGCGGTTGGCTGATTATGTATCCTCTCGAACTTATTATCTTATCCCGACAAGTTGCAGTACAGCTCTATATACTAAAGTGAAGGGCTATTGGAGTTCGTATTACACTCCGATACTTGGGGCGACAGCTGGAACCTCTCGACCGATAAGGCAACTTGTAGCTCTACATTGGCCTTGACTGCTACCACCTATATATACCCGTCACATACGACAGTCACGCTAACACTCCGCTCTCACGGAAATACAAGCTCCTCTTTGAGTGGGACGATCATCCTTATTGGGGGTACGAACGATCCGACTCTTGCCCTAGTAAAGAGGTATACCTAAAGAGCTAATAAGATACTAACCTTAAATATTCTAGGAATAAATTTTTAGTAATCTATCTACTATAAAAATAAAACTATTCTCTAAAAATTCTACTTTATAAAGTTATAGTAAGAAAGAACTCGGCCAAATCGGAGCGGGGTTAAATCACTATCTCCGTTGTTCTCCCGCGTTCCGAGACTTCAGGCTTCCGGCAACCTTAGCCCTAAGTAGGTGATCAGCTACTGAAATAGGGGCTATCTTGTGGGGGATTTCTTCCACTGAGATATCGAGAAAAGAACGATCATAGCTCGGGTACCAGACTTTGTCCAAAGCATGGTTTGGGAATTTTGTGTTTCATGGAACAGCTAACTACACTTCGCAATTCAGATACGGCACAATTTCGCAGAGGAATATTCATTTTCAATTTGTACTCCATTCATTCTCTTTGTGCCCCCAATAATTCATGTGACAGGCCAATGAACCAAAATAGGTTTATCAACTAGAGTACACTTTCCTCCCCTTTCCATCGAGTACCTCCGCAAAGAAGTCTCGGAAAGACAATGGTGTGAACTCTGGATAGAGGTTTCTGGCATTGAGATAACCAAGATACTCTGCGTAAGCAGGAGTGTTGTCCTTGCGCACATACTTACTGTACTTGTATTCGGAAAGATAAAGGAACATTCGTTTCATCGGATCCTGAGGATCTTGAGAGAAAGCAGCTTTAGCCTGTGCAACCCTATCTTCGATTTGTTCGGTTGACATCTGAGGGTACAGTTAACAAAACATGTTTGACCAATAATAGTATTTTCAAAGGGTATCAGCATGGTCAGCTTACCGGAGTCGATTCGAGCTTCTCTCCGGAGAGCTCTTCAGCAATACGATAAATTTCTTTCTCAGTCAGAATGTCTCCAAATGTGTAGACATATTTGTTCAGCGTTCGGTCATCGCTTATTATGCGCGCGACAAATCGGCCGATATCACGTAGGTCGGTAAGAAGATTAGGGGCTGTGCCGTCGCCATGTATAGTGTTGCTTGGTATCACCGATGCATAATCCACTTTGCCGGAGGGAACGATGGGAAATGAGATTTGATACCAAAACCCGACATCGATAATGGTATAAGGAATGCCAAGGAATTTGATGTCGTTGTAAACTTCTTCCTTCTGTTAGATTGATCAGTTAAGCCCGAGTCGCACCTGTTAGTTTTCGCTGTTCGTACCTCGTCACGAACCAACATAGCGCCGTTTGGGGGTGCGACCGTAATGAAAGCGCATGGAACTACTCGCTTAACACCTGCCTGCTTTGCAGCTTGGAATAGCTTTTTTTGCTGCAGTACATCCTGAGGTCCAATAGCGCTGATAAGAACATCAACACCAGTCAATGCGGATATGAGATCGCTTGATTCACTGAGATCTATGCACCAGGTCTTGATGCCTTGCTCTTGAATCTTCTGGACCGATGGCTTATTCGCAGAAGTTGGTCGTACGAGGACTTCAATATCCTATGAAAGGAAGAAACAGAAGATCAGTGCCACGGACTTTCACTAGACGGTCATTGAAACTCACAAAGTTACCAGACTCCTGCAGACCTTTCAGTATAGAGGTACCAGTCTCGCCAGTTGCTCCAAGGAGGAGTACTTTCTGTTTGACAGCCATTTCACAGTTTCGTGGACTCTGAGAGTTTGAGGGTGGGGACAGCCTACCAAATAGATGACCCTTTTAATATAAGGCCCAGAGCTAAAATCCGACATTAGCCCGGGGGTTAACTCCGTGTTATACATCCGAATACCCCTCTCTAATGCTGACTTTCTGAGGGCACGCTTTTTGATTTAAATGTTATACATAGAAAAGTCTGTTGCACAACTAATGCTTTTTTTACTACCTTCTTATGCACTTAAAAGGCTAAAAAGGAGTATCTACAAGAGATCTAGAAGAAGTGTGGAAGAAATCTAAAGAACATCTAAAAGAACATGACAAGGCTGCATAAGCAGCTGCCTGTTCTTGTACATTCTAGTAATAAAACGCTAAAATAGAGTACTAAAGCAACGATTTATGTAGTTAAACGAATTTTTCACACCCCATGTGTATATATGCCTGCCAACATCGAACTCCTGTTGTGTCTCCTTTCCCTCTCTCCTCCACCTCTTTAGTTCCTCTATTTTATTTCACCTCTCTCAATCCCCTCTTATCATCCGTTACCAGTCATACGCGCATTTCATCCTATCTATGGTGATCCATTGTCTCGCATCTGTCTTCATCCTTGAATTGCCGTCTAACACGTTTCATCTGGATTCTACAGATAGAAGACACATAGTAAGACATGATCTCCCATTTCTGACAAGATTATGAGAGCTACACGCTGACATATGTAGGCGTCCCTCCTCGAAGGAAGGCCGCCCTATGGGATAGGAAACCATTCTCCCTCCACCAATAGAGGGGCATGACATGGTGCCACCTGGACCCTAAGCGAAACATATCCGCAACCTGCCATTTCGGGCCTGCGAAGAAGTTTGAATATATCAATGGGAGATACCTTCCTTCACTACTCCACTCACTCTACTCAGCTAGCAAGCGTGAACCCTACCCCCACGTGGGTACCGCTGCGCAAAGATTCCAAGAGCAGATCGACGTCTGCTTAGTTGATACAGGTTTCAAAATGGTTGGTAGAAGGAAGAGATGGAAGGGTTGGGAAAAAATCTAGTTTCTTTCATACACATATCTGTCGGATAGCCACACAGCTCCCGGCTGCCGGAAGTTCGTCTATGAAGGTTTAACCTCCGCAGAGTCTCCACTAATTTAACGGTCATACAGTCCCAACTTAGCTATAACACAATTCTCTAAGATTTCTTTTCAAGTTTTAGAGATATGGGTAATCTCGCGTGCTTTTTATCGTGCTTAGGTTATTTCCCTGTGTTTTCTTTTTAGAAGAACCTATCATAATTGTAAGATAAGGGCGACCTACGATCGTCGACTTTGTCTACGCGATAAAGTGCTCAAATTTTGTAACTAATTCTTCACTCGGTTGTAGATTAAGATGCTCTGTGTCCCTTGGCTGATATATATGTGCGCTCATCAAGGTTGGTTGGTTTATCACTCGTGTCAACGGGTGTGTCTACTCAAGTGATTACATGGGCGGGGTTTAACCGTAATTGTCAGTATCTAAGTCCCCATCGTCCATTGGTGTACCTATCGCGTGGATGGTACTGTGTAGCCTTATTTTTCGCATAATGTAGAGCTAGGTGAGTAGGCAGTGCTGCTATATTATTTAGATCGCCCCAGCCGAATTCTGTTGCATCGGGGATAGGAATACAACTGCAAGTTGCTTCGCAACACACTAAGCAGGGGTCCAGCGCTAACTAGTGCCAAAGTACTTTTTCTTTTCTCGTTCCTTGAGTCCGCCTTGGAAAAGAATAACCTTTTTTGGCATTGAGCTGGGATTGTGGTGCCTGGAAATCAAGTCAGGTATTCACTAAGACAGGTTATGTTTTGTGGTATGCTTCATTATGAGAAGCAGAATCAGATAATCAGGCCCACAAAACACAGCCTCATCGGCCACTGCAGCTTCCCTGTTAAGCGCCTTCACTTGGGAAACTCGTTGCCTACATTGCGTAGGTGGCTATGCTTCTAGGCGTGGCTTCATAAGAAGGCGTCCTGCAATCGGATGCCGTTGGCAATATAAAACAAGAGGCTAGTCCAACCTGAAAGTGGTTCTATTGAGCCATTCTCAAGAGTACCCAGCTCTTGTCCGACAACCCGTCTCTCAATAATTGACCCGCATCATATTTATCAATCTTATATGAACTCAATGTCGTGCTCTACCAGTTGCACCCCATTGAAACGAGTTCTCACTGAGCATGTCATCCCCCCTAGGCGGAAAGATACCTTGCCTAGGAAAGACCCTCAAAGGCGAATACTGCAAAGCGCCGATATCGCGTGATAGAAAAAACAAAGCTGTATGCTTGCTTGAGTGCTGCATCTATTGCTCCAGACCAGGTGGCCTACCACTGAAGTATGTGATCAAAGATCTCGCAATCTTGCTCGTCCATCGGCAACACCGTGGGGAGCAGGATGCGGCCTATGTTAGATGGACAAACATGGTGAAGGAGTATAAGAATAAGAGAGAGAAGCCCCCGCGGGAACATGGCCGAGAATTTGGTCAAAAACTTGATCTCCCGCAAGAATATCATTCCAATATTTTCGACGACCCTGTCGCCCCACAGCCAGT